GTAGACCAGGGTGGAGCTAGTAGTTTATGTAGTTCCAAGTCAGCCATTAAGATTTTTTTCTAGTTATAAGAATTTAGGGGGAAAAAAAAAAGAATTTAGATGTTTAGAAGCTCTTTAGGATTTGCCTGCCCAGTTGTATCACATCACTAATGAGATTGTAGAAGCCTAAAGACGGTAAGTAACTTGTCTATGATTGTAAAGTTAGTGGCAGAGCTGACCCAGAGTCACAGAATTCCAGTTCTAGCATTCTTTCGAAATTAGGATGTATGTAGAATATTAAATTATGAAATAGTTACAACAGTTTAACAAAAAAAAATTTTATGCAACTTGATTAAAAAATACTGATGTGTGATTTTGCATATTAAAGTAAGTATAGTGGAAAGTATCTTTTGTTGCCTGGGGCCATATTTTTCCTGGTTAAGTTTCTTAAATTGTAGTGGCTTGAATCTGTACCTTAGAGATTAAGGAGATGCTTTTAAATGATGCTTAGGACAACATTCAAACTTTGGCTGCTATAAATATGTTAAATGTAAGACTTTCTTTAACCCTGAATATGATGCTTCTCAGTGTGTCCTACTGACTTTCAAACTTAATGAAGTTTAGCATTGAGAGAGGTGAGTGTGGGGCAGACTTGGAAACACAGGCAGGTTGTAGAAGGCTCGGTGTCTGTGTTGATTAGCCTCAAGAGTTAACGAAGTTTTGTTTTGTTTTTTCATGTTAAAACCAGTGGTGGATTTAGTTATTATTAGGTCTTTAGAGGTAGAATTGTTTTGTTTTGTTTTTTTTTTTCATATTAAAGCCTGTGATGGATTTAGTTGTAAAACTGTCATAAATTGTAGTTTTTAAGTGTTTTTTCCTGGTGCTTTTGTGCTTGTGAGTTTGAGAACATCTGAATTGCCAAAACTCAAGAAACCGGACTGTTTTCTACTTAAATTGTGTATACAAGTAAAGAAATAATACCTGACAATCAAAACACGCCCAAACCTCATTCTGAAAAGACCTAAGCATGAAGGAGAACACGTTGTTGTCATACTTTAGTCCTCTTCCATTGCCTTTGGCCTGTAGGGGTCACAGTGAGCAGCCCGCAAACTAGGGCATTGGGTGTTTCCTCTTTCTCTCCCCACCCCTTTCTTCTGCTTGCCTCTGCTGGAATCTTCCTCCTGCCCACCCAGCCCAGGGCTTCTTACTTGCTTTCAGTGTGGAGCATATGGTACTTTCCTAGGTTCTTTTTTACATTTTGAATTTATGACCCCCCCAAAAAAGATTGCCTAAACTGACAATAAAGCTGTGTTACCTTTGAGCTAATCATTGTGTTTTCCCAGCCCTTTTATTATCTCTATATAGAAGGGCTACTGTTTGTTTATTGGTTGGTTGGTTTTGAGTTAACCTTGTGTCCTTCTATATTACTGACAGTGTTCACCAGCTATAGGAGTTCTCTGGTAAAATTTTTGGGGTCACTTATGTATACCATCGTATCAGCAAATAGCAAAAGTTTGACTCCTTCCTTTCCAATTTGTATCCACTTGATCTCCTTTTGTTGTTTTATTGCTCTAGCAAGAACTTCAAGAACTATGTATATTGAATAGACATGGAGAGAGTGGACAGCCTTGTCTTGTTCCTGATTTGAGTGAGTTTCTCTCCATTTAGTTTAGTGTTGGCTGTCGGCTTGCACTTTATCTACCCAAGATTCTGGTTGATATCTTTGAGAATCATAGGGCTTATTTTCTCTTTAAACGAAATCCTGTGCTAGTACTTTCAAATAGTTACACATTTTTCTTTCTTTCCTTAAAATGGATATTTTAGACATTTATATTTACTAACTGCAGAATTGAATTTAAGTATTCTATTAATAGATTTTGACTTTAAAAAATCAATTTGATTAGAAAATACAGATATATAAAATTAGATTTTCAATTTAATGCACACAGTGGTAAAGTCCTTACAATCAGATTACAGGAGTACTAAAAAAAAGTCTTCAGAATTCACAAAAAAGTATTCAACTCTGTATCCCTGTTCCTGGACGCCTCTCCTAGCTGTGCACGCGTGAAGGTCATTTTAGGAGGCGCATTCTCCACGCAGTTGATTTCCTTCAGTTCTGGTGATCCGCTCTCTTAACTCCTTTCCTCCCTTTGCCCTTCCCTTCTTTTTTGGTGATGATAGGACAAGAACGTTCTGTTGGTTTTTTTTTTTTTTTTTAATCCCTTTATACTTTTTATAAAAGGTGAATTTCAGGGGCTGGCAAGATGGGTCAGCAGGTGAAGGCACTTGCCGTCAAACCTGAGGACTTGAAGGATGGAGCCTACGTGGTAGAAAGAGAAAACCCAATTCCTGAAGTTGTTCTCTGACCTTCACAGACAAGACACATGCTAAATGCCCCCTCCCTCATCAACACAAAACCAGTCAATTAATCCATAAGTCAAAGTTGAAGAGATTGTTAATAGTCTTACAATTAGGCTTTCCGGTTTTTATTTTAGGTAAATAAAAATGGGGTCAGGGTGGAGCCCAGGTGGCTCAATAGCAAAGGAATGTGAGGCTATGCTGAATGCCTGAGCTCAGTCCCCAGTCCACACGGAGGAAAGAAAAACTGACTCCCTACAGGTTGTCCTCTCTACTCACGAGCCATGGCAGGGGCACATGGCATTACAAACTAAAGCATAAGAATGGGGGACTCTTAGAGCAGGACAGTATAGCCTAGCTTTGTTCTTAACTCTTTAAGATCTGATAGCTCACTAGTTGTCACAGGTCATCGTTTTACTTAATTTAAAAACATGTGTATGTGTGTGTATGTGCATGCTTTGTGTGCGTGTGTAGCTGTGTACTGCCTGTCTGGTGGCTATAAAGGCCAGACAGAAGAAGGTGTTGGGTCCCCTGGAACTGGGAGTTACAGAGGGTTTTACTGAGATTAGTTAGCTTACTTGTGTAGACCTAAAAAAGGAGGCCATGGGTCCAACCCAAGATTCCATAGGCCTCCTCAGTGGGTTTATTCAGCATTGCTCAATACTGAAAATAGCCCAGCTATCCTTCAGCAGTAGAGTGGGCAAATAGATGACATTTTGTAAAATACCACATAGCAAAGCAAAACCCCAAACATTTTAACTGTCAGATAGAGCAGCGTTTTTGTTTCCCACAGAAGCCATGTTGAATAGAGTTAGTAGAGAATATCCTAAACCATTTCAGTTCTAAGTTAAAAAGTCAGCAAAACTAATGTTTTACTTAATACTAAGACTGTGAAGCCAATCACATTGGACAAACCCTTCCCCACAGATGACAGTATGTTACCTACTCAGTCTTCAAGGCTCTTGTACCTTGTTCTGCCATCCACTTATGGGACTATGTTGTCACAGTTACGGAAGGGTTGTTTTTATTTCTGACTTTAAGGGTTTTCCCACCTATTTAGCTTGTTTTCTCTTTCATATTAACTTTAATCAACTTAAGTATCATCAAGGGAAAAGAAGACAAATATATTTTTATTAGTATTGCATTATATTAAGCCATTTGGGGGAGAACCTTTATCATATTGTTGATAAATTTAAGCTTAGTTTTGCAATTGTAAATAAGATTGCCTTTTCTAGTTAATTCAAAACAATTTTTTTATATAGTTGTTGTGTTTGGGGTCTATTTTCTTTTTCTTTTTTTTATGCCTGGAACTCATTGTGTAGATCAGGCTTGTCTGTAACTCAAAGAAATCTGCCTGCTTCTGCCTCCTAAGTGCTGGAATTAAAGGTATGTCCCATCATGCTGGCCCAAAAGTAAACACATTAAAGAAACAAAATGAATAGCATGTTTTTTTGTATGTTTTTCATTTTCTTCAACAGATGTTTATATGAAGTATATCTTACCACAACATTCACCCATTGTAAGTGTATGTAATATAGTGGTTTTTGCGTTTCTTTGTGTGTGCGCATAGATGGTGCTTTTTAGAGCATTTATTTATTTATTTATTTATTTATTTATTTATTTATTTATTTATTTTTGGTTTCTCAAGAGGGTTTCTCTGTGTAACAGCTGTGGCTGTCCTGGAACTTGCTCTATAGATCAGGCTGGCCTTGAACTCATAGATATCTACCTGCCTCTGCCTCCTGGGTGTTGGGATTAAAGGTGTGTGCTATCTAGTAATTGTTTCTAAAAAACAGATTTGTAGGGTTGCTTATTAGCTGAACTAAATTTTTATTTTTATTTCTTGGATTTGATTTTTATGATTAACTTGATTTAAAAATATGTATCAAACTATGGACCTAGCATTTAGTTGGTGGAACATTTGTATCATTCCAGAAAATTCCCATGTATTAAAAACAAGGAGATGTATTTATTTCATGAGTGTAGGTGTTTTAACATCATGTATGTATTTATACTATATGTGTACCTGGTGCCAGTGGTGGTCAGAGAGGGTATTGGATTCTCTGGGACTGGTGTAGGGATGGTTGTGCGCTACCATGTGGGTGCTGGAAAACTGAACCCAGGTCCTCTGCAAGAGCAACAAGTATTTTTAACTGCTGAGTCAGCTCTCCAGCCCCAACCCCATGTCACTTTGTAGTGACTTATGTTGAGGGGTATGTAACATATGTAAACATACATATGTTAAGTATATGAACATATGTCATGTCTTTATAAAACATTTACAGACCTATCCATGAATTCCCATTTCATTGCTTATTTTTGTTATTTCAAGTGGTCTTACACGATAGCCTGGGCTGGCCTGGAACTCTGTGTAGTCCAAGGTATCCTCAAACTGTGACCAATTTTTTCTCCTTAGTCTCCAGAGTGCTTGATTACAGGTGTGAGCCACTATGCCTGGCTTTATTGCCTGTTTTTAACATAAATGAATAATACTAGGAACTTTTCAACATGTGCTTAACAACAGACTCAAACTATCTATCTTGATGTAGTGAAATAAAAGTATAGAAGTCTCCTTACAGTAAAATAGGGTGTGTTACAGTAGATTTTTTTTTTTTGGAATAAGAACTGATGGTAATCATTCTGTGTTGTTCCATGTTTGTTAGAGGATGGCCTTCCCTGTGGATTTGCTGGATAACTGCACACATGAGGAATTGGAAAATTCTGCTGAGGATTACCTTTCCAACTTAAGGTGTGGGGACCCTGAAAATCCAGAGTGTTTTTCTATTCTCAATATTACGGTAAGGCAATCTGCAGTGTTTTTTTTTTTTTTTAAACCAACCTTCCAGTCCAGGTTACATATGAAATCAGTATCTTTTAAAAAATATATCAACTTAAAGAAATCATTCAACTTTGAAATATTTACCAGAAATCTACCAGTAGGATATGTTAATGTTGGTTAATTATTGTTAACAAATTGAGTGGCAGATCAAGGTTTTTGCTGTGTGTAAAGAGTGTGTGTGTGTGTGTGTGTGTGTGTGTGTGTGTGTATGTGTGCACATACCCGCACGAGCGCATGTGTGTGTTTGCATGTGCATACGGAGGCCAGAGGAGGGTATTAGAGGTCTTCTTCTATTGCTTTATACTTTATTCCCTTGAGACAGGGTCTTTGACCAAACCTGAAGCTTACCATTTCAGTTAGGCTTGCTAGCCAGTGAGCTTTTAGGGTCCTTCTGTGCCCCACCCATCCCCATGCTGGGGTACAGGCATGAGGGCATGGCTGCACTTGGCTTTTATGTAGGTGCTGGGTTCTTGAACTCAGACTCTCATGCTCAGGTTGCAAGCACTTTCCCCTCTGAGCCGGCTCCCAGCCTCTCTGTGAAGACAGGCAGGCGGGGCCTTAGTTACTTGGGGTTGTCCTTTGCCTTTAATTTTGTAGGGTAAGAAGTTTACCAGTTCTGTTAGGACAAGACACCATGCCAAAGTAGTGTCACTTAAATTTACTTTAGATTTGGAATTTTGAATTTAGAAACTTCTTTCAGTTAAAAAGCCCAAAATTACATTTTTTTTCATGAATCTTTTCTTTCTTTGATAGTTTTATGATTTTGAAAAATAAAAATTTTGATTAGTAAGTTGTGTTACTTTGAGACATGGGGTCGTTTAAATTCTACTATGAACTGAAGCAGCCAGATTTCTCAGTGTTTCTAGGTCTTAAAGCTTGCTTCTGGGAGTGACTAAAGAACTAAAGTTTTCCTTGAGTTGGGGGGCATGGAAGGAAGTCAGAGGCCAGCGTTTACTCAGTTCTCTCCTCCAACCATGTGGGACTTGGTGATTAACCTCAGGATCAAGTCCCTTTACCCACTGAGCCATCTCACCGCCCTGGTGTGAAGGGTTTTAACAGCTTCCCTGCACTAGTATTTTAATTCCACAGATTGACTCTAAGTGGAAAGTTATGCTGGGCCAACAAAGACAGAGCAGTGTGCAAGTATTGCATGTATCTTGCTGAAACATCTGTTTACTTAACTGCTTTCTTTACTAGAAAATGAAATATGTCTTTGTAGTGAAGAATAATGATAATAACTACAGCTGGTTTTGCAGTGACATTTGCTTTTACTCAGTAGCTTGGTTGCCATCTAGGAATGATTATAGAAACAAATTTTCTTTTTCCACAAGAAAATTCTTGGAGAAAAGAAGCTTTTATTCCATTGTTGCTGGTTTTCTTTTTTTTTTGGTGGGGGGATACTAGGGATATTATCATGTATAAAATGAAGCAGTGTATTAGAATACACTCGAGAAAAGCTTAAGTTCTGGCAAATCCTTTGGTATTTTTGTTATGTATTTTTTATGAAATTTTCCACTAATCTTGAGTCATCTTTTCTTACAGATCCCTATCAGCCTGTCAAATGTGGGCTTTGTGCCTCTCTATGGTGGCACCCAGACCCAGAAAGTTCTTGCTCTCTTTGCACCTGAGGATTCGCTCACAGGTCTCTTCCCCGCTTTGTCTTTGTAAATTGAGGAGCTTGAATTCAAACTGTTAGGAACTTAGGAGAAACGACGTGCAATAATTTGTTGTAGAAACTTTTCTCAAATTTTAGTTTTAGAAATATGTAATTTTCAGTTGCTTACAATTAAACATGTAATGAGTGAAGTAAAATAAAGGTATAAACTGTGAGTCTAGGATCCAGGGAGGACAGGGCTGTAGCTGAATGGTGGAGATCTTACCTGGATGTGAGGGGTATTAGATTTGATTCTCAACAAGACAGAAAAGGGAAGCAAGCAATGATAGGTGCATTTTATAGTGTGCATGTAGTCCTCAGCAAGCAGCAGCATTATCTGTTTTAACCCTTCAGACTTAAGTGTTAATGGCCATTTTTCTATTTTAGCTGTGGCACTTTACCTTGTTGACCAGTGGTGGGCCATTGATGATATTGTGAAAACATCTGAACCTTCCAGAGAGGGGCTAAAGCAGGTAATCAGATCATGCCCTTCAGGATTTCTGTAAAGTGATAGTTTTTGAAGTTGTCGAACTTTCCCCCATTTTCATGTAACCAAGTTAGACTGAACTCCTGGGGTTTCTTGTGGTGAAAGTGGGAGCTCTGTTTATGTGGTCCTTCCTTTTCTGGGAAGTGGGAGAGAAGAGTGGCTTCCCTGGGTGGGTTAGCTGACTGAGGCTGCCTCCCTCCCTGAAGCTAGTGTTTCGGTGTGGTTGCAGTTGCAGCACACCAATTGGAAGGAACAAGAGGCATTTCAGATTTTAACAGCTCAGATAGGCTGTGTTGCAGCTCCTCTTTTTGAGTTTGGAACTCTCTGAGAGACATCTGACTCAAAGGGAGGGGATTTTAGGGAAGTGATATGAGTGTTCTTCCTTCTGGATAATGTATTTTTTCATAAAAGAAGTCTTAGAGTAATATACCAAACTTTATCCCTTCTGGATATTGTGTTTATTCTTGAATTGCCTTTAGAGTCTAGAGTAAGCGGCCATCTCATAGAAGCTGGGAGAATACACATCTGGATATCTGCCCATCTCTGTAATGCAGCCTAGTCTTGGGCTACTATAGAGGAAGAATCTTAAGCATGTATAAAGCTGTAAAGTAGGTCTAGATAGCAAAGAGTGTGACTTGTCAGCTCTGACAGTACACAAAGAAAGGAAATACCCCTTAGAACTGAAATATGACTGAGTCATGGCATCTCATAGAGGACATCTAGATGAAGGTAGAGGAGGACAAATGACGTCAGAGGGAGAGACTAAAGCCTCCAGGTGTGGATTAGGAAAGGGGGGTGACAAGACAAAAGATGCCTTCAGCTCAGCATCCATCTGATAGTGTCACCTCTGAGAAGTGGGAAGTCAGTGAGGGGCAGGGCGGGGCAGGAGGACTGACTGGTCTATCAGAAAAATTGGTAAAGTCACAGGAGGGTTAGTTTGCTTGTTCATAAATATATGAACTAGAGCAAGTGACATCATTTTAGGTCTTTCCTCTGTTTTATTTGTTGTGGAAAAATTAAATTGAGATGATAAAGATTCTAACCCCATGTCTCAAACGTATGTTTAGTCATATATGGGTAGAGGTCTCCAGGCTACAAGACTCTTCCCCCATTTCTGTCCTGGTCTTCACACTACCAGGTCCTTGGACATGGATGGCATGCTAACCAATTTTCTGTGTCCCTGTGCTGAATGAAGGAACTGATCTCTGAAAAGCAGAATCCAGAAACAAAGATGGGACTTGGGTGCATTTGCCATTTTTCTGTGACAAAATACCATGCCCGAGGTAGTTTATGGAAGGAAGAGTATATCAAGACAGGGATGCATGGTGGCAAGCATCCATGGTGGCCATCCTGAACTACAAACTCCAAAAGAGAGAGGGACTGGAAGTAGGCGAGGCTATATTACCTCAGAGCCCATCAACTGACGCTGTGGTTAAACCTGAAGAGCTCCAACGACTGGGACCCAAGTGTTCAAACCCTGAGGCTGTGGGGGACGTTTCTCCTTCAAAGCACCACACTGAGGGTGTATCTCTTTCTCAGTTGGTAGAGTGCTTGCCTAGTATGCATGAGGCCCTGGGTTTGAGCCCCAGCATCTAGGAGGTGGAACACGGGAGCATTAGGAATTCCAGGTCATTCTCAGCAAACTGTGTATTAAAGGGTTACAGCATTAGAGAGGTTGAGACCCACTGCTTTAAGAGGACTTGAAAGAAAATAGACTTTATAAACAGAAGTCTTGTTCTGGCATTAGAGATGTCTGTGGGGAAAGCTGACTTTACTAACAGAAGGCAGGGGGTAATCATGCAGTGCCTGCCATGGTGTGGCTCCATGAGTGAGCACTGGCCTCTGTTTTCATTCTGTGTCGAGTGTGTTTGACTAGACTTCCCTGCTGTTACCATATTTGCTCAACTACTCTAGCAAAGGGTTGTGTGGGTGAGGGGGCTGCGTATCTTTATAGCAAGAGTAGGGCTGTCAAAGGAACGTTTTACCTGAAAAAGGAGAAAAAGATCGTTATGGCTGCCTTCATGAAATGAGGTAATTGTTCTGCAAGTCTCCTGGGCATAGTACTAGTTTTTAATAATATATATTTTTAATATGGGGGCTGGGAATGGGGTGAAAGAGGATTCAAGCAGAGTATGTAGTGGGCCACAGAGATCCCTTGGATCTGGGCAGCTGGTATCATGAAGGCACTGCGCAGAGTGAGAAGCAGGACATTGTGTTTTGCCCAGTTTAGAATTTGCTACAAGACAGCTTCCCATGCGTAAAATGTGTCTGTGCGAACGTGCTGTTCTTGTTAGGAGTGATTGGCCTTGATTCTATGATAATAGGATGTTGGAATTGCTCTGGATGACAGTAGGGCGGTGGGAGCTGGGGACAGGGTGATTGGTGTCCCTAAAAGCTGCATATTGTAACTGCTGTGCCTGCTGTGTGATTCTCTTTGTAGGTGAGCACTCTCGGAGAAAGAGTGGTTCTGTATGTTCTCAACCGAGTTATTTATAGAAAACGGGAAATGGAGAGAAATGAGATCCCATTCCTGTGCCATAGCAGTACTGACTATGCTAAGATTCTGTGGAAGAAAGGAGAGGCTGTTGGGTTTTACTCAGTTAAGCCTACAGGTGAGTTTTACAAGTTCCTTAAACTGTGTTACAGAAATCTCCATTTCTATAAATTGAGATGCTTGCACTTAAGATTTCTTGGGAGTGTCACAGTTCTACCATCCGAGAGAGAGGATTGTTAGGGAAGTCTTTTGAATAGTAGAGACTAAACCTTAGACACAGCAGATGACGGCTCTGTGTCTATGAGAGAAGATTGTCTTCATCTTAGTCTTTGTGGCCTTTTGCATCTCCTTCCATTTGAAGGCTGCTGCTTTGGTCTCTGCTGCTGTTGCTGTTACTTATTAAACCCCAATGGCCTATGGGCATTGCCGTTTCTACTTGAGTATGTGGTACTATATTTGATATGTTGGGGGCTCGCTCCTCTTCTGGGACCTGGGCTCTGCTCTTGCTTTCTGGAATTGGCTCCATTTTATACCCTAGAACTTCCAGGTGCTACTGCAACTTCTACTGATTTCCACACTCACTCCCCATTCTTTCTAATAGCCCTCTTCATTGTTTTCCTTGCCTCTTAAGCTCCATCTCCCTCTGCTGGGCAGTAGTTGAATTAAGAGTGTTTATGACAGCCTTAGATAAGTAACTTTATTTCAAGGGAGTGCTTTTTCTCTAAAAGAAACTGAAATGTAACTAAAGTTGTTTTGAGATATTGTCTCAAAGAAAAACTAAAACACCTTCTTTCTCTTTTTCTTTCCCTCCCCAAGTAATAAAGATACATCTGTAGCTATAAGATAAAGTGTGTGCCCCACATGCCACAGTGCGTGGGTGGGGGTTGGAGGACAATTTGGGGGAGTCAGTTCTTGCCTTTCAGTTTGTGGGTCTTAGGGACAGCACTCAAGTCGGGCTTGGCAGCAAGCACCTTTAACTTTTGAGCCATCTCACTGGACCCTAATGTCTTTATTAAGTAAATGCATAGTTAAATGAAGTCTTTTTGTAGTAATTTATTACTTGATTTTTATTAGCGGCTTTGGTGGAAGACAAAAGATCTTATTCTGAGAAGGTCAGAGTCTTCCAACATAGTGACTGACACCCAAGAAACCAGAAACAGAAACTTTTTTTTTTTTTTTTTTTTTTTTGCTTGAAGTACAGTGAGCGATTTATATTTTGTTTTCCAGGTTGAGTAGTTTTGTTATAAGGGTATCTGTGGGGTTTTGTTTGTTTGTTTATTTTTTTGAGGTAGTGTTTCTCTGTGGCTTTGGAGGCTGGGTTTCTCTGTGTAGCTCTGGCTGTCCTGGAACTTGCTCTGTAGACCAGGCTGGCCTGGAAGTCACAGAGATCATTGACCTCTGCCTTCAGAGTGCTGGGATTAAAGGTGTGAGCCACCGTTGTCTCCAGGCTTTGCTATTTTAATGTCATGATTGTATTAATTTATTCCTTTAAGGTTTGTTTGGTTTTGTGGTGGGGACTGGAGAGTTGGCTTTGATTATGAACACCAGTTGTTCTTCCAAAGGATCTGGGATCTGGGTTCGGTTCCCACGCCCATATGGCAGCTCACAGCTGTCTGTAAGTCCAGCTCTGGGGATCTGACACATATTCATGCGTGCAGAACACTCATAAACATAAAATAAAATTTAAAAAATTAAAATAGACCTATATCCTCAGCTCTTATAATTTTTTTTGATATATTTTTAAATTTAAATTTGAAACAAGCTTGTTTTACATGTCAATCCCAGTTTCCTCTCCCTCCCTTCCTCCTCTGTTCACCCAACCAGCCTCCATTTCATCTCCTTTCTGCTCCCCAGGGGAAGGTGAGGCCCTCCATGGGAATCTTCAAAGTCTTCATATCATTTGGAGCAGGGCCCAGGCCCTCCCCCATGTGTCTAGGCTGAGGGAGTATCCCTCTATGTGGGATGGGCTCCCAAAGTCCATTCATATACTAGGGATAAATAGACTGCCTAGTCCTCCCAATTAACACCCACATTCCGGGGGTCTGGGTGGGTCCTATGCTGGTTTCATGGACTGGAGTCCATGAGCTCCCCCTGTGACTGTTTTATACTTTTAAGACAAAATTAAGAAACATCAAATGTTTCAAATTAGTTTTTCAAGTAAGTAAATTCAAAAGTTTTTTCTCATTTATTTTGTTGTTGAAGGAGGGTTTTTATTTTAACCATGTTATTGAAGTATATATATTTCTGATCTGCATTAAAACTAAAATTGTTCTCTAGTTTTTATTCTTAGAAGACTTGTCTCCCAGTAATAGCAGCCTGTATACTCAAGCCTTGTATTTATTAGTAAGTGATTTGAGCAATAATAAAAATAATAAATGTCTCAAGGGATATATGTCATCAGTATGGTAAATGGTCTAGCATACTGAATCACTAAGATTTTTTTCATAGCATATTTCACTTTTGTTCATGAATTAATATTTTGGTCATAATCTGTTATTTAGTCAACTTAAGTATAATTCAAATTATATCTGCAAGTAATTGTCTTTGTAAATTTGCATTTCCAAACTAGGAATTTAGTTTAGAAATAAGTAGAGACAATAAGAAATACTTAAAAATAAGAATAATATTACTCTGAGACTATCAGCCATTTCCATGTTTACTTCATTCAGAAGGTTCAATTTTTTTTGTTTTGTTTTGTTTTTCAACTCAGGGTTGTTCTGTGTAGCTTTGGAACCTGTCCCGGAACTATCTCTGTAGACCAGGCTGGCCTCAACTCCCAGTGCTGGGATGAAAGGCGTGTGCCACCACCACCCTGCTCAGAAAGTTTAATCCCACCTGGTTCTAACTCTTCAGACAAAGACAGAGTCTGTTTAGCTCCGGTTGTCCTGAAACTCACTATATCGACCCAGGAGGCCTCAAGCTCCCAGCGTTCGTCCTCCTGCCTCTTTCCCGCGAGTGCTGGGCTTAAAGCGGTTAAAGCTTGCTTCAGCACACCCAGGCTGGTACTCATTCTTAATGTCTTCTAATGGGGAGTAACTTGAGCATGGATTTTAGAGATAGACCATGCTCCCACCACTGCCGCCTCCTTGTGCAGCTCTCTCATGCCTTTTTAGATTCTGAGATGCTAATGTGGTCTTGAGGAGACAACTCAATTTACAAAGTCAGTTTAGCATTCTGTTTATTAAACATGTTAAGTTTCTAGTTTTGACAATGATCTGGCAATATAAGATGTTTGTATTGGGCAAAGCTTGGGAAAGGGTACATCGGAGCTCTTTATAATGGTTTTGAACTCCTTTAATTGAATTTTATTTGTTTCTATTATGGGGGGGGTTGTAGGCCACCGTCAAGTGCAGGTCAGAGACAACTTACCAGCGCTCAGCTCTTTCCTTCCACTTTGCATGGGTTCCAGGGTCGAACTCAGGTTATTAGGCTTTACCATAAGCACTTTATCTACAGAGCTATCTCACCAGCCCTGTTTATGCAACTGTTATGTCTAAAATGGCTTTTTAAATCATATAAAACATTTAGTATATAAAAAATTATGTCATTTATAAAGCTAAAGAAGAAAATTTTAGATACCATGAAGTTATGTGAATATATGCTATTTTGAGTTTATTTTAATGGTTAATGAGAAAAAATAATCCTGGATTTGACTAGGTGGGAGATGAAAAATGACTGTGGCCCTGTCAGAAGGCCCACCATGCACACAGACACACAGCAGTTGCTTCTGCAGCTGCGGCCTTCACCACACCTTCACCAGACGCAGCCCCTTTACTGAGAAATGCAAGTTTTTTCTTTGTTAATTTCCTAGTCTTAACCAGGTATGGTGCCACACACTTTTAATCCCAGCATTTGGGAGACGGGCAGGTGAATCCCTGAATTTGAGGCCAGCCTGGTCTACATACTGAGTTCCAGAACACTCAGGGCTATACAGAAAAAAAAAAAAAAAAAAAAAAAAAGGCCCCCCCCCAAACAAAACAAAAACCCCACAGAATACCACCCAGTCTTGGGGATTCTTTTGTAGCAAAATAAATGTACTAACCCAGAGACCTAGAAGAAACACAGGGTGGTTGTAGATTGAACAGAAGGCAGTGGTAAATTTAATGAGAGCAACTTTGTCTACCATGGAGCATGTGCTTTCTCCCGCCGAATTCCTCTTGGGCTTTCTGTCACACAAAGCTCCATTATATTCCAGGCAGGCCTCACATTTACTGTGTAGCTTGCTCATGATGACTTTGAATTTCTGATTTTTCTGGCACTCTGTTGCTTGGGAACTTTGAAAATGAGATATGTTCTTTGGGGCATGTCTAGCCATCTGAAAAGACAAATGCTCCCAGTAAGGGCTCTGTTAACTGGGGAGATAGGGATGACTCAGTGCAGACAAACATGGTTTCATACCTCAGAACACCCCAAATGTAGAGAATGAGACAAATAACCCCCCAAAAAACTACGGTCAGTAGATACTTAATCATCCATGTTGATGAGTCGTGTATTGGCAAGAGTAGTTAGTGAAGACTAAAGTACTTAATTCTGCAAGAGGAGGGTGTCACTAAGAAAGATTGAGAATTGTCCCTGGAGGATCAGTAAGTTATCAGAAGTTAGACATGCTGGGAAGGGAAAGGGCCATGCTAGTAATCACACACATGGGATCTAAGTTTATAAAGGAGCCACGCTAGTACTCACACACATGGGATCTAAGTTTGTAAAGGAGAGTTGCAAATGTGCAGGGCATCTTGAAGTAAGTTTGTGGGACTAAAACTTAGGAAAGAATGAGAAGAATCTTACGACAGAACAAAGCACCAAAAAACTGGAGGGTGCAGATGAAGGTCCCATTGGGAAGGGTTGTAAAGGCCATGTTAAGACAGGTGACGTTTTATTGTCCATGAAGCTATCGAAGGATGCATTAGGGACATGGTTTTTGTAACACTTGACTGGCATGTAGGGAAATTATCTTTTGAGTCAAAGGAGTCCTTAGTAGGTCTTCTGTTGTAGTTCAGATGAGGGAAGGGCCCAAGTGAGAGCTGTAGTAGTAGAAACCAAGGAGAAAACAGTGGAGATTTCCAGTGCAGAGTGCAGTGAACCCACGCTGCCCAGGATGGAGTCTAATTTTCCATTCTCTAAAGATGAGTAGTAAGTTTTTGTGTTAAGCCAATAAAATTTAGTCAGGCAATGTCAGGTAATTTGAGATACCTTCTGGATGGTATCAGTCAAGCCTAAACTGGACCCTTATTAAGTTTTCCTGGGTTGGTTTCTTTAGAATAGCCAATGCTTAACTGACTTAAAAGAATGAACATCACCTAATCAGTTTGGCATTCACATCATACAGTGTAGGGAAGACAAACTCATGCAGATCCTTTTATGAGATGCTAACTGTGGTTTTTAGGATGGCAAAGGAATACCTTCCTGCGGGGCAAAGAAGGGGTTCCATGAGAAAAGGCAGCTGCTCGGGGTGGCAGAATAGATTTGTGATGCCTTCGCTTAGATCTTGAATAGCATTTATTTATGTTATTTTTAGGTGCAGTAGAGATGAGAAAATGGGGAGGGAAGAGCTGGGGAAAAGAGTAAGAGGGACAAGTTGAGAATAGTAAAAATTTCGTAAGCTCCATCCTCAAGGAACTTCGATTTTAGAGGAAGAGAGGGTGAAGAGCAGCCAAGAGAGTGCAGGGGAGGTGCTGCTTTAAATAGAAGGGCTAGGGGAGCTTTCTGAATGAACTGATGAGTAACAGGAAGTGAGAATTGCTCTTTTAAATAGAAGGGTTAGGGAGCTTTTCTGAATGAACTAACTGATGGAGTAACAGGAAGTGGGAAGTGTCTGAAGAGGCTCTCTGGCAGAAACTGACAGGTTTGAATGCTTCAGAAATTGCAGAAGGCCACCAAGCCTTGTTAATAAAGAATGAGTGATAGAATTTGGAGAGGGTAAAGGTTGTATCTTGAAAGGTCTCTAGGCCTAAGGTAAATTCTGCTGTATGGTGACGGAAGTAGTGAAGGGATTTCAGGATGGAGGTAACCATCCTTGCTATCTTAAAAGGCACTAGACATCTTTGTGGAAACCCAGGTACAGGGTGCCTAGAGTGGGCAGGCATTCTGTTTAGTCTGGAGACTGGCCTACATTAGTGTATCTTTTATGTGTGTGAATGTTTTACCTGCATGTATGTATGTGCACCACGTATGTGCCTGGTACCCGCACAGGTGAGAAGAGGGAGTCAGGTCCAGTGGAACTGAGCCCAGATCCTTTACAAGAACAGACACTCTTAACCACCAATCCAGAGCTACAGCCCCATACTTTTGGTTTTTAATGAGTTTATTAAATACATAGCAAGCCACAGTAAGATAACAAAACATCATTAAATAAGGTACCTAAAATATTCAGTAGAAATCAATTGAGAAAGCCCCATTAAGGCAGGTAGTTAGAGTGTATCTTGACTGTCTGTCCCCCCCCCCCTTTTTGAGGGTTCCAAGTAAAAGAAGAAATAACAGCTAAGTGTGAAGTCATTACATCTATCAGAAACCCAATGGGGACGTCTGTTGGAAATATAGCTGTATTTAAAAACATGATGTGTTTACCCTTGGGCTTTTTTTGTTCTCTTCCCTCCTTGTCACAGAGTTGCGTTTTGGGGGGTGGGGGGGGGAGTGGGGGGACACATCTCCAGACAAGGGCCTTAGAGGATCCTTTGAGACAGACATGTTTAGGTCTGAAATGAGGTGGGACTGGGGTCAGCTCTACCCAGGGCCAGCTTCTCAGTGAGCAGAAACTGCTCCTGACAGCTTACCAATACAATGCATGTTAGTAAGGTTCACAGTTCAGTGAAGAGACTACTTTGGAAGGCGGGTTGAGCAGGGTTTGTGTCTTGGGCAAAAAAAACAAGGCCCCAGATTTTGTTACTATTACTGCTTCAGGATTTTTGTTGTGCACTGCTTAGAAAGAACCAGGGTGACTCACTGGACACATGGGTGGTGAGACTCACTGAGAAAGTAGGTAAACTTGAGGAAATGTATTTTCAGACTCTACAGGGTTTGGTTATAAATGGTATACATCAAATGTGTAAACTCCTATTTATATTTTAAATAACATTTTTTTGTATATTTGAATACCAAATAAAATACCCATTTAAATGTATCATGTCTCACCAATTTTAGATGATTTTTATTACTGCAAAAGACAGAACTATATACAATAGGAACCACGCCCATTTCCAGCTTTTGCTAACCATTAATTAATCTAGAACATGCATCATGTGGCTTGTATCTAGCATTTTGGGGGCTTAACATTCTTTTTCCAAGTCTCATATATATTGTAGTATGTATCAGGACTTTATTCATTATATTTGTATTGTTTTGTTTGCATGTATGTATGTGCATCCTGTGCATGTCTTGTGCTCTCAGAGGAAGAGAGCATTGGAACTCCAGAACTAGAGTTATGGATGGTTGTTAGCTGTCATGTGGGTGCTGGGAACCAAACCCAGGTTCTTTGCTGAGCCGTCTCTCCAGCTCCAACACTTATTTCATATGACCAAGTAACATTTCCTGGTATAATGCTCTGCCAGGCTTACTGCTGCTGTGACCACATACTTGAGCAAAAGCAACTAAGGAAGATTTATTTTTGAATCATGGTTTTAGCAGTTTCAGTACATGGTAGAGACAGGGAGAAGGTTAAGCTTATGTCTAAAGATAGTAAAAATGTTGTATACGTATAGTTATTGACAAGTATGTAGGTCATGACATGGAATGAGCTGTTTGTCCTTTATTACTTAACTATTGGCAAACATAAAGTAACATCTATTCTTATTATCACAAGTGTACATAAGAGTATATATTAAAGTTATAATATACTTTATTATAGAATGCATGCATTTCTTTGATGTGCTTCTTTACATAAGGGAAAAAACTACTCAGAAACAGTAACTATATTTACTAAATGTACATGTAGTTTAATATATACATTCTTTGGTTTCTCTTGCTACTACAGGAAGCTTATGTGCCTCATTTCTTACTCAGAGTTACCAACTACCAGTTCTTGATACAATGTTTATAAGAAAGAAATACAGAGGAAAAGATTTGGGACTTCATATGCTAGAGGACTTCGTGGATTCCTTTACAGAGGAAGCGCTTGGCTTGCGGTATCCGCTGTCTTCTCTCATGTACACAGGTAAGTGGACTGAGCTGAAAAATGAGGTTAAACTTGACACCTGAAATTTGTTTCTCCGAAATACTGTAAATGTATAAATAGCTGTTTCAAATGTAATTAGAAGTTTTTGCTTTCTAGGGCTTAACTTTCGTTTGTGGGTTTTTTGAGGGGGGGGGGGTTGTTGTTTGTTTTGTTTTTTGAAGCAAGGTTTCTCTGTGTGACCGCCCTGGCTGTCCTCGAACTCACTGTGATCTGCCTGCCTCTGCCTGGCGAGTGATGGAATTAAAGGTGCGCACTACCATCCCCGGGCTTTTTTTTTTCTAAAGCCCTCCTATAGTTTTCATGTTTCTTAGGGTGACTCTGCAGAGATGTCTCACTTAGGTAGGCTGCCACCATACCCTTATCCATACTGATAACCAAAGCTCCTAGTGATCTCTCCCTTTCAGAGTTGATTACAAATAAAGCCTGTTTGGAGGGCTCTGCAATCTCCATGGCCAGCAGAGTAATGATCCACCTGAGGCAAGAAAGAAATCCAGTTCAGTATGACTCAGTGGCCAGTGTTGGTTCAAACATCTGGAGTCTGATATTGGGCAGTTAATTTTAAGCATATTTAAGTACAGTGCAGTTTGGAAAAAAGTTTCCTGGTGTAACACAAGCTCATGTCCACAGTGAAGCTTGAGGCATAATTGCATCAAAATTCTTTTTTACTTCTGTCACTTTTTGTATGAAGATAGATCATATAGGGAGGGTAGGCTACATAGATGTTTTATCTTAAGGGCCTAGGGGAAGGTCTGGGGTGGCAAGCGCTTTTAACAGTCATATAGTTAGTGCAGAGGTTACCTAGGCTGTTAACCACCGTAGTTCCCAGCTGTCTGGTCAGAAAACAAGTTATACATCTCTTCCTTTGGGTAGATAATCCTGTGCATTCAACATTCCTGGTAACCCTGGTGCTTGCCTGTGAGTGCAAGGGTCTCTGTGCCCCTACACCCAGTTATCAGAGACAGGTCATTCCACGTGTGCACTTATTTACACTAACTCATTTTCTCTTGTTAAAATGGAATTTAACAACTCCTGGGCTTATTTGCACTCTTAAATATAAGTGAGCACTATTCTATGTAATCATCTGAGTGTAGGGTGTGTTGTAGAGAGGCTTTTCATAAGGTCCTGATCTCTCTCACCTCTGTTCCTCCTCTTCTAACATAGAACTGAACAAAACGTGTTTACTGAGGAATTAGAATTTTCTTTTATAGGTTTTCAGTCCTTGATTAAAAAACAAAACAAAACAAAAAATTAGAAACAGACTCTGAAGGAAGCTTAAGAATCAAACTTGAGAGAAAAACCACAGGAGTCACAGGATTGCCAAGCAGCTGCTGGAGGAGACAGATGTAGGAGGGAGAGTGACAGTCAAGCCTTTTGAGTTAGGGTCAGCGGTGGAGATGTGCCGGCAGCTACAGCAAGAGAAGGGTTTGCAGAGAAAGCGGTGAGAGAGCCCAGGCCATCGGGAGAGTGTGCTTGGGATTTGTAGTCAGCATCCCAAGCACAGACAGAAAGGGACAGAATAGACACACTGAACTATTGTGTATAGTTCTCTTCAGGCCGTATGTATTTTAAATGTCTTTGTATTTAAGGTTGGCAAATATTGAAACATCTTGGGAAAAAAAAAACCCAGTAAACTGTCTCATTTGGAATAAGAGATACCTACTTAGTGGAATAAGGACAGTCTTGGTGCATAAAGGTGACCTTGGGTTAGAATTCCTCTTGCTCCAAGATCCTTATTCCAGCCCAGTGGCATAGCCTTATGGTTTGAGGCAAGGACTGGAAAATGCTCAGTTACAAGTCAGTCTATGGATTCACACTGGGTATTTATAATTTGTTCATATGATAGAATAGTATCCTATTGCTAATATACAGATTAGACAAGTTTGACAGAATTTTTTTTTTTAAAGTAATTTATTCCACTTTATTTTGTGTGCTTTGGTGTGAAGACGTCAGGTCCCCCGGAACTAGTGTTACAGACAGCTGTGACCTGTCATGTGGGTGCTGGGAATTGAACTCGGGTCCTCTGCTGGCAGAGCAGCCAGTGCTCTTAACTACTGATCCATCTCTCCAGCCCCAGAAAAAAAAAAAAAAAATTTTTTTAATGAAAATTGCATATAGGCTGAGTGTGCCTCACCAAAATGCAAAGTGCTCCAAGTCTAAGTTATTAAGCATGTAATTCAAAAAGTTTCATGTATGCATTTAAAATTTTCAGATTAAGTATGCTCAATAGTATAGCCTATGCTACATTTTAAAATATCTCTTAAAATAGCAAAAAGGAGGAAAGGGAGGTGCCCGGGTCATTCAGTGAGGGAGCTCACCAAGAGTGTGTGTCAGTCTCAGGTACAAGTAAACTTTTTTTATTGCTTTGGAGCCTGTCCTAGAACTAGCTCTGTAGACCAGCCTGGTTCAGACTCTCAGAGATCCATCTGCCTCTGCCTTCCGAGTGCTGGCATTAAAGGCATGTGCCACCAACGCCGGGTACAGGTAAACTTGATGCTGGAGATACTGGCTTTGTGCTTAAGAGCATTTGCTATTCTTCGGGGAGTTTTGATCTTCCCTTTGGAGCTGTTTGTGGCCCCTCCCCCCTTTCCTTTGCTTTCCTGAGGTCAGTACACACTTTCTCATGATGTCATATTTGCATGTCCATAACTTTAAAAAGCATAGTGTGCTTTCTAATTGTTTTTATTTTAACTGACCTTTACAATTGTGGTACTTTTCCCTTATAACTACACACTTCTGTGGTATTCAGTGCTGTATTTTTATTATCCCTATATGCAAAACTTTTTCTTGTGCTAACATGGATTGCCTTTTGGTAACGTCTTCTGCCTTGTGTTCCTTGTGAAGTATCTATTGGTACCTAGCTGGGTCAGCTAAGTGGAATCAAGTCATCATTATCCTCTTGTTTGTGACTTATTTTGACAAACTACCAAATGTTTTTCTCTACCATTTTGTGGAGTATAATTTAAACTTCACACAATGACATCGTTTTATACATGTATTATACTCACATTCTTTAGATTTATCTCTTAAAATTCTTACTTGAAATTTTGTAAGATGTTTTACTTTTTTAAAGATACATTATTTTATGTGTATGAATGTTTGGCTGGCATGTGTATCCATGCACCATGTGGATGCCACTTAGTACCTGTGGAGGCCAGAGGAGGACATTGGAACGCCTAAAATTGGAATGAAAAATGGTTGTGACCCATCATGGGTACTAGGAACCAAGCTCAGTTCCTCTGGAAGAGCAGCTAATGTTCTTAACCGCAAAGCCCTACCTCCAGCCTCAAGAGTAACTTGTACTTGAGCCTCTGCATACTCTTGGTGAGTTCCCTTGGTCATGGTGTTTTTCATGTGTGGTTATGCCACCTCACTGAATGATCTGGGCACCTCCCTTTCGTCTCTCCTTTTTTGCTATTTTAAGAGATATTTTAAAATATCTGAAAGGCTAAATGTTCTAGAGATTTCTAGGAAATTATTAATTTGTGTTTTTCAGCTTCCAAGCAATACTTTGAAAAGTATCCAGGAGATCATGAACTTCTTTGGGAAGTTGAAGGGGTGGGTCATTGGCATCAGCGGATACCAGTCTCCAGAGCATTACAGAGAGAAGCAATTAAAGTTACAGGTAAGACTAGTAGACTGTGGGACACTTTAAAAGCAGCAGCTGATAGTGCTGGTGTTATATCTCAGCAATGTTGTGACCTTTCTGGTTGCAGACCCACGTTTTTTATTGTGCTCTTACTTTTGAGTCACTAATAAAAAGTAGATGCTGGGTGGGGGGATTAGGAAATACTTGTTCTTGTAAAGAACTGGATTCAATTTCCAGCATCCACATGGTGGCTCACAACCATCTGGATAACTCAAGCTCCATGGCATTTGGCACTCTCTTTTGACATTGGGGGCCAGGTACACATATGACATACATACATGCATACATAGTGTCAAAATATTCATGCACATTAAATAAGTCTAAAAAGTAAAATTAAAAGATAAAGACAGACTTTGACTAGCCCAAGTAATGAACTACCCCAGTAGGAATTGGGAGTAGAAAATCAGTGTATTCATGAAGCCGCCTGAACTAGGCTTTGTGAATCAAAGGGTTGGGTATAAGGTACTGTAAAGGAGACATAGCACACTAGATTATTGATTCCTTTTTGTTTATGCTGCTCTTGGAAGTTAATAACAATCATTAGATACTATACTATTAAATTGAAAAACCAAGATTGGTTGATAAGTTTAATTTTTTTCTGTTTACAGAGATTTCTCAATATGAAGCTAAAAGGCCTGTATCTGAAGAATATGCTCTTGCTACAGTACCAGAATATGAGCCTGGAATGGGAGATGATCAGTCTAGTGAGATGCAGGTATACCCTTTGACCATCGTAGGAAATAGTAATGTTTTTATGTCTTATGTTTAGTTGTTTATTGTTTTGTGATCATGAACATTGAAATTGGGACCTAGTGGCAAGTGTTTTACCACTGAGTTACATCCCCAGCCCAGTCTTCCTTTTACTTTTTCTATTGAGGTTATAAGCCTTTGGCAGCTTGGATGGGGTGGGGAAGGGTTCTGCCACTTGGGAGTCAAGGAATACCAGGGGTCACAATAAGCATAGCAGCTTATAGCCCTGCTCCAATGGGAGAGGTTTTCTCCAACTGGGAAGGCTTCCCAGTGTATCAGCTCTGCCCTGGTAGGAAGGGATTCCCCTGTCATGAAGTTGTTACAATTCTACTCTGGTCCCCTGGAGAGCAGAGTGTAAAAACTTAGCTGAGCCAAGGGAAGGTTTCCCTGGCGTAAAAAATTACAGCCCTGATCCACCCAGGGTTGTCTGCTCTTGGAGAAAGAAGGCCTTCACCTAAACCTCATTCAAGAGATTTATTAGGAGGGAAGAATCCAGGAGAGTGGCTGTCCTTTGCCAGGGGGCCAGAGGACAGCAGACCAGCCAGCCGCAAAACAGGCACAGGATTTATAGAGGGCTTCTTAGGGGTGGAGTTTTCCAGGGAGAAGATTGGTCAGATTTCAGTCCCTGAGCTTAGGATGGCTGGTTTTAGATTGGTTGGTTTTCTGCACAGGTTTAGGGTCGGATTTGGCTCTGGTTTCAGGGCCAAAGTGCGTTTCTTTCACTGGTCCTTTTTAGCCTTTTGGCTCTAGTTTTCTGACCAGGGTGTGTTTTTTTCCCTACAGAGGTAGGTTTCACCATGTTGCTTAGGTTGGCTTACAGTCTAGCCTGGCCTTGAACTTGAAAATGTCCTCAGCCTCATGAATAGCTGTAGGTTTGCACTTCAAGGCCTAGTTTAAGTTTCAAATATTACAGTTTATTCAACAGATTTAGGTAATTACAATTGTTTGTTTTCTTGGTGACCTCTGTCAACTAACTATTTAAGATGTAATACTTTTTGAAAAAATAGTTTTTAGAAAAATATAAAATAAATAATGTTTACAGTATTACACATTAAAGCTATATAAGCATATAAAAGGAAAAATACTAATTTTTTGTAGTATACTTAATCCAATTTATATTTCATGTCTTAGTTGACATGAGTTGACTATCTAAGGATAACATAATAAATAAAATAAAACACCGAAAAGTCAGTTTTTATATATTATTTCTATGTTTAGAAAAATCATAGTGTCTGTCTGTTCTTTTTCTTCCTTTTTATTTTTTTTAAAGACAGGTTTTTCTGTAGCTTTGGAGCCTGTCCTAGAACTTGCTGTATACATCAGGCTGGCCTCAAACTCAAGAGATTCTCCTGTCTCTGCCTCTTCCTCTGCTGGTATTAAAGGTGTACGTCACCACTGGCCAGCCCTTCCTTTCCTTTAGTTTGTTTTTGAGAAAGAGTTGCTCTGGCTGACCTGGAACTCACAGACTCTTTTGCCTCTTCCTCCTGAGTTCTGGGACTAAAGATGTCTGTCACCATGCCTGACAAGCCTCTGTTCTTTTTATGTTACAGCTCATATTCCTCAGATAGACAGACACATATTATTCTCATTTATCATAAGATCAAAAAAAATTTTGCACTTCCCACACATGTAATAAATGCTATAGTTTATTTTAATATAATGCCTAATAATTTTAAATGTCATTTGAATGAGAATATATTGTAGTGGCAATATGTCATAAGGTTAATAGCATAAACTTATTTTCTGTCATTTTTGAAGTTCATATTCTATATACTACTTTTTTAAAAAGATGTATTTATTTAATTAACCTATATACAGCGTTCTGCCTGCTTGTATGTCTGAATACCAGAAGAGGGAACTAGATCTCATTACAGATGATGGTGAGCCATCTTTGGTTGCTGGGAAATGAACTCAGGGCCTCTGGAAAAGCAGTCTGTGCTCTTAACCACTGAGCCATCTCTCCAGCCACTCTTCATATTACTTTAATGTTTTAGTTCAAAGAAAAAATATGTAACCACTTAAAGTAATTTTAGTTTGACTATATGGTTCATTCTTTGTTTTGTTTTTTGATACAGGGTTTCTCTGTATTGCTTCAGGGCATGTCCTGGAACTAGCTCTGTAGACCAGGCTGGGCTCGAACTCACAGAGATTCGCCTGCCTCTGCCTCTGCTTCCCAAGTGCTGGGGTTAATTAAAGGCATGTGCCATCTAACACGCAGCTATGTGGTTCATTCTTTAGGTGATGGTTTTACTTTGCTTGATTTTACATATTTGTGTATATGAAACATTACATATATTAATCTCATTTTTCTGTTCTAGTTGAACTACATACTTCTTGAGGGCAAGATTTTTATGTATTTGCCACAGTTGACTCCTATCTAAGTATAGACTTATAGATAGGAGTTTCAGTTAACATATAATATGCTAATGTAGTACAATGTGACATTTTATTATGTGCGTTATGTAATGGTTGGATCAGGCTCATTTGCATATTCATTACCTCAAAACATTTGCCATTTATTTTATTGGCAGCTTCCAGGTTCACATAGCTCTACTAGCTGTTCTGAAATACAGGATGAATTTTTTCAACTCTATAACTAGATCTTTGATATGTGTATCTACCATGTTGTAGTTCAGTAAATGTGTAATGGGTGAATGAGTGTGATACTGTGTAATGGGGTTAGATATCAGAGCAAGAAGTGAATGTCCGAAGGTAATGGTATGGTTCTTTGAATACATGACAAAACTAAATGATCCATTGTTGAAACATAATAAATTGAGGGGTAATAACTGCCTTAGTTACTATAGCAAATAACTGAAACTAAATAGCATGGGATAATTTAATGGGCGGATGGAGTTCTTTGAGAAGGGTTGTTAGACATTGTAGAAGAAACACAAGAGATAATTCAGAAATGGCATGCTTACTATGGAAGTAATAAATTATCAGAAAGTTTTATTTTTTTACTTTGTATTCTGTACAGTGGTAAGGTGTTGGTTTAAGTTTTAAGCAAAGGAATTGCACAGTTTGATTGGGAAGCATTCTTTATTAGGTGTAAAGTATAGATAGGCTGTAGTTAAAGTGTGGGACTTGACCAGGGACAAAGACATTTGAAATGTTCAGATTTAAGATAAGGAAGGCCTGGGCAAAAGCAATGGTGATAGAAAAGGGTAGTTCTGAGAGAGCCTTCATTTAAAATCAGCTTTGTGATGGTTTGAGGGATGGGAAGGGCTCACTGCTATTTCACAGGTCATTGCTGGAATGACAGTAATGGCTATTGCCATTGATGTAGATGAGGAGTAATGTTGGGAATACTTGCTTTGGAAATCAAGGTGGAAATTGGGGTACTTTATTTGTATGTTTTGATTCATTAGCAATAGTTATCTAAATTAAAGATAATATGCAAAAAATGCCAAGAGAGCAGTTAGCTGTGGGCAGAATGCCAAGACACTCCTAGGTAAACCTGTAACATTTCGGATCCTAGGATGAATTCTTAGGGTTATGGTGAACCAAGGGTTATAACATAATATTTTTATTTCAAAGGTAGATTTCTCAAGAAAAACGACTATTTGAAGAATTAAATATTTTTCTTTGAAACTGTGAACGAAATATGTTCATAGTAAGAAAGGATAGTTAAAACATTACATTTTGATCTTTTCTCTATTTTAGATCCATTCCTTAAAAGATGCCTTTGCTAGTACTTCTGAAGGTAAGAAAATGAGCTGTTCTCTTAGTAAGTGTTCTAGCTCAGAACTCTGATGCCACGATGACCCCTAATTTTACTGTGTGTGAACCCTGAGGGTGCTGTAGAGCCCCTCCCCCCTTTCTTGTGACATGGGGATCATAATGTATCACTCCCCAAAGTCAGTAAGAGAACAGGCATGAAAGTGTGGAAGGAAACACAGTAAACGTCAGGATAATGTAGAAATATGAGGAGTGAACATTGGCTGTTATTTTGTAATGAAAACAAATGCTGACATTGCTTTCTTAGCCTGATCTGAAGGAAGGAGTAAAACTGTATGATGGGGCAGTGCTGGGCTGATGTGGCCTGGTTGTCGCATTTTTGTGTGTTTTAATAGGTAATCCTTCCCATGCATACATAGTCAGGTGCAGTTTTACTGTTTTCCCTCAGGTCCAGAAAAGACTCCTGTTTCTACTCGAACTCGAAGTAGTCATCTAAAGCGACCAAAGATTGGCAAGCGGTTTCAGGATTCTGAATTTAGTGGATCTCAGGGTGAAGATGAAAATCCTGCTCAGACTTCACCTATGGCTTCAATAAGCAAGTAAGGGAGGGAGGGCTTTTCACTGCCACACTGTTGCTTGCTGTCTAGTCCTGAAGGTGGAGCTGCTTTGTTGTGGTGTAGCAGGTGTCCTCCTGGAGGGTTGTATTAGGTTCTGCTTCCCAGGAGGGCTAGCATCTGAACAGTGTGATAGGGGCATAGCCAGTTAGAGGCTGGAATAAACTCACGGTGGAACCTTCTCTGTGTGCAAATGCAGAGTGTTCTAGTCTATGCATTATCCTAAAAGACTCACTATCGGCAACTTTGAATTTGATAGGTAGACTTGACATCTGTTTTTTAAAAAATTCAGTTACTTTATAATTAATCCATTTTACCTGGGCTACTGAATATAATTTAGAAGTTAGTAATAACCTTAAATAGTACAGTCAGTTTTCCCAGAGACTTGGTAGTCCATAGAAACAGCAGAACCTTGGTAAAAATTTTATCTTCCGATCAGATGTGGTGACTCCTGCCTGTAACATCATTCCTTGGGAGGCTGAGATAGAGGGTTACTGTGAGTTGGAGGGGACTTGTGTTGTATGGCAAGTCTCTTTCTAAGAAAAGTGAAAATAGCAAAAAAAAAAAAAAAGTTTTCCAGCTTTTGGAGGAGGGTTTCACATGGACTGAAACTTGCTATGTGGTTATTTCTTTTATTTCTTTGTTTCTACCTTCCAGAGCTGGGGTTACAGGCGTGTATCACAATATCTTGTTTATGTGCTGCCCAGGGATCAAAGCTAGGGCTTTCTATGAACTAAACTATATTGAGCCATCTTTGCAGCCCCTTACTGGTATCTCATAGAAACCAAGATCTTATATTGTATAATAAAATTAGACTTTAGTCTGACCTAACCATTCAATTCAATCATTTAGGTAATTCATAGGTGTTAAATTACTCAAACAAAAAAAACTGTTAATTTGATTATGTAAATAATTTTAGATTGGGTATTTAAATGGTTGATTTCAATAAAATTCACACTAAAGATGATATATGTAAATATTTAAATCTAAATCATGTGAAATGAATAATATGTTTAGTCTTGTGGGCAGTTACTTAATGTAATGACTTTTTATTTGTAATCCCCCCCCCCCCCCCCCCCGCCTTGGAGGCAGGGTTTCTCTGCAGCTTTGGAGCCTGTCCTGGTACTCACTCTGAAGACCAGGCTGGCCGTGAACTCAGAGATCCACCTGCCTCTGAGTTCTGGGCTTTAAGTGCGTAATACCACTGTATACATGATAAACAAGGAAATTTTTAAAAAAGTGATTGTGGATATTAATAACTACATTGTGGTGTGGTTGTTATAATTTCCAGACTCTTTAAATCTCCTGTGCCATAGGAATTGTTCCATTGCTTTTCCTTGTAGTTTCAGGCAAATTCTGAGGGCAGGGACAGTAGGCAGCCACGTTCTTTGCCCATGTAGCATACGAATGATATGTGGCCAGTCTGCTGAAATCATTCCTTTAAAAACTCTTCAGTACTACTGTCTTCCAAGCTCCTGCTAGGATGGCCTGTTAACCTCTGCTTCTAGCACTGAACCACTTTCCTATTCCAAAGTCCAGATGGTCATGTCTGTCACAGCAATAGAACCACCTGTACCAACGTCTTAGTTCCTTTTTCTATTGGTGTGATTTTTTTGTAAAGACCATGACAAAGTCAACCTAGGAAGGGTTCATTTAGAGGTTAAAGTTCCAGAGGGCTAGGAGCCCGTCATCATCATAGTAGAAAGTATGGCAGGGAATGGGCGGGCATGGCTCTAGAGCAGCCTCTGAGAGCTTACATCTTGTCCACAAACAGGACACAGGGAGCACACTGGGAGTCTTTCAAAACTTTAAGCCCATCCCCAGTGACACACCTCCTCCAAACAAGGCCGCACCTCCCAGTCCTTCCCAAACAGTCCCAGCAGCTAGGCACGAAGAATTTAAACGTAGGGTCCTGTGGAAGCCATGATCTTTGAAACCACAGTATATATTTTCTACCTCTATCCATTCACTTACAAATTTTATGATTTCATTTTTCTTTCCAGTTGAAAGGAAATCCGTTTTACATATTTACTACATTTTCACTATCCATTCATGAGTTACAGGACATTTAAGTTGTTTCCATTTCCTAGACATTGTGAATAGAGTGGCTATGCACATGGCTGAGCAAGTTTATAGAATATGATGTCAGGTCCTTTAAGCATGTTAGGTAGTCAGTACCTATGATTATGGACACTAAAAATATTGTGCACTAAAAATATTAGAAGTCAACTGGGGTATGTGTTCATTGTAGTAGAATAGATGAAAAGTCTAGTTTACATAGAGAAAGCAGTAATGTTTTTAATAGAACTAAACAGGCAAGAAAAGGAACAAGTTTATCAGGATGAAAAAGATTAGTTTTTGACTTACAGAATCTCAAGCTAATGGAATAGCACTTAGTGATCTAAAGTATTACTTGTGTTAAGAAGGGATTCTAGGTTGCTGAGGCAGGAAGCTTGTGAGTGAGCCCCAAGCTAAACAATATTCACAAGACCAGGACTATACAATGCTTTGCTTAACCATACTAGAGGTCCTGACTTCATCACCTATATTATCTCAAAAATGAGATCCTTGAAATTTGTCTGTAAAAACACAAAAGAATGAATGGTGTTGGTTTGTTTTCTAGACTAGAGTGTACTGCACGAACCTCAGAGAGCTCAGAAGAAATCCTGGAAGAAGACCCCGAGCAGAGAGTGGTTGAGTTTGAAGATGAAAACAGTGAGAAGGATGGGCAGCCTGCACAGGAAACTCAGCCATCCCTGGAGAAACACGATGGTGACAAAGTATGAAGTCGCTTACTCGTTAAATAAAACAATGGAAGTCAACCAGAAGAAAACGTCCTTAACCATATACTGCTAGAGAGCAAAGCCCATAGTGTAGAAATGTGGTTGGTGATTAAGAAAAAGTACACAATGGCTGGGATAGGAAGGCCGATAGGAAGACCCCTCAGGGCATTTGGAATACATGTACGTAAGAACATAAGCAATGAAGCCTGTAGACAGTTAGGGCCCAGCAGTCCTCGGTTGCACCCCTAACTTGTTATAAGAATTGTAAGTTATTTAAATTTCAATGATTTTATAAATCCCTGGGAGAAAAATAGGTAAAGTAGTTACAAAACAAAACCACACCTCAAAACAAACAGATTAAATTCTCTGTAGCTAAGGAAACTATTAATCTGGCTTGATACTTGAGCTCTTTATTACTCCCGTCCTCCTTTCCCCTCCTTATCCTTCCCTTTTGATATCTCCAGTCCTTTCTACTTCACACATTCCTTGTTCGTGGTTTCCTATGCACCTGACTTTCATGAAAAGTCTCACTCGTTTCCCTAGTGTATACAGTATAAGAATAGAAGTACTACTGGTTTTCTTTATTGTTATTGTTTTTTAAATGTGTATGGGTGTGTTACCTCCATGTATGTCTGTCTAATGCCTACTGCTTTTGAAGGTCAAAGAGGGGCCAGGCATGTTAATCCCAGTAATGGGGAGGAAGAAACAGGTGGATCTTTTGAGTTTTAACCCAGTCTGATCCACACAGTGAGTTCTAGGACAGGCAGGATTATATAGAAAAGTTGCATCAAAAAATAAAAAACAGGCTGGGCGGTAGTGGCACACACCCGTAGTCCCAGCAGAGTCAGGCAGATCTGAGTTTGAGGCCAGACTGGTCTACAGACTGAGTTCCAGGACAGGCTCCAAAGCTCCACAGAGAAACCCTGTCTCGAAAAACCAACACAACAACAACAAACCAAACAAACAGAAAGAGGGCATGGGGTTACAAACAGTTTAAGTTGCTGTGTGGGTGCTACTGACTGAATCTGGATGTCTGGAAAGCAGCCAGCACTCTTATCAGTCTTCATGAAACTATGGTATACAGTGTGTCATCTGGCAAGATACCGGGCATATGTTTTTACAACTTTCCAGTGACAGCTCCATTGGAAATCCAGTGACTTCTCTTACCTTCTTTAAGGTCCTCTTGTTTCCTTGGCTTTGTAGCATTTTAATCTTTGAGGGTTTTCTTTTTTGTTCTTGTGTGTGTATATGTGTTCATATGTCTGCATTCATGTTTCAGTTATGCGTTTTTTCTCCTTAATGTCATTCTGGGATCTTTGGGTCATGGCTTATCTTTTGTGGGGTGGGGGTGGGGTTCACATGCAGAAGCCTGAGAAGGATATTGGGTATCTTCCTCTATTGCCGTCTGCCTTAGTGTTTTGAGACGGGGTCTCTCACTGAAATGAAGCTTGCCTTTTATCTAGACAGGCTGGTTAGGATGGTTGACCAGTGAGCCTAGAATCCCTTTCTTCTTGCTCCTATGCTGGTAGTTACAGAGAAACCTTCAAAATCTAAACAAGAAAAAATTAACATTAAACAGATGTAAGTTGATAAATATTGGAAGAAAAAAAATCTCAAAACTTGGAAGGTTTGTTCCATCAGGTTACCTTTCTGTAGTTTAATGATATGAAACAAAGAGCTGGTGGTCCAGAAATCACTCAGGGTTGCCTGACTGAGCCAACTGATACTGGGCCTTTGTCCTCCCATCAACATGCAGCTAGACTTGATATCTCCACAGGGCTGAGTTTGCTCACCCCTCTGGCATGGTGAGCTATCTAAGCAGAGCCCCTGACTTCCCAGGTGCTGAGCAGCTGGCAAGTGCATTCATTGAGCTGATAGCAAGTGTCTGCTTGCTCTGTTGCCGCTTCTCTGAGAAGTTCTTCGGGTTTCCCTTTAAGAAAGAATAGAAGGGCCAGGTGATATTGCCACGTGCCTTAATCCTGGCACTTGGGAGGCAGAGGCAGGCAGATCTCTGAGGTCGAGGACATCTCCGTCTACAGAGTAAATTCCAGAACAGCCAAGGCTACACACAGAAACCAACCCTATCTCAAAAAATCAAACCAACCAAACAAAAGCCAGAAAGGAAAATAATGATGATGATGGTGATGATAAAAGGAATAGATGGAGAGAAGCAGGATCTTTTCATTGAATCTCAGACTCCCATTGTGTAGCCCACCTGGGCCCCCGGGCACTGCCCTGTCAGCAGAGAATAGGAAGAATGTGTGGTCCTTGGAGATTCTTTACTTGGCTGACAATGTCTTCTAAGTCCCTCTTCAGGAAATCCATTCTTTACCTCATACTTTATATTGTCTTAATTTATTGTGAGTCCTGGGAGATGACACGTGGGGACTGAGAGTGGATCTTTGAGTCATTCAGTGTAATCAAACCCTGGCTTTCCTCTTGGTGTAGGACTCTGCATTAGAGCCTGTGAATGGTGAAGTAGTGGGTGATGCCCTTAAGGCCTCACTTGTACCTGAAGAGGAGGGCTCCACCAGTGAAGGTCTAGAAGAAGAGTTAAAAGTCCCGTCTTTTAATTCCAGTGAAGAGACGGTGAATGCTGGTCCACCAGCGGCCGACTCTCCAAAAGCTCCCGAGGCTGCCGCAGACAAGGTAAGGCAGACCTCTCATTTCCCCATAGCTGACTGTGGCCAGTGTCGGTGCCATTAGGGCAGAGGTGGAGGAGTCAGAGTCTTCCTGCACCCTAGCATGTAATCCTTTAGGGAAATTTTTATCTCAGACATGGATTTTTATATTTTTCTTTCAAGGTTCAATTCTGTGCCCACTCCACATCATATCTACTTTATGGTGACAAAATGAGCGTTCTTTTACAGACTTGGGGAAATGATTAGAAGAACTATAAAAACAAACAAAAAACCATGGATTACCAAATATTTGAGTATTCATTGTGTGCAGTGGCTATGACCACTACAGTAATTTTGATTGTTTTAAATTCAATAGACAAGCTAAAGAAAGGCTTGATGGGCTATTTAAAAATTAATTTGGTTTTGAGTATTTCAATTTATGGCTAAAAGACATGTACAGTGATGCTTTCTAAGTGTCTTACTGAGGTTGGTGAATAAAACTCCCATCGACCTTACTGCTGTTGTCTAATGAAACCAGTTAGAATGAGCAAGGTGCAAGGTAGCACAGTGTTGGCCCAAGAGAGTCTTCTTTCTGGCTCCAGTAAACCGAAACTTAGAGGCATATGAGGGTTTAAAGTAAACCAAAACTTAGAGGCATTTGATGGTGTAGTAGAATCTTGAAGTTTAAAGTGTCTTGGTTATGCTTTTGAGGCAAAATGATTTCTTGTAAGGGTTTATTGAATTAAACTTGCCATGAGACAATTTTAAAGAAATTGAGTTGAATTTAGAATATGAACTCATTTGTAAGAAAAATAATCAGTAGTCCTGAGTTCTTAACACAGAAATTTAGTGACATTGTCTGAGAATGATTCGTTTTAGAACAGTATTGTAAACTTTATTGAGCTTTGTTTTTGTATTTTTTCTTTCAGATTTTACCTGTTTCTGACTCAGAAACATTGACAGATCAAGACCCATCTAATGATAAAGGGAATACCGAAGAGAAGCTGTCCCTAGTTTCAAAAAAGAAGATACATTTGGGGAGCTCAGACAATGTTGCCACTCTGTCAAAGGAAGAGAAGTCTGAGAGCAGTTTTCCGAATTCTGCAGGAGCAGACTTTCCTGAAGAGCCAGTCTCTGAGAATTTGTCACCCAACACTACTTCCTCACTGGAGGATCAGGGGGAAGAAGGTGTCCCGGAGGCCCAGGAAACGGCGACTGCTCAGAGCTCTCTGATAGAGGTAGAACTTGAAGATGTGCCATTTCCACAGAATGCAGGACCGAAGAACCAGTCAGAGGAGCAGTCTGAAGCATCTTCTGAGCAGCTGGACCAGTTTACACAGTCAGCTGAGAAAGCTGTGGATAGCAGCTCTGAGGACATAGAAGTGGAGGTTCCCGTAGTAGACAGGCGGAATTTGAGAAGAAAGGCCAAAGGGCATAAAGGACCTGCCAAGAAGAAAGCCAAACTATCGTGAAGAAATGTGTGGATAAGTCTTCTTCTTTGTAATGTAGTGGTTGTTTTTAAATCATGCTAATTAATAAACAGTGTGGGGCACAGGACAAATTCCAAAATTTCAATTTGAATTTATTTACAAATGCAGGTTTTCCTCTTCACTTTAGGAACTAGGATTCACCTTTTTTTTTTTTTTTTTTCATTTTCATTTTCTCAGGCTATTTTCTGAAGTAACTTTTATTTTTATGAACCATGTGTCAATTTTGGGAATCCAGGTAATATATTTTTCTTTAGCAGGTGGAACATCTAACCATATTTTAAAAATACAAATTTAAAACTAGTAGATTTTCTAACACAAATAATACAGACATCTTTTGTACTAAGGGTTTTAATGGTAAAACTTGGCAAGGATTCTTGAGGTTTTATCTTGGTATCAAAATCAATCATCATTTTTTAAGTGTAGACATACCTAAACAAAAAAAAATGTGTTGATAAATTATAATCTCAAATGAGAGGACAAAAAAATAGAAGTTTATAGTCAGTGAAGATTTTTTTTTTTTGAGGTAGGTGTGTGTGTGTGTGTGTGTGTGTGTGTGTGTGTGTGTGTGTGTGTGTGTGTTTTGTCAAGTCAGGGTTTCTCTGTGTAGCTTTGGAGCCTGTCCTAGAACTAGTTCTTACAGACCAGGCTGGCCTCGGACTCCCAGAGATCCGCCTGCCTCTGCTCCTGAGTGCTGGGACTAAAGACGTGTGCCACCACTGCTAGGCTTTCTTTTGGGGTTTTATTTATTGTAGATGGAATTTCTTTAACATCTGTGGAGAAGTTCAGACTAGCATTCATATCATCTGGTGTTAACAGTACTGTTAGAAATTTGACTGTGGCATGTGGGCAATTTAAAATTCCACCTAAAATATTAGTTTGTTGTAACTTTTAAAATTTTCTGTATATTTGCAGATGGCTTGAGTACACTCTTAATCTTTAATCTGGTAAACACCTCAAGTAATTGAATTTAGAATAAACTGTAGTCCTGATCACAGTTCCTCCCTAATTAATGAGAGTACTGCATAAGTATAGGCCCCTTTCTAAGCCTGCTTAATCCCTCTATATTGTTTTCTAAGTCCCTGTGATTCTTCTGTTAAAAAGACTCAGTCTAGCTTGTGAGTTACAGCCTTGTGTCCTTTTTGGGATAGGGTTAGGACCACTGTGTTTAGACCAGCTACCCTAAGAGATGAACAAATGTTTAACTTCTATCTTACTCTGCTGTCTCTTTGGGTTTTGTATACTTTAGATGGATTGTGAGTGCTGGCTGTAGGCCATCCTATATGTGTACCTTATTGCGGTGGCAAAATCATTTGATTTTTTCTTTTTCTTTTTAATGGGGGGAAAACCTGTTCATTTCTTTATGACAGTTGGTTTTAAAATGAATAAAATGATTTTTCTTAGAATCCATAGACAATGCTCTGATTTATACTCAAGTTTGAGACCACTTTGAAACCATTTAGATTTGTTTTTGAAAGTTTGAACATTGAGGGAGAAATGCCTGGACTTGGTGTCCTTATCTGAGGTGCTGTTTTTGTCTTCAGTCAGGTGATCTGGTGATGTCATGTCTTACATTTCTTTTTTTAGGGATGCTATTGTTTTAGAACTTAGTTAAAATCTTTAAGCAGACCAAATAGCAAACTCTTCTATGATGTTAGAACACTTGCATTTACCTGTTGTTTTGATTTTTGGTTGTAAGCTAGGTGGTTTCATTCTAAGTGAAAATTACAATCTTTTTCTCAATAAATGCTAACTTAAAGAATAGTTATGATTAACTCTGGCAAATTTGCCAAATGCTGATGCTGCTTTACACATTTAGGGAAACTTTAGTTAATATCTCAATTAGGGATAGTAACTAAAGAGTCTGTTGAGATTCAGAAACTTAAATTCTAGTTTTCTTTTTTAATGCACACTAAAGAATTATTCTAGGTATTTTATTTTTGGCTATTGTTCCCTTTATATCACATTCTTTAAAAATGAGTGTTTTTAGGAGATTATACTCACTGGCAGCTCGATACATGAATAGTCTATTGAATTAAAGAAAGATGGATATCACATTGGGGACTAGCAGTATAAACTTACACTTATGAAGCTTGTTTAGTATAATTGGAATTTAAAGCAATTTCAAAACTTTTTTTTAGCACAGAAGACAACTTGTTATTGTCTGTGATAGAAGTTAAAGTTTAGAGATCACAGAGGAAACAGCTGGATCACACAGGAACAATCTTTTATATTCAGTTTACATACTGATTATATAAAATTTATAACAAAAGTATGTTCAGTAGGGAATGATAACTGAAGTTTTTACAAGGCATGAGGGATTCTGCTGTGGTTTCAAGGAACTATTTGTTGAGTGTTTGGTCACATTCTGTCAGCTGTTGTGACTGGTACTTTTGTTTAGAAGTCATGTTTGAGAAGGATGTTCCCTTCTAGTGTATATACATATATATTTCCTTATATAATATAAAGCAGATGAGTATTAGCAAAAATTTAGTTCTACTTTCAAGCTTAAACTACTGTTAGACCACACAAAAATTTATTTAAGAATTTTATTGTAAAGCTCCTTTACAACTTTTAGAGATGGAGAGTCTATTATGATTTTTTAATGCAATCCAATAGCATGACTTACAATGCCAGTCTTCTACATATGTTCACAACCTTTAATGTGTCTTCTTTCATATTTCCATTGGTTTGCAGAATCAGGCTATCTAGTTATTAATGGTTTACTTAACAGATGACCACAATGTTATCTGAGATGGTTTGTGACTTTAGAGTAATCTTCCTTTAAGCCCTTTCTACCAACTAAACATCTGGTCTAAGGTTCTTTCCTTGGGGATTACCTTCTAAGGTGTAGTCACACCAGCAATTGAAACAGATTTCAATGTAAATAAAGAATTTATACTAACACGACTCATAAGTGTATTTTAGAGAGCAACTCTGCTTTTTATGTCCACTAGAAATCTGGTGTTTTTGGTGTGGTCTGTTAACATACATCATGCTTGTTTTCATACTTTCTACCATGCTTTTTGGTACAAGATAGTTTGCTGTTTCTAGTTCTTAAAAAAAAACAAAACAAAAAACAAACAAACAAAAAAAAAAAAAAACAAGCAAACCTATTTCAACAATACCCACTGATTACCTGAAGTCAAATTTCCTTTCACCATCTGTAACTTAAGTGAATAAATCATACATTACCTGTTCTTATTGGTGGAAAATGTTGAAATCTAATTGTTAAGAAAGGTCCCAAGGTGATTCTGTGTGTAGTGATTCCCCTTATCATCATCTTGGTATGTTCTAAAGCTTGGGGAGGGGGAGATATATTATTCACAGTAACAAGTCTTACCAGAGAATTTATCGTTTGTTTCCTTGCTAGTTCCCCACCCCACAATGTTTAAACTAGTAATTAAACCTATATTTTGTGATTGCTTTCTGGTCTGTGCTTTCAGTTTTTTCTCTTTCCTCTGAATTTCATTCATGAAGATATTCTTAGATAGTGTATTAGACATTCAATGATTCTGCCAAAGGCCCAACTAATCATATTGGCTATATGATGAAGACAGATTAAAAAAAATAAACAATTTTAAAATAGTATGGTGATATACACTCTTTCTGAAGCTCAAAGACACAATCATGATTCTTATATCACAAAATGCTTAGATTAAGTTATAATTCCAAATCATGACTTTTAATTGTGGCATCTCAGGGCACTGGTACATAGTCTAGAATTATCTAAACCAATTTTTAACATCATGGTAGCAATGTGAATGCATTACCCTATTTTTAGAATATATGAAATGGTAGAAGTACACTTGAATTCACTGCAGTACTATATAAAGTATTAATTACAAATGTAGAAACTACAAGTTGTGAATTTTCAGTATAATTCTTTTAATGTAATATTTTATAAATTTAAACCTGTGCTTAAAATGCTCCACTGTTTAGGATTAATGGCAATGAGATGGAAAAGTATTTGAACAGATCTAAAATTCCTAGCCCACCCAATAAATAAGTGGTCAGTAACCTTACGGGTACTTAAAACTATACTGGTGGCTTTTCCATTGCTGCATACACTTCCTAGTTCACAGACATCTATTTGTATGCTTGCTACTCAGTTACATCAATACATAAGTCTTAGGCCCCAAACTAAAGACTAACTGTAAAACTGAGCAGTTTTTATTTTTCTTTTTCTTTACAATTATGGGTAAGGCAGCTTGGTAGTATTCAGAAAGATCACAGTGATGTTTTCCAAAGGATGTGTAGTCTTCAGTGGAAGTCACTATCAAACCAGCAAGACAGCATTTATGCACCCATCATTTTCAGGATTGTTAGTAACTTGGGCATACTTTCCTAAGAAAAACAAAATCCAAAGGAGAGAGTGTTAATAAAAATAATTTTAAAGAATAAAACTTTTGTCTAAAATATTTCTATCAAATTTAATAAGAAATGAGTGCAAAACAAGCTAATTCAAGATCAAATTGTAATCTGATAAATTTATCAGTGTTCACAAAAAAGCAGCCAGCTCCATTTTATTAATACATTGAAGTGTCTGTTTTCCCACGATAACTTATTTTGCTTTAATTTCTTTTAACAACCTATTTTAAACAATATCTTCATTATCAAACAACACCCAAGTTTAAGTACAATCTGGACAATAAAAGCAGAAACTAAATCAATGAGGAAAGACCTCATCTCCAACCCCCTGACATACTTGGCTCTTCTACATTGGAAAGGAAGCTGTACACTTAAGCCTTAGAAAGGTGTTTGTGGCAGGACTACAGGAAAGGGAAAGCACCACACCTGAACTTGTACTTACCCCAGATAACCTTGCCTCCTTGTGTCACCAGGCCCAATTCACTCACATTCACTTCAATAACTGTGCCTTTGGTGATTACACCCAGAGTTGTATATAATGGGGATGATGGGTTCTTTTTCACACCAAGTATTGGCAGGCAAAAAGTAGCTTTCAGCTCAGGATGTGTGACATGGGCTTTTTTGAAGCGTAGGCCCTAGTAAGTCAAACACAAGAATGAGTCCAAACGGTGAGCAGAGTCTAAAATCATCTTTTCTAACCATCTAAACTAGGGGATGAATAAGGTAAAACATCAGATAAAATAATGTTTCTACAGACTAAAAATTTCACAATGGATAGGAAGTGGTAGGAAGAAATACACTCAATCCAAAAGGGTTTTCCATGTAAAAACATCCTGTCAATACTTGTATTTTCTTTTTCTATTCATTACACTTACTGAAGGTTTACTATATGCTAGAGCTCACAAGTGGCTCATTTATACATGACAACCTTATATGAGCCTTCCATCTCCACAATGAATGAAAAAAACCAAGGGTCTGCAGTCTGCAGGTTTGAGTCTTGTTTCTAAATTAAATCACATGTGGTAAATGGAATCAAATCTACAAGTCCAAATACTTCTTTATGTAGATGGAAGTATGATTCAAATATTTAGCCACCTTTAAAGATGGGGAAGAAAATGGGACTGGAGGGTGTTCACTGTCTTTATGTAGATGGAGATACGATTCAAAGACAAGAGAATATTCTGAGAGGTCCTTGTTAGATGTCACAAAGTCATCCAAATAGGATCCCATCAGTAAAGTACTCTAAATGTCAGAACACATGTTGTTGCTTTATTTTCACCTGTGTGGGGATGGATGGGAGAAAATATTGTTAAATAAGTTCTTAGTAGTGGACTAATTATGAGAACTTTACCTCCCTGGGGAATAAAGATTGCCACAAAATGCAGTCCAAAGATTATGAATACAAAATCAAACTCAGGAATTGTGATATAATCCAAGGGTGAACAAATGTTCTGGGCTTTGCAGGCCAGGCAGGTAGCCTCTGGTGCAGTAAGTGAATTTGGTACACCAGTGGAGTGAAAGAGCATACATTACAAATTATTCAGATTGAGCATTAGAGTCAACACCACCACTTCTGTTTCTAAGCAAGCTAGACTTAACGGTGGTATATTAAATCTCTGAAAGGGTTCTCAAAAAAACAAACTCAGTTCCATATCTTTCAAAGCAGGAGGGGAAATTCTGGGCAAGGGCTTAGTCTGTAGAGATATTATCATATTGTTATCAATAGAAACAAGCTACTTTTATAGTTCCTAATAAAAACAAATAGAATGTACAAAAGTAAAAAAAAAGACACTTGCTTCACTAAACCTCAGCTAAATCCAATGCTTGATTTGGTCTTTTGACTAAGACCAAATGTAAGCAAACACACTCAAATTGTCTACTGGGTTTGGGTTGCTATCAAAGGCCCATGCTTGAGGTCTAGCACGACAGGTATTTAGCATCTTCTTACTTGTTGAATTAGAAAAATATGACTAAAAAATGAAGAGCCTAATGTATTATGTTTAAGTACAAGAATTCACTGCCAAGGTGTTAAGAAAATTCATTTCAAATCAATTAAGAATCTGAAGCTAAGATTCAGCCTCAGTTCATGGAAAAATGCTAAGTAATTTCCACTAATGACTTAACAAAAGTAGCACAAAATGCTGTCCAAGCTGTTTTCACATTAATTTTAGCAATTTTAGGAAAGTGTACTATGCTTCATCCAAGAATATTTAACAAGAGGCTAACAATAAGTCATCACACTCTTTTCTTACCATTGGCCTAATGAACCTTTCATATTTAGGTGGTTTTCTTGTAAAGCCATCACCAACAAAGCAGACTTTAGTAACCATCCTCTTCCATGCCTTCTTTTTTCTTTTTCCTGTTCGAATAACTTTCAATACTTCTGTTTCTCCTTGGGCACGGACTTTGGGTAGAGGGACTTCCCATTTTCCCTTAAAGTGAAGGTTTATAATGTAAGAAAATGATAGTAAGAATAAGTCAGGTGTTTTCTGTTAGAGTAGAGGATTCACTTCTTAATCATTCAAAAGGCTTCAGTTGTTTAATTGTTTTGGTGAAGTCTCTGCTGTCTCTTCACAAGCCATAATTAAGCAAAACCAGTGAAGTTCATATATCCTAGGTACATTAAATAAATGGTTTTGTTAAGCTAAAATCTCTTCATAACCTTGTCATGGACCCAAAATACATCCTTTAAGGCAATGACTTATACACACTGTATATCCTTGTTACTAGTTACAAGCACAATGTTAGAGGACACAGTCCATTCACTTAATTTCTTTGTATTTTTCCCTAAAATGGACTTTGAGACTGCTAGTAAAATCATCAGATGTTTTGTACTGCTCCAGAATACAGAAACACAAAACCTCTAAGGCAATGCAAAGAGTGTGGTGATTGTTTATGATCTAACAAATAAAGCTTGCCTAAAGATCAGAGTGCAAAGCTAGCCACACTAGTTAGTCATAGAGGCCAGGCTGTGATGGTACATACCCTTAATTCCAGAATTTGGGAGACAGAGGCAGAGGACTCTTAGTTCAAGTCCACTCTGAGCTACATGAGATTGAATCTTGTCTAAAAGAGAGAGCTCACACAAAGGTGATCTTAGACCTGGGATCCCACGCTTTTAATCCCAGCATTAGGGAGGTGGAGACAGAGAGAAGAATACAAGGCAGGAGGAAACGAGAGAGATGCAATCTGAGGAACAGTGTAGTCTAAGCAGTCTGAGGACAAGACTGCCCCTGTGGTCTGGGCATTGGCAGAGATGTAAGAACTCTCTAGTGGCCAGCTGCTTTGCTTCTCTGATCTTCAGCATTAACCCCAATATCTGACTCTGAGTTTTTATTATAAAGAACAATTAGAATAGACATGGGTTCAGGGAGCAACTTCAGCATTTCCGAATGACCTGACAGCCAAAAATGATTTACAGTCCCTTAAACTGCAGTCTGTTATCTGCAGCTGAGCTAATTCAATATATTCTTTGAGTAGATAACCACTGGTATCATCAGTACTAGCCATACCAATTCGGGATATTTACAAATTGAAGAAAAGATTTTAATACTGTGTATTTTTCTACTGGATTTCTTAAATCAACCTATTCATAGGTACTTAAAAAATAGTAAATAGTAAAAAAAATGCTGAAAGAACTGTTGAACTTTAAGTTAAATCCACTAGAACCAATTTTGGCACTACAAGGCAAGGAAAAACAAGAAAGTTGTGTTTTTCTCCATAGTAGTACAGCATCAGAGATTTTCAAAAATGTAGGAACTCATTAATTACTGAATTTTTAAGGTTCACTGTTTGCTCACTTTGCTATTAATTAAATTTTAAATGAAAGATGCATGATATTCTAATGTAGATGAAATTGGTTTCAAATGCGCTAGTTAGCCAAGGATGACCTTGAACTTCTGAACCTCCTGTCTCTGCTGGGATTACAGACATGCTAGCCAAACACTATCAACTGAGCTATATCCACAGCTCCCTCTGATAACTTTTTGTTATAACTTAAATTCTAAAATCTTTTCAACTGGGATATACCAACCTTGGTTATAAGACAGCAAGTTTCTATCAAACTAAATTTACAAAACGTGGATGAGAGAATGCTTAGCAGTTAAAAGCCCTTGCTGCTTTTCAGAGAACCTGGGTTTAGTTCCCAGCACCCACACAGCAGCTCATAACAGTCAATAATTCCAGTTCCAAGGGATCTGACATCCTCTTCTGGCTTCTGTTGGCACCAAGTGGTGTCAAAAATAAGCAATATCCAAATAATAGAATTAATAGTTGCCCTGAATGTTTCAAATTAAACTGGAGATAAATCTAGAACCTCAAATATTTCTCTCAAGCAGAAAAAGGTTTATTACTTACCGCCTTCTCTTTTCGTTTCTGCTTAATCATGTTGGAGAGTACTTTTGCTCTAGACTGTCCCTCTCTGTCCAGCAGATAGGCGGGTACTGCTCCTTGTGGGGTCTTCTCATCATCCTTTTGTTTGGTGTTTCTCTTTTCATGCATCTTAATACTATCAGAAAGGAAAGAGAATCAGAACATGTTTGGTAACTATTACCCAATAGGTGTTACTTGACTGTGAGAGTTAGCAGGACTACTTACGTCTTTTTCATTTGTATTTTCTCAGCATGGCGCTGTTTATGGTAGAGCTTAGCCTTCAGGCCAATCATTTTTTTGGCCTTCTTTGAACGTTCATGGGCTTCCCGGCTTTCTTTCTTTCTCTTTTTCTCATGGTAATCCAAACGATACCCATAGCGTTTGCGGTGTAATTCAATATATTCATTTTGTGGCTGTAATGATTCAAGAAATGTTGCTTTATTTTTGTACGTCCTGACAGGATTATTTTGAGATTTTACAAAGTATATAAATAGATAAGACTCCCATACTATACAAAGCTTTAATGACTCTAGCACTATTACCCATTCATATGATATAAATTAAATATATTTTAACCTTGGACATCATTTGTTTACACCTGCATGAATCCCAGGAAAAGCTACTGTTCAAATGTACTAAAAAGATGAGATAACTATAGGATTTCATTCTTTTTTCTTTGGACAATAAGGTACATTTTCAGTTTTGTTTGTTTGTTTTGTTTTTGGAGACAGGGTTTCTCTGTAGCTTTGGAGTCTGTCCTGGAACTAGCTCTTGTAGACCAGGCTGGCCTCGAACTCACAGAGATCTGCCTGCCTCTGCCTCCCAAGGGCTGGGATTATAGGCGTGTACCACCAAAGCCCAGCCTAACCTTAAATTTCTATGGTTTATGTTTTTCCCAGTAAATCAAATCTACAGAACATACCGCCTTTTGCATCTGGCTTCTTTCAACGGGAATGTATCCTTCTTGGGTGTATATTTTATAATGATGGATAGTGTCCCAGTGTGTGAACATAAACTAATCTGTTCACTGACCAAATGATGGATATTTGGATCCCCCCCCCACACACACACTTTGGTGATTAGAAATAAAGTTGCAACAAATATAGTTGAATTCAGGTATCTGTATAGAAATTGTCTACTGTCGAGTGTATTATTTTGGTCGTTGTCAGTACTGTATGGGATACCTTTGCATCTTACAGAGCTTCAATTTTGAACACACACAAAATAACAATAATAGAAGGCCAAGTCCAGCTCAGAGAATAATGCTAAGTAACAAAACCATTAAGGGTGGTATTTTCTTTCAACTGCCATCACCTAAACTTTTCAGCAACTACAAGAAAGATATAAGACGTTCCATTTTGTAGAGAAACATCCAGTAGAAAGAGAAAAGGCGGGTAGTCTGAGTGGATAGGTTTGGTTCCGCATTTTATTAGACGTTTGGCTTTTTGCAAAGACTACAGGACTACTGAGCAGTGAAATGCTGTGATGCCATCAATGCTTATTATACAGGATTATTATCACAAGCCTCAACTCTATTCTTTTAGGCTGGCACTGACGACACGCTAGCAGGATTAGTGAACTCTGTCTCACGTGCGTTCCCCGTCCCAAAGCTATTATGTATTCTTGCTAAGCACTCGTTCCCGGAGTCTGCATCAAGCTGCACAGCGTCTCAGTTCCGCCTCCCACCGTCCTCCCGCCCGACAGTCCAACCACGCTAATCCCCACGTCCCCAGTCGCCAGCGCCCGACGCAGGCTTCTCACCATGATGACAGCCGCGGAACAGCCGTCCGCGAGCTCCCGGGCGCTACAAGCCTCTTCTGGGTCTCACTGGTCCACGAGCCCACTTCGCGGAAGGCGAAACAGGAAAGGGCAACCCGTTAAGTTGGCCGAGTGAAGCGCAAACGCGCCACACAACCGTTCCGCGTCGGCTCTCCGCTCCTAGGCAGAAGAGCGGAAGTTGCTGACAGGCGAGATTTAGATGATGGACCGCCGGAAGTGCGAAGTGGGCTGGCTGCCTGTGGCGCCTGCAGCCGGGAGGTTTGTAGGTTCCTTCCTTCCTTCTGCAGGAATGAGGGTGGTTTAGGCGGTGGGGCGTTGTAATACGAGACCCTTGCCAGTTTTGGGGTGACGGACTCCCCGCAGGCTTGCTCCCCGCAGCCTGGCGGAGAGAAGTCAGCCGTCGGTGCACAAAGTGCCCTGTGGGCTCCACGCTGAGCAGCGGCGACCGGGTCTTGTACTGTGAGCACTGCTGACCTTTTGACTGCGACTTCTTGACAGTCACAGAAGCCCCAGCCCTTGACCCCTGCTGAATTAGGCACGTTTTTCTTCACCCTTTATCAAGGGCGACTGATGCTTTTGCTTCTCTCCTGTCATAATGTGTGCACAAATAGTTGAAAATTATTATGTAAAAAGTAGAGCTGCTGGGCCAACTGTCAGGAAAGCAATTTTGTTTTTTATGGAGGATCCAGACTTTAATTCCCTTAAGTTCGTGAGCCTCTTCTTAACAATCTGGGAGCTAGGGCTGCACGGACTTGGATGAACTGGCCCTCTAGTGCCGGGAAGGAATTTCCAAGAAAGCACATATAATTGGGGTCAGTTTTAGCTTTTGTTACTTTATTATTTTTTTTAAATGTGTATGGGTGTTTTGTCTACATGTATATCTGTGCACGAGGTGCGTGCCTGGTGCCCTCGGAAGCCAGAAGAAAGTGTTGGATCACACAAAATATAGTTTGGAGTGCTAGTGTGAGTTAGGAATTGAACCTGGGTCCTCTGAAAGGACAGCTTAACTGCTGAACCATGTCTCCAGCCACTAGTTTTACCTTTTACTGTAGTCACAGGAAATTCCTAACTAATGCCTAAAGTTTGGAACTACCAGTATTAGAAGGTATTCACCTCAAGTAGACTTAGTGCTTGGATTCAGGTTTTTCTCTATATAGTATTTGTTTTGTTTGTTTGATGTTTCAAGACAGGGTTTCTCTGTGTAGCCCTGGCTGTTTTTGGAACTGGCTCTGTAAGCCAGGCTGAACTTGAACACACAGAGATCTGCCTGCCTCTGCCTCCTGAGTGCTGGAGTCAAAGGCGTGTGCCAGCAGGCCAGGCTTGTGTCCATAGTAAAATGTGATTTTTAAAAATCTAGAACTAATGCTAATTAGCATTCGCGTGATTTCAGGTGCGGTACATCATGTGATTTATAGCACTGGAGTGTGGTCCCCCTTCCCATTGCCTCCCTTGCCTCCTTATGTGTTTGCTTTAATTTCACGGTTTTAGCGAAGCCTCCCTTGACCTCCTCACCATGACTGCCCATTTCCCTTTGTTGCTTAAATCTTTTCCACAGCATCTATGACATTAGGATGCTGTGTGTTTTATTTATTCCTTTGTAGCCCTTGAGTTAGCTAGAGTCCGTGTGAGTGCAAAACTTGTCTCTGTCCACTGCATTAACTCCAGTACCTAGAAGGTGAGTGCGTGGATTTAATTCTCATGCCATTTCTGTGATGTCATAGGAGAAAGACTGAAGTTTGGAGACTTCTAGTGATGTGTCTAAGATTTCAGAAGACCTGGGACCCCAGCAAGTCTTCTCATTCTAAAACATAGGTTTTTGTTGTTGTTTTTAAATAATTTATTGAAGTAGAGCATTCACACAGAAAATGGATATACTATAGAATTATGTCTCAGTGGGTTTTCAGACACTATTTAATCAGCTACCAGATCAAGAAATTACTTTAATCTGAATCCAGGAATTGCTATTCTTTTTTTCTAGCTGTCAATGCAGGCACCTTCACACATATGGCATACATTCACAGGGACACATATAAATAAAAATGAGTTTTAGGTCTTTTAAAATTAATTGTGCCCAAAATAAGTTTTGTAGTGAAAATAAGATTGATGGCTTGAGATGCTGTATTCAACATAGAGAGGAAAAGCAAAAGTTAATATTAAGGGCTGATGTTAATAAGGAACACTTTGGCCTAATTTGTACATTAGTTTTTTTTGGGGGGGGGGGGGTTTGAGACAGAATTTCTCTGTGGTTTTGGAGGCTATAGTTTCCTAAGAAATGTTAGATATGACACAAATTTGAAATGAAGTGTATTATTTATGAGACATCAACACATAACAATACATATTGTATACAGATAATACATATGGAATACATTCTGGAAACCTCCTTTCTTCAGGGAGGGAAGATAGGAAGCATGTTCTCACATACTTAGTCTAAGACCTAAATTTAAGGTCATTTTAACTTGGTGCTGTCAGATCTCTGTTCTTATATTATGTCTCAGCAACATCTTAAAATTCTGCTTTTGTAGAAGTACATTTTATGATTGTTGTTAGGTGTCCCATGATTTTTTAATGTATTAAACTTTATTGGCATGATTAAATAAATGCATTACATTTATTTGTTAATTCCCAGTGCCAGTCTGAAAATATGCATTTGTGTATAGAGGTCAGGGGATAACTTGTGACAGTTGGTTCTTTCTACCCTGTGTGTCCCAGGAATCAAACTCAGGTTGTCAAGCTTAATGGCAAGTGCCTTTACCTGTTGAGCCATCTTGGTAACTCAAATCATGTGATATCAAAAACATTAATATCACCATTGTTCTTCTCATAGAAAGTCTTAAGTCTTGATAGACTGTCAAGCCCAAATTAGTAGGTGCTAATTTTCCCAGAATTCTAGTTGTCATTTAGAAGCTTGAACTTATGGCAATATATAAATCTTAGTTGCTTTCTTTAAATGAATTATTATGTCAGTTGGTTGTTAAAAGTTTCGAAGTACCTAAGTCTGACTATCCTAGTTTGTCTAAGCAATCCTCCAAGTAAACAGTGTCCAATTAAAAAAAAAAAAAAAAAGAAGGAAAAAAGAAAAGAAAAATAGTGGCAGATTAGCTTTTAACATAATCAGTCAATATTCTTTGATCTCACTGTAAAGAATAAGTGTGTAATTATGGGTTGAGATTTAATGAAGAGGGGCCGGAGGTTAAGAACACTGGCTGCTCTTCCAGAAGTTCTGAATTCAATTTCTGGCATCCACATGGTGGCTCACAACCATCTGTAATGAGAGCTGGTGCCCTCTTATGGCCTACAGACATACATGCAGGCAGAACACTGTATATATAATAATAAATCTTTAAAAAAAATATTTAACATGTCTGTTTTTGATTTGACTGAACAGGGTTTCTCTGTGTCTGGCTATCATTCTTTAGACTAGGCTGGCCTTGAGCTCACAGAGATCCTGGCTCTGCCTTCCTAGTGCTGGGATCAAAGATGTGGGCCACCTGACGATACAATGTAACTTGATCATGCTCTCAACTCCTCCCAGATCCATCTTTCACCCTAATAATCATATTCTTTTGTTTTTTTAAACACAGATAATTAAATATGATAAGTATCCTCATGTAACTTGGTAGTTTCTCATTGACAACAAAAACCTATCTACATATTCTGATTTTTAGTCATAAATATGTGCAGATAAAACCCATAAAGAAATAGCAAAGTGGGTACAGAAGCAGAGGTGCCTTTGCTCTATGCTCTCTAACCCTGAGGAGTCACTCCCAGGTACAGCGTTTGCTTAGTATGCCCAAGGTCCTGGGTTTGACTTCAGCACTGCAGTAAGGCCCCCAAACCCACATTTACCAAGTCTTCACTGGGCTTAAAGTACAACATCAAAGGTGTGACAAGAAGACAGAGTATCTAACATCCTAGGACATGGGGAGACAATGAGAAACCAGTTATGCAGGAGGTCATGCTGCAACTGTCTTCCTGCTGACCCTGCACATAATCTGAGAAGTCACCAAGCCCTTTCACTTTATTTCCTAAGTATATCTTGAATCTATTACAAATGTCAGAGTTCAGGCCTCACCTTCTCTCTAGTGACTAATGTAACAGACACCATCTTCAGTCACTCTAACCCAGTGCTGTCAACAGAGAAAAGTTTACATACTATCCTTGCTCAAGAGCCACAAACAATGATTGTCAGAGAGGCACAATTGGTGTCCGACCATAGATCGATACTGCTCTATATTCTAAAATTCACAGCACAATCACCTGTGTCAAAGAACAAAATGTCAGTAGGTCAAGAAACACATTGCAACTCATTGATTCTCAAATCTATAGTTCTTTATAGTTGTTAAGACCTCTTGAGGGTCAAAATTACTTTCATAATAATATTAAGGCATTAATCATCCTTTTCAACCATTTGCACTGGTTGTGTGGTAGGCAAAAGGGGTCACCTTGGCATGTATCCAGGCACTGGCAGCAAATATATTAGCAGTTGGCCAGAAGTGGTGGTGCACACCTTTAATCCCAGAAGTAGCTGGATCTCTGGGAGTTCAAGGCTAGCTGGTCTACATAGTGAGTTCGAGGACAGCTAGGTCTACAGAGAGGCCCTATCTCATGACAGGCTCCAAAGCTACACAGAGAAACCCCGTGTCAGAAAACCAAATATATATATGTATATGTATATATATATATATGTACATATATGTATATATATACATAGATATTTGTGTGTTATTTTTTATTTTTAAAAATTTAATAATTATACTTCAATTCTATCTTGACATTTCATTTGTCTTTTATGGTTTTATTTTTTCTTTGAGATATGGTCTTACTGTGCAGCCCAGGCGGCCTCAGATTTTGCAGCCCTCCTCTCTACTTCCAAGTGCTGGGTTTACAGGTGTCTTAACAGACTCTCAGCCTTCTGTGTCTTTGTTTGGGAATTAAAGTGTCTGCCTTTTTTTTTTAATTTAAATTTTTAAATTATAAGCTTAAGAACTGTGCATTTCATTTCAAGCAAAGTTTTACTTTTCGAATGATGCATTGAGTTTTTGGTAGCTGAAATTACTTCTGCTTTCTAAAACATACTGTCCTGTTTCTCATATGCCTTACTGACTTGCAATGCAAAAGTTTAATTTTATAATTTTTTTCAGGGATAACATTTTAGAAGGCCACAATGTTTATCAGCTGGAGGATGTTTGCAATGAATCATCAGAGAATATTCAGTGTGCACATTAATGTAAGTGTTTCTTACAAAAATGACTGGACTTTGTTAGCCTGTTTTTTCCCCAGAGTTGTAGTTTAGTTTATCATCCCAAACTGTTTGGTCAGACTACCTTAATTTCATTGGAAACACAATTTTAAAAATTCACTTAGCAATAAAAAGAGAAGCAGATATCCTGAAACCCTGTCTCATGATGTAATAAAATGTCAGTTGTTTTGGAGGTGGCTGGTGTTTTCTGTCTCTCTTAGACTGCTAACTAAGGGTGGGCAGTATTATCTATTTTAAGTATCAGTAAGTTGAAACATCTGTGGAGTGAGTGTCTGTGACATTATGTCAGGGTACAGTATTATTGTTAATTAATAAAGGTAAAGCTCTCTGTTGGAAGCCGGTTTCTGAAGCAGTTTGACATTTGCCTTATGTTTCATGACAGCGCCCTCCCTGTGAGCTTTGTTCTAACATTTGCGCTCTATATACTATTTTGTAAACTCACAATTTCATCATGTATTGCAAATATGAATCTTCAAGTGGAACCATGCCCTCTGTCACTCACCTACTGAGACTGAGCTTCTCTGGGCTGTTTCTCCAGCAGTGACCCAGCAGGGAGCTTTGGGGAACCTGTAACCCAGATGACGCGTGACTTGTCGTTAGGCTGTCAGTTCATTTTGCTAGCTTAAAATTACTCCAGTTCTGAGATAGATAGATAGGTAGGTAGGTAGATAGATAGATAGATAGATAGATAGATAGATAGATAGATAGATAGATAGATACATAGATATCTTGAAACAGGATATAGAGAAACTGTTATATAGTGCATGCTGTCCTCAAGCTCAAGATCTGCCTGCCTCAGCCTCCTGATTTCTGGGGTTACAGGCATATGTCACGGCACCCATCAAGTATATTTTTATGTTCCACTTCTGATGTATAACACTAAAATAAAAGTAATGTCAATTCCTTTTTCTCTCTGCTAGACTATGTGTTACTGTAAAATAAAAGCCATTTTAAAAAGATCGAAGACTCGGGTGCCTCTTAGAAGAAACTACGGCTCCCTACCAGGTACAGATGTTAGATTCCTCTAGTTTTACCTGACATGATTGCTTTCTCCTCTCTCACGTAGTCTTTCACTTTTTCTTAAAGAACCTTGCTCTTTAGGGGTTTCCAACCTATTTTAACTTGTTGGCTGTTTCCTTGAAATTATTAGGGGAGAGTATTTTGGTAGATGTGAAGGGGGGCTGCTCCTGGTGGAGTTGTGCTGATTCTCTGCTGGGCCTTTGATGAGCTGAGCCATGGGAGAGTGATGGGCTTAAGTGGGCTCCCCATTTCTGTCAATAACAGAATAGTCTATTTTGAAGAGTATTGGAAGAAGTTTGGTTACATGTTTATCTGGAGTAGTATAAATTAGAAGCATGGCTTCCTTCCAGATTTGGAATACCTAGTAACTGAACACTCCATTGCTCATGGCCTTCCTGTGTTTGATGTGAGCAAACATACAGTACTGGATGAAAATGGCTTTTTTTTTTTTTTTTTTTTTTTTGCTGCTGCTCTTATTAACATATTTATCATGTACAAATAATGAAGTGAAATAATACAGATTGGCTGTTGATTTACAAGGACTGTGAATGTCATGGGCTGCACTGTTAGTCTGTATGCAGGCTTTTGCATTCTGCCCCCGCTAATTTAACTGTGGCATGCATGTACTTTGTCTTTTGGTCTTCAGATCCCCCAAGGAGGTTTTAAAAATCTAAAATGGTTTTTTACTTTAGAAATTTATAAAACTTGGTTTAAATAGCATGAAAGTAGAAATTAAATTCACAAGTAAAACTATTATTGTTTCAATATAATTACTGAAACTTAAGCTGGCACGGAGTGATCATTATGGACATATTTCTTGTAAAAATACCATAAGGATGTGTGGTGGCTCACATTAAAATTATGGTACTAACAAGGCTGAGACAGAGACTTGAGAGTCTAACTCTCGGCAGGACTACATATAACACTCTGCCTCAAAACCTTAAGTAAAAGCTGGAGGCAGTGGTGCACACCTTTAACCCAGAAGTCAGAGGGAGGAGGATCTCTGTGAGCTCGAGGTCAACCTGGTCTACATATCAAGTCCCAGGCCAACCAAGGCTTCCTCATACTGAGACACTGTCTCAAAAAAAGTAAGCCAAACCAAACCAATCAAAGAAAACTTTAAAGAAATGAAATTAAAAAAGAAAGACTACTTAGCTATTTAGAAGACTCAGGGTCTTCCAGCTTCTGCTGACTGATCCCACTCGGGCGTCTGTCTCTAAAGGTGCTGGGCCTGGCATAGCTGAGAGGAGGAACGGTCTAACGTGTATGGCAGCTCACGATTAGTTAGTGATCACTCTGAGTGCTTCAAGGCCTGAAAATGCAGGTTTACGTGGATGCACATTTAGATTTTCCATTTTATTTAGGACCTACTGTTACCTTCTATCATATTGTTATAAACGCTAATCCAACAATTCTGTGAATAGAGGTATAATAAGTAACAGACTGAAATAAATCTGTATTGTTTAAGGGTTTCATTTGTTAAATTGGTATTCATGGGTGTGGCCTTAAAAAAAAAAAAATGGTACCCAGAGCTTCTACCATCAACCATAACTTTCTTATGTATTAGTAGAAAGTAATTCTTAAATAATTGCATTTTATTTTGCTTGATTTGGAATGTTTTATTTGTTTTAAATTATTTTGTATGTTTTCATTTATAAATTAAAGAGAATTTTTCATTAATTTAACAGTTTAATTTCAATTCTCTCCGTATAGGTGTGGTAGGAAATGATGTGAAGTCCCTTTATTCCATCATTAGCCCTCCCGTGGCTAAGTAAGTACTATCATTGTACTGGTGTCCATAGGCTGCTGAGGAAGTTTACAAGTCTTCGACAGGCTTTATCAGTGGCTTATTTAATTCTCTGTAAATGCTAGTGTGCATCTCAAAAGACATTTTTCCTCAGTTAAATTTTTTAAAGTAACAAATAAATATAAGATATTCTTAAGGTTGTTATTAGCCTTTTTGTGACTTAGCTGTTCTGTCTGATAATGTGATAGGTTGGATGCATCAGTGGGAGTGGGTAAGGAACAAGAGAGTTATGGGTGAATATGACCTTAATATGTTACATATGTGTATGAAAATACCATAGTACAATTCATTATTGCGTATACTTAACATATGCTGATATTAAAACCAAAATATGTTTTGCTTTTTTCTTTGTACATAATTACACATATTATAGGAATACTAACTAATCACCTTTAGAATTTGTACAGTGTAGATATTTTGGTTATAATATGTACCTCATGATGCATGCCTCTTTTCCCCCTTTAAACAGAATTCGCAACATTGGAATTATGGCTCATATTGATGCAGGGAAAACTACCACCACAGAGCGAATTTTATACTATTCCGGATACACAAGATCATTGGGAGGTTAGAATGGATTCCTCCTCTCCCCAATCCCCACTAGCAAAAGAAGTCAACTAGAATGTGGCATGGAGTCTGATGTCTAAACGACAACATTAAGATAAGGTAGCTGGCAAAACCACCAGAGGGTCTTCTGAGATTTAAGTGAACACTGAGTCCCCCTAGGCCGTCAAGGGCCTCATGTGACACTGGAACCACACGTAGCATTAGATGTTTCTTTCTACAAGAGCATCCTAGTGAGAAGACTCAGTTACAGTTTCCAGGGGACATTTCATACCTCACTCAGGGAAGCCCAAGGTATGTAACTCCAAACTGTATTTCTTCCCAAGTCAGTAGAATTTGCCAGTAAGAACATAGGTTTTATTTTGGATTGTGTGTGTGTGTGTGTGAGAGAGAGAGAGAGAGAGAGAGCCATATAATTGACATGCTTATATCGTCTGATTTTTAGAAGGAAAAAAAACTGGAAAGTTAAGGTCAAAATCTCTATGGAAAAGGAGACAGTTCTGTTAATCCTTATCTTAGTGTTGTATTTTCCGAAGTCTGCAGTTTTCTGCTCAATTGTAGCTTTTGAAAATTGTAGTTAATTCTTAGTAGGCTTGCACTTATGGTTCCCCACAGCAGCTTTTTAGTTTTATTTGCATCAATTTTTCTGTGTATTCCTTGTTTATTTTTTAACAATTTCATATGGACATATAATGTATTTCATCCATCATTAACTTCTTTTGTTCCCCACACCCTCTTCCTGACCCCCTTCCCAACTGGTCCATTTTTCATGTTCATGTCTATGTATGAATAGATCTGTATGAGTGTGACTGTGAGTGTGTCTGAACATGTGTGTGAGAGAGTGAAAGTGTCTGTGAGAGTGTGTATGTCAGTGTGTGTGTGTGTGTGTGTGTGTCAGTGTGTGTGTGAGTCAACGAATTTAAAAGTGTATTTGCGTGAGCATAGATCAGGGGTTTCTGTTTTTAAGTAAATCTGGCTGAGCCCTTGGTGGGTTCAGAGGTCTAGTTTTGACATGTTCCTATTGGGAGCCATTTTCCTAGACTCTTGGAAACATAACTGACTTCATGCTTAGTAGAGGAAAAGAACATTAGGATTAGAGTCTTTATGATGGTAGATTCTTAAACATATGGTCACCTGGATTTTTCATTATTCTGTATTAATGAGTATGTCTGACAGCAAGATGTGGGGCATTATCAGGATTCTATTGTTTTGTACATCTGATGATCATCCTTCCCTCACATCCTGAGTTTGGATACCTGAAATGAGTGTGTAATTTCTAAGTTTCATTTTTTTTTTAACTATGAAAAGCTGTAATCAATTTATAGTCAATACAGTTTAAGTATTCTTTTTCTATTGTGATTGAGATATCAGAAATGTTTCAGATGTTTCTATTTTTAAGTTTAGGAATATTTACAATTGACTTCACTGATTGGGCATTCCTATTCTGGAAAATCTAGAACTAGAAATTGGAATTACTTCAAAATCTAAAGCATCAAGAACTGATTTTAAATTTCTGCAGGCCTAGAAACTAAATTGTACAGCTTGCTGACCCAGAGTTTGTTTTGTTGATTAGAATAATAATAATAACATAAGCTAGACGTATTGGTACACACTTTTAATCTCTACACTAGGGAGGCAGAGGCAGGCAGATCTCTGGGAGTTCAGGACTAGCCTGCACTATCTAGTGAATTCCAGGCCAGTCAGAGCTATACAACATAGCTAAGGTTGTTTCAAATACATTTCTTTATTTTCTCTGATATTAGTGTTGAGAGAGATAGAGTGTGTGTGTGTGTGTGTGTGTGTGTGTGTGTGTGTGTGTAAAGGGAAACAGGATGCCATTTTAGGGGTCTTCTGTTTATCTAAGTGGAAGTATGATGGTGTGATATCTTATATTCATGAATTTTGAATGATAGAAGTAACTTTCATGTGCTTATTGCATATAAATGTAATAAAAAAAAAGGTGTAACTCAAGAACCATTTGAGTGAGCTTTCAGGATTAAGTTTATACCTGGGTTTATTCTGAAGACTTCACCTCAGGACTTATTTGCAGGCAAATCCTTGCTCTGGAAATTTAGCAGTAAGAGTCCTTGTAAAGGGTGACTTAACTTGGGAAGAATGCTTCCTGTTCCTCATGCAGTGCGGCCACTCCTTGGTATTATTGAACTGGACTAGATCTTATACCCTGCCTCATTTTGTCCCTTTAACAGCTTGGTAAGGGTAATTCTTTCTTTTATGTTAGCTTTACCGCGCAGTCCAGATACTCAAGATGGTAGGATAGGAATAGAGTTAGGAGGGAGTTTAACCAGTGGGTTTCACTGAGCTGTTCTACCCCAGCAAGGGATGTGTGACACAGAGGGGATAAGAAACATCAAGCCAGGACGAAAGCGGAAGTGTGTGGTTTCCATGACTGAGCTACTAATCCCACTGAAAAAGCTTTTTCTCTTCTGAGGGGTTTATGTTGAGAACATAAAGGACTCTCGGTATTAGACTGAGTATTTGGGGGAGCTTTTTCTCAGAGCAGATTACCCTGGGAGGTAAGGTGTTGAGAACCAGTAGGATGCACTTGTTTTGCGTTAATCTGTGGCCTGTTTTTCCCGATTAGATGTCGATGATGGAGACACAGTGACAGATTTCATGGCACAAGAGCGAGAGAGGGGCATTACCATCCAGTCAGCAGCTGTGACATTTGACTGGAAAGGGTATAGAGTCAATTTGATTGACACACCAGGTATGATGTAGCTTCACCAGGCAGAAACTCTGTCACTGAGGCTGTTTCGGGGGTGGGGGGAGAGTTGTTTTTCAGTCATGGTCAGAAACATTTAATTTCCTCTTAGCCATTTCTTAACTTAAATGATAGCTTTATCTAGAGTTACAGGACTCCTCAGAAAAGGGTGGAGAAAAATGTATAGTGGTCAGTTAGGTGGGGGAATCTAAATGCAAGCCCAGAACTGAGGAGGGCATATACGTGAAACAGATGATGCTGTTTTGGTACCCACAGCAGAGAACAAGGCACAGCTGGGCTAGGGAAGCCGGCCTCATCTGTCTGTCCAGGAATTTTGCCTGTGTGTGCAGAGTTCTATATCTCCACTCATTACAACCATACTTCCCTTTCTGAGGCTTCTGGTGTATACAGCATCTGAAGACTTAGGCTCTGGCTGGACACCATGTCAGGAACGTCCACAATCATCCTCCTGGCCACCCAGTACCGTGGTGTTGGACTGAGGTTCCAGGCAGAAGTCAGCGTATCTGGTCTTCTGTATTCCTCAACTCACGGGGTGGGCACCTGGCCCAGTAGCTCTTGGGGTGCCAGGAATGGGTTCAATGGGCAGATCCCAACTGCTTGCCAGGCCGACCTCTGTTCTATGGGCTCAGAGGCTTGAGGACTGGCTTGGTCAGGCTCCTGTGACCCCTTGGAGTCAGTCCCTCTGTCTTACTCCCAGGCCTGGGGCTCTTCCCACAAGGGAGAGAAGACTGGGGGCCTCAGCTGAGCATATGTTTTTGTCGTATGTTCTGTTCCACCAGGCTGTGCAAGGCAGGTGGCACATGAGCAGGTCAAGGACCACAGCTGCCTCAGCTGCTGAGAGCTCAGGGCCATGGCCACTTCTGGAGGAAGAGGACAGATATTTGTAGATCTTTGTGAAGTCCACTGTGAAGTCTCTCTCTGTGGAGGAGCCAGCCAGGGACTTATTTGGTGACCTCAGAGGCGAGGCCAGAGGTGTCAGGGTTGGGTCAGAGGTTTCAGGAGTGGAGTCAGCAGCAGTCATAGGGGCAGGCTCAGAACTTCAAGGCCAGGATTGCTCTGCCCTCCTCGGGTACCCAAGAACAGCAGTGGCTTCCATAGGCCTTCGTGGTCTTGCCCAGCGTGACGTGCAGGAGTCTGATGGGCTCTGCACAGCAATGGTGGGCACATGGGAGAAATCTGCAGTCAGGGCATCCTCCAGTGGGCCTGGTAGTTTCTCCACAAGATCCATCCATACCTCTATGGGGAATGGGAGCTGTGCTTCTTGCCGTCTTAGACGTTCTGGGACACCTGGGTGCACCTTACAAATAACCTCACCATCCACAGGACCTTTGTGCGGCTGGATAAATCAGCAGATCTCAGCCCCACTGCGGCTCTGCAGCTCCTTGGCCAGCTCCATGGCGTCTGGCTCCGGCTGGCCCTGCCAAGCCTGGAGTAGTCTTAGTAGATACCGCATCTTGCTGGGGCTCCAAGTTTTGGGGCCTGTACCCTCACCTACGTAGCCAGGACCATCTGCCTTCACTGCGGTGACTTTGTGCCAGAATTCTGCAGGTCTCTTTCCTGATGGGCCTTCTTAGCCGTTTTAAGTGTACACTGTGAAACAGATCTTTAGAGCGTTTCGTTTTCTAGAACTGAAACTCTACTAGGTAGGCAACTGCTTTCCTTGCTCTTCTCCCTGCCGTTCTGCTTTCTACATCTGGTCACATGACTGTTCTCCACACCTCCTGGTAGTGGAATCACTGTATTTGATTTCTATGTAAATAGTCATTATTTTATATTGCTTAGAGAATAGTGGTATGAAAACAGTCTGTCCCCATTTACAACAGACACATTTTTTTCCTGGATCTTCTCAGCCCATAACTGCATCCCCAGATTCAGAGCCTGTGGGTGTGGAAGGCGACTGTGTGTTTAGTTTGTTCACTATGGATGTGGGTGGACAGATCGCTTCTTGAAGCATTCTTTCGGGGTTCACTTTCTTTTGTGTGTTCACTCAACGAGGCCATTGCTGATCCATGTGAGTGGTTGTTTTGTTTTTGAAGATTTTAAGTATTTCTTATTCTTTTCTTAGGTCACGTGGACTTTACCCTGGAGGTTGAGCGCTGCTTGAGAGTGTTGGATGGAGCAGTGGCGGTGTTTGATGCCTCCGCTGGTGTAGAGGTGAGCCTTTGCCAAAGTGAAGACAGAACAACAGTGTGTTTTTAAAACTGTAGACTGATCAGAATTAGTTCATTATAACCCTTTATTTGGTAAATCCATATAAATCAGGTTGTGGTAACAGGAAGTTGGAATTTATAATAAAATGTGATCTCAGAGTTTTTACAATGGCAGGAAAGTTTGTTATTTCTAGAAAATATGAAGGTTGATGTTGGGAATTGAGGCGGCTGGGATTCTGTTGATTTCAAACAAGTTCCCCTGCATTAGTTTCATGGGCTCTGTCAGAAGTCACAGAGTCACTAGGTGAGAGCCAGGGGACTTTATTAGACTCCATGTAGTAACCACCCTCGAGTCAACACCCCCCAAGTCTAGAGAGTGGCAGGAAAGGAGGCAGGGCCAGCTAGGCATGTGACGGGTAAGACGAGTGGAAATATTTTCAGTGTGTAATTAGCATCCCTCCATGTTGCTCTGCAGGACGGACACTGTCTATCTATTTTCTAGGGCAGTCAGCAAACCTACTTTTCCCACCAAGGGAGACAGTACCTCAATGACTGTTTGCTATGAAGCATCCTTAAAAGAGAAGGAGGGAGGGGGGAATGAGCACCTCAGGCAGTGCAGACCCATGAATAGTTACCTCCTCTCAGTTAATATAAGATTCTTAGGAGGGAGCTGTAGCTCATTTCTAGAGTATTTGCCTGGCTTGTGTGAGTACCTAGGTTCAAGTGCAGCATTGTTACCTTCTTGCCTATACACATAGGTATGCATTAAAGTACTCCAGTAAGTTCTGGAAATGGCTTTTTTAATAGGGCTTATTGCTAGTAGGATAAAATATGCTGTTTTTAGTTTTGTTTTGTTTTGCTTTGTTTCAGAAAGGGTCTCATGTATTATGGCTGATCTGGAACTTGCTATGTAGATGGAGCTGGGCTCAAACTCACAGAGACCCACTTGCCTCTGCCTCCCCAGGACTGGGATTAAAAGTGTGTGCCACCACCTGGTTTGTGCTGTGTCTATAGGGTAAGTTATTACCTTTAGGGTAAGTTATTGTCTTTAGTGAGTGTGCCCTTCATAATTGGCTTTGTTGAATATATAATGTATTTAAATTCTTCTGCCCTTAAATTATGTTAATTAAGTTATAAAAGTCAATATCTTAAAAATGGGTCAGATTGACACAGTGTGATACTCTAAGAAAGGTACAATAAATATGTGTTACACTGCTGCCCAAAATGTTTGGCCCATGTCTAATCATGTGACAGTGACTAGTAAAATCTAAATGAAAAGATGTGGCAGGGAGAACTACTTACAACTTTTCAGAAATTTGAAAAACAACAAAAACTTTTAATGTAAGCATTATAAATGATTAAGGGGAATCCTGAAGAACTATTCTAAATAAAAAAATTTAAAGACTCATGAAAATTGAATGTATTTTTAAATCCTTGGTTGGATCTGAAATTTAAAATGTATTAGAAGAAGACATCATTGAGGAAAACAGAAATTTGAATTATATACTATGTGAAAATATATGTTAAGCTTAAAATTTTCTGAATGTGACCATTATAATTGGTTATTTAGGAGAAAATTCTTATTTGGAAATAAATACATGTATCAACATATCCACTTATATAATTGGTCCATATTCAGGGCTTTTGAGAAGGAGCTATCAACATAAGATACCATTTTGTGAGCCAGGTAGTGATGGCACATCCTTTTAATACCAACACTTGGGAGGCCAAGGCAGGCAGATCTCAGTGAGTTCAAGGCCAGCCTAATCTATAAGGAGTGTTTCAGGACAGCCAGGACTGTTACACAGAGAAACCCTGCCTTGCAAAACCAAACCAAACAAACAAAAGGTACCATTTTGTACCCTGCAGAGTGACTAAACTTCAAAAGAGCAATAGCAAATATTGCTGAGGTTGGTTCAGCTGGAGCTCTCAGTTGTTGATAGGACAGTGAAACAATATAATGACACTAAAAGGCTGTTTGACAGTTCCTTATAAAGTTATATATACCTTCACTAAAACTCAATAATTCAGCCCAGTGGTGGTGGTGTACTCCTTTAATCCCAGCACTTGGGAGGCAGAGGCAGGCGGATCTCTGAGTTTGAGGCCAGCCTAGTCTACCAAGTGAGTTCCAGGACAGCTAGGGCTACACAGAGAAACCCTGTTTCAAACAAAACAAAACAAAACAAAACAAAAAACCAATAATTCCATATCTTTTTCCAAGGGGATGGAAGAGTTTCTTCACCCAAGATTTGTTCAGAATATTTATAGTGGCTAGACTTAGATAGCTGCTAGCCTCAAGCTAGCAGCTATCTAAGTGCATATCCATGATAGAGAAATCCATGATAGAGAAGCCGATCTGTCTGCATAAAGGGCAAGGTGGGCAAATCAGGAGCCATACTAGTTATATGAAACTCATGAGTAGGCAGAGTATGTACCTGTGGCAACATATCAGAACTGGTTTCTTACAGACAGCTGGAGAGGTATGAGAAAATTTCCTGGAGTGACAGACAGCATATTCTAAGTATTGATTTGGGTAGTAGTTACATAAGGTCTATTATCAAAACTCTATCTATATGCTTAGTCTGTGGATTTTGTTGTGTATAAATTTTAGCTAAACAAATAGAAAGCTAAACATTGGACTTTTCATGCTTCTCAGGCCTTAGAACTCTATGATATGAGGTACAGGTATGTTAATAGAATCAGACTATATTCATAAATTGAATGTGTACAGGAATGAAATCAATTAGACAAAAAGGATATGTGAATTACTTATCAATATAGGTAGTAGTCTGTCCCTTACACTTTACTGTACTGGTTTATGTGAACATTCAAATACTTCATTGAAATATGTGATTTTTATCATAATAGTGCTTTTATTATTACTTGTTCCTCAAGGCAAAATCCCTTTTTACATATCAAAAACTGACGTTAGGAGATGTGGTGGTATCTGCATGGAACTCCAGCACTTGGGATGTAGATGCAGGAGGATGAAGAGTTCAGGGTCAGCCTTGCTATGTAGCAAGTTTCAGGTCAGCCTAGGCTTTGTGAGACCTGCTTTAAAAAATAATAATAATTAAAATAAATAAGTTTATTATTACATACTGGGAAAAATGACATGAAACAAAAAGTAAGTCTCCTGGTTGTAACGTAAGTTCCCTTTTGAGAACTCTGCGTATCCCCCAGATTTCATGTCACTTTGTGTGGGAACCAAGTCCACCTAAAGCAGCATGAAGTGTCTTCCAGTCACTTCATTGTATTTCCTGTTGTGTTCTCCAGGGAGCCAACAGAGGGTCCCTGGAGATGGAGTGTAGGGGTCCTGATTCTTGCCAGCATGAGGCCCAATTCCACATCACCACAGATTCATGGATGTGTTCACCCTGTGTCTCACAACAGCCACATGCATTTTCTCTAATTTTTGTTTTAGGCCCAGACTCTCACTGTGTGGAAGCAAGCTGACAAACACAAGATACCCCGGATCTGCTTTTTAAACAAGATGGACAAAACTGGAGCAAGGTGTGTGAAGAATGCTTCCTAGGCTATTAAGGTTACAGAGCAATCATGGCTCATAGCTTCAGTTTAGAAAAGCAATTCTAAGTATAATGACATGCTTTAGACATATAGATAAGTATATTTAATAAAGATATGTAATTATAAATGTGGAATCTTAAAAACACAATTTAAAATAAATTTCAACGCAGCTCAATTGTCGTTGAGAGCTGCTAAGTGGTGAGCCATCTGGATCTCTGAGCACATTTTGTAGAATCCTGACGGAGTGCAGTCTTGCTGTTTCTACTGATTCTCTTTGGAGCTCAACAGCACCCCACCTTTGCTCCTGAAGGCTGCTGTGATCTCTTGATGGCTGGAGGTAGAGGGTAGGGTTGTTCCCTATGGATAACTCGGAGAATGATGTCTTTCTGTGTCTTCTGATGTTCTTTAGTTAGTGGGTATTAGGCGCAACAAAAGGGAACTGGCAAGGAGAAGGTCCTGAGTGTAAAGCAGCGGATGATTTAATGCTGAGATGCATCAACTAAGTATCAAGGTTTATTTAGAGTGGCAAGCCAAAATGGTTTATTGTTCCAGTAACAGAGAATCAAAAATATATGGAGGAGTTGGTAAAATGTAAACAGGATCAAGAATGCTAAGGATTGTGGAGGAAATGTAGGAAGACATCTTGGGCAGTGGTGAGAAGGTAGTAAAAGTTAAACAAGAACTGCCCTTTCCCAAGACATCAGTCATGTGCTTTGCAGTTATGTGACTTCTTTGGCAACTCTGTTTAAAGTACCCTTGATTACTAAAGGCACAGTGACCTGGAGCATTTGCTAGACTGAGCCTTTGGAGTTTCCCATCTGGAGCCTCTAGTAGTTCATAGAAGTACTAACTGATTGACTTTAAGTGTCTGTAGTAAGGAGGAGGGCAATGCCTGGATTCTAGGCTAGTTCTCAAAGATGTTGGGGCCAGAGTGATGTATACATACATACATACATAACATACATACATACATACATGCCAACTGCAGCATATGTACTGTAGGTAGACCACCTCAGTGCTAGCATAGAAACAAGCATCATAGCATACGATGTTAATACCTAAGATTAAATCACAGAACGTTAGTCAGTCTGACTCTCAGAAGAGAACCAACAGCATATATAGCTATGGATGAAAGACTGCTTAATTTAAATGGAATCTTGCATTTGTGACTCTAATCTTAGCATCACAATTGGGTTATATGGGAAGTAAGATTCTGGGATACAATATAGGCTGATTGATGTTTATTCGGGGAGAAATCACTTACACCAGAAACAGATGACCACTGCGGGTTCCCACTCCAAGGATGCCCCGGAAGCTCTGTCTCCAACCAGGAAGTAAAAGAGAGAGCTGGGGTCTGGGACCCCAGACCTAGACCCCATAGGTCATGTCCATACCTGTCCCCATGCCCCAGTGGGCATGGTCAGGGCAACATCTCACTACAATTCCCCTTTTAGTCTAAAGGAAAGATTTAGGCTTGATATAAAACTATATACAAAGACAGTAAATACCAAGTATGCTCTAGGAAAAGGAAAAGTCAGAACATACACACTTAAGACCTATTGCCAGTGAGGTAACAAGATGAAATGGCAAGAACTACAATGTGACATTTGCGATAACAATTCCTTAAACTTCCCCATGATGAGATAATAGTAAATACTCTATTGCTGCTACCAGCTTTATTTAAGATACTGCCTACCCTGTGGGAAAATGACATACTGAGCATTATGGAGAACATAAAGGGCTGTGTTAGAGAACATTCTTAAGCCTGTTTTGAGAGGTTTTACTGTGTTTCTAAAGGATGGTCTTGCTTTTTACAGTTTTAACTATGCAGTTGAAAGCATCAGGGAGAAGTTAAAAGCAAAACCTCTGCTTCTACAGGTAATTGGTTAACTGATAATACATTCTAGTATTTCCTCATCAATTTATTGTGGCATACATACTTTTGAAATAAACTCAAACTGTAAGTAAGTACAGCTAAAGATTTTGATTAAAATAGTTAAGATTTGAGGAAAGTGGTATAATGGTAAGTTTTGTCACCATGCTCTGACTTACAGCTGCCAATTGGTGAAGCCAAAACTTTCAAAGGAGTGGTAGATGTAGTAAACAAAGAAAAACTTGTTTGGAATCCTAACTCTGGTGATGGAAAAGACTTTGAGAGAAAACCCCTCTTGGAAACAAGTGATCCGGGATTGCTGAAGGAGGCTATTGAAGCAAGGAACTCCTTAATTGAACAAGTAAATACTTAATTTTAAAATTCTGTAAGTGTTCAGTAATTTTTTGACAGATTTATTCTGAACCTTTATATAAAATTACGTATGTAATATGATAGTGAATGAATGTGTCTACCACTCAAACAAGTAAAATAGTAACTGCCTGCTTTCTGTTTATCTATACATCCTGGTTTCTATTTATACATCATTTTTAGTTGTCTTTTTTTTTTCTTTTTCTTTTTTCTTTTGCATTTTACTAAAAATTTATTCTATACAACTTGAAATATAGACTCTAACCCTTTTGGCATTGCAGACTGTCCAATTTTCTGTAAACTTGTTACTGATTTTGATCAGAGGGGGGAAGGTGCAACAATGTTGGGGGTAAAATCTCCCACACAGGCACACTTAGTTGTCTTTTTTTCTTTTAAGATGTATTTATTTATTTTTACGTGAATGAGAGTTTTTCCTGCATATGCTTGTATTTCCCATCTGCCTAGCACCCAGAGTGGTCAAAAGAAGGCATTGGGATCCTGTGGAACTGGAGTATCAGATGGCTGAGGGCTGCCATGTAGGTGCTGATATATGAACTCAGGTTCTCTGCAAGAGCAACCAGTACTCTAACGGCTGAGTCATCTCGATAGCCCAAGTTTCATTTTATTGTGTATGTGCTCAGGGTTGAACCTAGGACTTGGTAGATAGATGCTAAGTGTGTGCTTTATCACTGAGCTATGCTCCACACACCCCAACACATGTTAGTCTTAGCATTAGTTTGCATATTCTGTCCTTATAAAAGGAACAGTATAGTTTGTGTTTTCTTAGTAACTGTAGGTATGTGTAGTGACAGTTATTTTCAGTGTTGTATGGTGTTCTAATATATTATTATAGTACAGTTTATTGTTCTCTCATGGATTGACTTGAACTTGCTTTTCTCTTTCTGTTAGAAATAACATTGCTGAGTTTGTTGTGGCATTCCTCTGTAGTCCAGTGCTTTCGAGATTGAGGCAGGAGGGTTTATGTGAGTTTTAAGGCCAGCCCAGGCTCCATAGTGAGTTCTAGGCCAACCTGGAACTATAGGCAAACAGAGAAACCATAGTCTTCCTCCTGTGTGATGTGCAAAAATTTTCCTGAAATCTCAGCAACAGAATCTCTGCATCAGGGAACCTGCCTATGTTCTACTTTACCAGATGTCAGATTGCTTAGAAGAAACTAAAGCCATCAATTTATTACAGTTAGTGTATAGATAGGGTCTGCCTTGGCTCCCAAAACTTTAATAGAAAATAGCAAGATTGTTAATGCTGTATTATTTACACTCTACCAGTATTTGTGGCAATAAATAAAACATATCTTAGGCTTCTTGAATCTTCCAGTAAAGCATTTGAACCTTTGATTTTTCACTTCAAAATTGAATTGGTCCACGTTAAAAAAAAAAAAAAAATTTAGGACAGTCTTGACTGTTTTGCCCAGACTTGCCTGGGACACACCATCCTACTGCCTTAGACTCTTGAGTACTATATTACAAGTGTGGGCTACCATGCCTGTTCAGTCCAAACAGATTCTGGCAGCATTTTCTAACACCTGTGTTGTATAGGTAGATATTTTTAGAGAAATTATTTGCTGTTTATAACTTATAGTATTCATTGACTTCAAAATGAACATAATAATGGCAGTTATTGGGTTGTAGTTGTTGAGGCTCTGAGGTCTGGTGTCTGCTGGTTCAGTGCTATACATGCACTCTTGTTCTCACAACCATGTATCATTCCCACTTTACAGATACAGAGTCAGGAACTTAGACTGTTTAAAAGTTTACAGCTAATAAAGGGAGAGCTGGGATCTGAACTCGGGTCAGTATCAGATCAGAGGTCAGACTGCTACCCACTTTGCTACATTGCTCTTCTCTCTCTCTCTCTCTCTGTCTCTGTCTCTGTCTGTCTGTCTCTGTCTCTCTGTCTGTCTGTCTCTATGTAGTCCTGTCTGGCCTAGAACTTGCCTTGTATACCAGGCAGCCTTGAACTCACAGATCTGCCTGCTTGAGCCTCCCAAATCCCAGGATCAAAGGCATGCCGCCATGGCTCCCTGCTAGCCTGCTTCTCTACATTAGTAAAGCATAAGAAGAGCAGGAGTAGAATTGACAATGATCATGAATTAGACACATAATTGGCTCCTTTTGAGTGTGTGTATGTGTGTGCGTGTGTGTAATTTTAATACTGGACAGTTACACACATAAAGAATGATCTTATCATCCAGATGGATAGTCAAAACACAATTGCACATACTGCTTTTACTAGAACATGATAATGTATGTTGTGCATAAAGAAAATGTGATATTAGTACCTAATAACAGGTGCTGATTGTGTGTGTGTGTGTGTGTGTGTGTGTGTGTGTGTGTGTGTGTATGTATGTGGATAAAATTTAGACAACAAGTGTAAGGAGTACGGTTTTTCCGCCCGCCGCCTGGTATTGTCCTCCACCGCGCCAGCCCCAAATAATACACAGAGACTCTGTATTTGATACAATACTGTTGGCCCGGTTACTTGTTTCTTATCGGCTAGCTCTGCCTTTAATTATTAACCCATTTCTGCTGATCTATGTATTTTCACATGGCCTTCTCTTACCGGGGAGGCGGCTGGCGTCCAGCTCTCTCCTGACTCTCCATCTTGACTCTCCATCTTGACTCTCCTTCTTACTACTTCCTATTTCCTCCTTGTCTCCTAGTCCCTCCTATCTTCCTTTCCTATTGGCCAACAGTGCTTTATTATTAACCAGTATGAGAAACATATACAGAATGACATCTCCCATTAAACAAGACTACTTCAGGTACATTAGCTAAAAAGCAAACAAACAAACCAAACCCCACAAGTATGTTGGTGAGTGTTGAACAAATGTAATCCTTAGTTACTGCAGTGGGAATAAAGTGACAGTTACAATAGAAAACCATGGAGAAGCCGGGTGTTGGTGGCACCAGTGTTTAACCCTAGCACTTGGGAGGCAGAGGCAGAGGCAGGTGGATCTCTGTTACTAGTAGGTTTTCCTGCCGGTCTGGTCCCACTGCTACACCAGCCCCAATTAACACAGATCTCTGTGATTTTGAGGCCAGTCTGGTCTACAAAATCTAGTTCCAGGACAGGCTCCAAAGCAATACAGAAAAACCCTATCTCAAAAAACCAAAAAAGAAAGAAAAGAGGCAATAGTTAAGAGCATTTGTTCTTACAGAGGACCTAGGTTCAATTCCCAGCACCTACACAGCAGCCAACAACTGTCTGTAACTCTAGTTCCAGAGTATCTGACACTTTGTTCTACCCTGTGCAAGCACCAGGCACACATGTGACACACACGCTTACATTCAGACAAAACACTCATGCAAAAGATGAACATAGTACATCTAAAAGAGAGAGAGAGAGAGAAAAGAAAGGAAGGAATGAGGGAGAGAAGGAGAAAGGCATATGGGAAGTACCAAATGGAGGCTCCTACAAGCGTTCCATTTGAGGTATGTACCCCAAAGAATTAAAAAGTGTCTTAAAACCACCTCCATTCCTAGTAGCATTATTCACAGTAGACCATAGCAGAAGCAACTCAAGTGGTCATTAACAGATGAGTAGATCAATAAAATGTAGACTGTTACTCTCCCTTATACGGGAAGGGAATTCTGATATAAGGGGCAACATTAGTAAACCCAAGGCCATTGTGCTCGTGAAATACACCAACTACAAATGCTAGCTGGCCCTTTGTTGTGAGGAAACTCAGCAGAGACAGAGGCTCAAGAATAGGAAGATGGAGAGTTGTTTAGGCTGTCTGTTTGCAAATTGAAACATTTAGGAGCTTACATAATAATAATAATACAAATGAGCTTAACTCTATTGATCTATACTTAAAAATGATGATGATAACAGACTACTTTTAGGCTACAATGGTGAAACTTGAACCACAGAAGTTTATCTTCAATTGATACCCTAAATGTGAACCAGAGTCAGTTTTCTGTGTCTTTAGAGGTGAAATGTAATGATGATGATAATAGCTGACCATTATGGACATTTACTGTCTGTTCTGAAAGTGAGTTTAGAATTGGCTATTGATCCTCAGTACAGTCCTGGACTGAGGAAAGTGACCTGGACCAGCAGGCTTTTCTTCCGTGATAGGGTCCTGATGGGGTGTGTGACACAGAGAGAAGATAAATAAAAACTGGGCCTGTGAGGCCTTGCATACCTTTTGTCTTATGTACACAAATTCATTAAGCAGTATAGCATTTTCAATTTCCAGTTTCTTTTTCTTTGCAAAACAAAACAAAAACCAAAGTATGTTTTCAAAAGTTACAAACAATTGTTTGGCGTGCACATGGCAGGTTGTGCAACTGCCTTGAAAGATCTCCCCGGTGCATACATGTCAAGTTGGTTGCTAAGGGTGAAACTAAAATGCAAATTGTGCAAGTTTTTTTTTTTTTTTTTTTATACAGGTTGCAGATTTGGATGATGAATTTGCTGACCTGGTTTTAGGAGAATTTAGTGAAAATTTTGATTTGGTACCAGCTGAAAAGGTAATGTGTTATTCATTCATTTCGACAAAATTTTACTAAATGAATATGGTTTGGTTTTTTCTGTCTTAGGAGTGTGTGTGTGTATATATATATATATATATATATATATATATATATATATGTATGTATATATATGTGTGTGTGTGTGTGTGTGTTAACTTTTTACACTATTAAAAAATGATGGCTTATGCTGAGGAGTGTTGGTGTATACCCTTAATCCCAGCACTCAGGAAGCAGAGGCACATGGATCTCTGTGAGTTCGAGGCCAGCCAGGTCTACAGAGTGAGTTCCAGGACAGCCAAGGCTACACAGAGAAACCCTGCCTTGAGAAACCAAAATAAATAAATAAATCAATTAAAAAATGGTGGCTTAAAAATGAAAGTCACTGCTCATATAAGACCTAATGCCAGCGGCATGCTGTTCCCAGACACACTCTACAGCGTTAGCAGTGGGCTCATTTTCCCTTTACATGCATGAAGTCGGGGTCTTTGGTTTTCTCATATCAGTAGCTCTGTAATTGGGCCTGAGGCCCACTGCGCAGGGGGAATTCTCCCTGGTACTGGAAACCTAGACAACTACCTGGAGCTAGTGAGGTCGTGATTCTTAGAGGAGGGGAACCTACGACTGCCACTTCCCTGGGTCAGCAGAATTGCTAGCTGCAGTCTAACCCTCGTCCTTACACCCACAGTGAGTATAGTGCTCACCATGCTTCACAGAAGCTTCTCTGCAGCAGACAGACGGCTACAGACAACCACAGCTGGTCAGTGCAGAGACCTGCCCCAGGGAATACAACCTTTTGTCAGTATTTTTAAACATCCATTGTATCTTAAACTTTTCTATCTTCTAAAGCTTTGCTGTATTTTCAGAGGCCTCACTGTAGTGCTCATAAAGACTTATTCCAGTGAACAGGAGACACCAGACACCCACCATGCTGAGTAGTGATTAATGCTATAAAAAAATATAGCCATCAGAAGGGTGGAGGTGTGTGGAAGAGTGCTGTTCTACATTTGGGGCAAGCCTCTGACTGAGGGATTCTGACGGAGACTGGTGTACTGTGCACAAATCTCTGTTCATTTTCTGTGTCTGCCTTTAGCTACAGACTGCAATACACAGAGTAACAGTGGCTCGGGCTGCAGTGCCTGTGCTGTGTGGGAGTGCCTTGAAAAACAAGGGTGTTCAGCCCTTGCTGGATGCCATTACTAAGTACTTGCCATCACCCGAAGAACGCGAGTATGGGTTTCTGTAAGTATGTGACCGGATACATTAAATTCATATGCTTGAAAAAAATGAATAGGCCTTGCTTCATAAAAGTAGTCATTTAAATGGCCGTTAAGAAAAAGACAGTGATGGAGAGTATCTCTGTAAATGATATATAGCCATAGTAATTTTCACTTGAGAAAGATTTTTTTCCCCTCTTTTAAACCCTGTGGTAGTTATGGGTGGAGCTGTGAATGGAGGCGCCTCTTCCCATGAGTGTTGTTGGGCCACCTCAGTTGGGTGTTTCGTTTTTGTTTTTGAGGGAGGTTGTTACTCATTTAGTAGATATGTTTATATTCACCTGGATTTCAGGGTTTTCCTGTGGTAAAGTATTCTGTGGCTGTAGAAAAAGACCATTGTTTTCTCCCTGCTGTCCAGGTGTGTACTTGCATAGTAGATCTCTAACATCTAACATCTAACGCTAACATAAGTAGCGTTAAGCAGAAGAAAAATGGGTTTTGTGTTAATGATGACAGCTCTAAATTGGAAAGGTATCGTGTGAAGTAAGAATGGGCATGGCTTCATGCTGTGTAGCCTTGTCCCAGCTAATCCAAGTTACTTAACCTCTACATCAATGAAGTGTAGGCGATGGTACTCATTTCCCACTACAACTTATAAAAATCCAGTAAGTTAATATTCATTAAGCATAAGGACTGATGCTGGGATATAGAAAGTTTCCATGTTTGTATCAGTAAGGTTAAAGGCAGGAGGACTAGGAATGTCATTGGGGAAAGGCTATTGTTAGAAGTGCTTAACTTACTCTGAGTCATGAACTTCCTTGAGACTGATGAAAATGCCACTCATCTTAGCTCAGAAAAATGCACCTATGCATAAAGTCTGTTGGTTTCTGGAAAATTCAAACTTCTATGTCTCTTTAAGAATACAAGCTCTGGAGCTGGAGAGATGGCTCAGTGGTTAATAGCAGTGGCTGCTCTTCCAGAGATCCTGAGTTCAATTCCCAGCAACCTAATGGTGGCTCACAACCGTCCATAATGAGATCTGGTTCCCTCTTCTAAAAAACAAAGAAAGAAAAAGAAAGAAAGAAAGAAAAGAATACCATTTCTGTAAACAAGTTATAGTTTCTACTGTAGATTGATGGCATTATTCAGCTAGACAGGAAATGAATTGAGAGCCTGACAACAACAATTGGAAAGAATATTCATTCATCCTATAGATTCCTTGGTTTTATGACTTTTGACCTTTGAAGGAATGCTTTTTTAAGCAGAGAGTTCATGCAATGAAGATGTTTGCAAATATGGCAGAACTTGAAAGAGAACCCATTAGTTTTAGTTTTGCAGATTTATTGGTAAGACCTCCATTAAGTATTTTAGTCAGTGATGGCAGAGAGGGTTGTAGTGGCATCACTTACTGAGCCTGAATAACTCTACTAAAGATGCATGAGATCTTTGGGAGGACCCTGGTGATTTGTGCAGACAGCTGGTTCTTCTCTAATCCCTCCTTTGTCTTGCAGGCAGTGGTATAAGGGTGACTTGTGTGCATTGGCATTTAAAGTGCTGCACGACAAGCAACGAGGACCCCTGGTTTTTCTGCGTATTTACTCGGGCACACTGACGCCCCAGTTGGCCATCCATAACATTAATAGAAACTGCACGTAAGGGGAAGCTTTGGTTATTTTCTAAAACTGCACTCACTTACTTAAAAGTACTTTACTGATAGAAGTCATGGTTCTTATAGGGAGAGAATGAGTCGTCTGCTTTTGCCATTTGCTGACCAACACGTAGAAATCCCTTCCTTGACTGCTGGTAACATCGCTTTGACAGTTGGTCTTAAACAAGTGAGTGACCACATGGGTTCCATAGCAAATCATGTACATGTGATTTATAAATATGATCTATAAATATTTATAATAGCAAAAAATTCACAAATCATCTGAATGTCATTATATGAATATGATGGCATATTCATCAATATGGTTGAATGTCATACATTTGCTAAAAAGAAAAATAGATTAAGAGAAACCCACAGAAAGGATGGATTGTAGTCAAATGAAGTTCAACTTCAAGTAAAGCTTATTACTTATTGACATGTATGTGCTAAGCTTATTTAAAATACTATTTTATTCTCGTGGAATCTTTGCCTGTTTGTGTATGGGGGGTATCTTTGAGCATGGGTGGCAGCCGGGGTATGGAGGGTGAGGGTTGTCTCTCTCTGTCATTAAGCTGCCCAGGCTTGCCTTGAACTTGCTGACTAGCCCTGGCTGGTCTCAAACTCTCTACTGCCATGCTTGGTAAGTGTTTACCTATTTTGATCATGGCAGAAAGTTTGATCTAACCTTACAACTGATCAGGTAATGATGAAAGACATTTTGCTAGTGGAGGCTCTTTTAAGAGCCAGGGTGTGGGTTTCTTTTGTTCCCAGTAGGTTCTCAGTCTATAACTTGTCAGTACTTGCACACAATAGGCACAGCTTAGAAATTTATAGAGTGAATGGAAGGAAATAGTTGGAGCCACATCTGGTTTGGGTGGGTTAAAACTCAAGACTCTCTTTCAGTTGAGATTAGTCAAATGTAGTTTTCCATTAAATTTTGGCATATCTCCTATTGGGATGAAATTGTTACTTTAATCTTTTTAACTCTTTATAATTAACTGCAGATTTCAGAAATGTTTAGGAGAAAACTTAACATGGTCTGAATTTTGTACCTGAGGTTTTTTGGAAAAAGGGTTTCTCTGTGCAGCCATGGCTATCCTGGAACTTTCTCTGTAGACCAGGCTGGCCTCAAACTCATAGATCTGCCTGCCTCTGCCTCCTGAATGCTGGGATTAAAGGTGTGAGTCTCCATGTCTGGCTGAACCTGTCTTTATTACTGTTATCTTCTCTGTCTTCCTAAAGGCTGGGCCTGCTCCTTTTGCACATTTGAAGGAGCACTGCAAACATTTGGAGAGTTGTCTACAGAGAGAAATCAGCACAGCCTTGATATGAGCAGGGCAGGAGTGAAATTGCAGTTTCAAAGTTTACATACAGTCCATACTACTTATGAGAGTATCTCAAGTTAATTTAAAATACTGCTTTATTCCCATGGAGCTTTTACTTAGTGCCCTTCTCTGTCTGTTGTGATTAATTGGATATTCGAGTTAATAGAGAATTTCCTGTGAAATAGATCTTACTGACCTGCCTTGCTATGATGGGAAATTCAGGCAGATGGATACTTTTTTCTTCTTTTTTCTTTTCTTTTCTTTTCTTTTTTTTTTTTTTTTTTTTTTTTTTTTTGCCATTAAATTTTGGTGTGGCATGTTTGTTAGAATTTGTTATTTGTTATTTGTTTCGTTATTTGTTAGAATTTATTACAGTGTCATTTTAGATAGAGTTCATTGTTTATATAAAGTTGTAAAATTTGTGAATTTATTTCTCTTAAGTTGAATGAGAAGAATGTGCTCCACTAATGTTTTGTCTTGTGGTTTTGGGTGGAAGATGACTGCTAATCAGGAAGTTGTCCCATTTGCTTGCAGACTGCCACTGGAGACACCATTGTCTCTTCCAAGTCCAGCGCCTTAGCTGCAGCCCGTCGAGCAGGAAGAGGAGAAAAGAAACCCGGGAAAAATGGTGAAGCAGAGAGTCTGCTGTTGGCTGGGGTGGAGATTCCAGATCCTGTTTTCTTTTGCACTATAGAACCCCCATCAATGGCTAAGCAGCCAGGTACAGACAGTATGGGTATCTGTAGCCTTTGGAAAGCAGTGTCACCTGTGGGGAATAATGTCACAGGGAGTCCTCAGGCAGTTTCCTGCTGATAGAGTTAAATTATGTATGCAGTGTTCTGCCTCCAGGCCAGAAGAGGACACCAGATCTCATTACAGATGGTTGTGAGCCACCATGTGGGTGCTGGGAATTGAACTCAGGACCTCTGGAAGAGCAGCCAGTGCTCCTAACCACTGAGCCATCTCTCCTTTACAGACCCCATATATATCTTGGGCATCTTTCTACTTTCATATTGTTCTCATTCTTAGCCTTGTAATACTTTTATTTGTTGTTGTGTTGGGTTGTTTTTGTTTGTTTGTTTGTTCTTGTTTTGGGTTTTTTTTTTGTTTGTTTGTTTTTGTTTTTTTAGACAGAGTTTCTCTGTGTAGCCCTGGCTGTCTTTGAACTGGATCTGTAGACCAGACTGGCCTTGAACTCAAAGAGATCCGCCTGCCTCTGCCTCCAGAGTTTTAGGATTAAAGTTGTGCACCACCACCACCCAGCCTTTAATACTTTTTATAGGATTCCAAGTAATTGACCCTCCCTTGCCATGCCCTCGAAATGTATTAGATTAATTAGGACATGAATTCACTTTTTTGCATCTGAAATATGAATCAGTTCTGATTTCCTGAAGATGGTTTGCCATTTTGCACTGTGGTTTTTCTTCTTTCACCTAGTCTTACTTACATTATAATGTGATTATAGTTAATCCCATTTCCATGAACTTGTCTGTCTTTAAAACACTTAGGTCTCAGCTCAAACATCAGCACTTTATGAGGTTCTCAATGGCTTCTCAATTATGAAGAACACTTAAAGACAAACTTTATAGTTTTCTTAAAAACAAGTTGGACTCACAGATTATGGGAGAAAAAGAGCAATCTTTATCCTCTCCCCTCTCCTAAGATGCAATGGGAAAATCTCTAGCCAGGCGTGGTTACAGTTCTTCATCTACCCAGCTGGAGTACACATGAAGGAAATGGGAGTGCAGATGTGAGGCCCTGAGTAATGAAAGAAACTGGGTCTTTTCTTGTCCAGTTGCTGAAGGAACAGTATTTAATACAAGGCAGATAGAGCGGGGACTAGAGCAGTGACTCCGTGGATCTGAGTTTAGCCCCCAGCACACACATGACTGCTCACAACGGGCAGTAACTCAAGTTCCGAGGATCCAGTGCTCTCTTCTGGGTTCCTCAGTACCAGCCAGTTATTGGTGCATACATGCATGCAGGCACTCATCCATAACACATCAAAAAAGATGTAGCAAAATCCAAATCTGAAATGACTGTAATTTGAACATTTTTTCATCCCAAGCATTTCAGATAAGAGATGTGCATCCTTTATTATCATTTCAATATAAGTAATATAAAAAGTATTATTGACATTAGATTAAGAGAGATGGCTCAGTGGTTAATGGCATCCATTGCTCTTGCAGAGGAATAGTTTTGGTATCCAGCATCCAGTGCTGGATGGTGGCTTACAACCATCCATAACACAATTTCCAGAGAACCTGACACCTTCTTCTGGCCTCTGAGGACATCAGCGTGCCAGTGGTGCTCAGGCATACAAGAAGTCAAAGTATTCATAAATCTTTTTAAAGTACTATTCTCATATTAAGTCTCTGAAATCTGGTGTGCATTTTACATTTATAGTACCTCTTAATCTTAAAATGGCCAATGGCTAGGACTAGACAGCCCAGCTCTAGAAGGCCTGGTTATATACCTAAGAACAGTTTGAATGTAGTTGATAAAGCATTGGTTGTGCACACCTTTAATCCCAGCACTCGAGAGGCAGAGGCAGAGACAGGCGGATCTCTGATTTTGAGGCCAGCCTGGTCTACAAGAGCTAGTTCCAGGAGAGCCTCCAAAGCCACAGAGAAACCCTGTCTCGAAAAACCAAAAAAAAAAAGAAAAGAAAAGAAAAAAGCTTATCTTTTTAATCTGTGGTTCAGCTCTTTTCTTTGGCTACACTTTTCAGTCTGGAACTTTTCTAAAGAAGGCAAGCATATATATCAGCTAAGGTTATTATTGCCTTACTCCACATAGCACATACATTTCACACAATGATTCATCTTCATATCTCCTGTAGTTAAAAATTCACCATAGAGTGATCAGATGTAATTTTATCTTCCCTTTGCTGGCTCATCATTATAGCCAGTGTTTTTGAAGGCTTTTTTTTTTGGTGGGGGTTGGTTCCTAGATTTGTTTTTACAAAATAAAACCAGGTGAGGTTACTGGCCCTTTAAAAGTCCTTCTGTGGCTTCCCACTGTAAAGCCAAACTTCTCAGCATGGCCTGTAAGACATGCATGGTCCTTGTCATCTAATGGTACTCTTCACTGGCTGATGTCTACCTTCCAGCCTGCTTGCTACTTTGCCCAAATCACCGTGGAGATATGTGCACATCACTCACTCACTCTTAAGCACCTCTCATTGGGATTGTCTTACCTTGTTTTAGTCTCTGCATTTATGGCTTTTAGTGTACCTGCTTGTTAATCTATGCTTCCCACTGTAGACTCATTGTTAATTTACTTAGAAACGAAGTGAGGATAACAATAGGTATTGTTTAATCACTCAGATTTGGATCATGCCTTGGAACGCCTTCAGCGTGAAGATCCCAGTTTGAAAGTGAGGCTTGATCCTGACTCTGGACAAGTGCGTATATTATTATTACCCAGCCCTAGGAGAGAGAGGAGGTAGAAAGGTGGGGAGGGAGGGAGGAAGGAGGACATGCATATAACATTGACTAGTCTGCATTGCTGAAAGAGAAGCTCTGATTAACCATTTAAGTTTCTCTTTATGTATGTTATCATGCTAAATAAACATTCTCTTCAATTCCCTAAAACAGTTACATTTCACATATACAGATCACTCCCCACCAGCTTTGACTTTCTATAATATAGGCTTTTATGAAGTTTTAAAATAAGGTTCAACTCTTGTCTTTTACACTGATGCTTATAGAAGCAGCATACTAAAGGAGGTCAGAAGCCACAGAAGCCAGTTTCTCTGTTATTTGCATGTTCAAACTAGCCTAGGGGTTGTCACTGCCTCCAGCATTTAGGGAACGTCTATGTAGTTGGGAGATTTTAGGGGGAAGTTATCTACCCCATTCTCAAGGCATTGTCTTCAACACAGTTTCAAACAGTTGTCTGTTTTTTCACTAAGAAAAGTGTTTTAGCTGGGTGTAGTGGTGCATGCTCTTAATCCTAGCCCTTGAGAGGCAGAAGCAAGTGGATCTCTGAGTTCTAGGACATCCTGGTCTCCAAAATGAGTTCTAGGACAGTCAGAGCTGTATAATGATGAGACCCTACCTCAAAACCCCCCACCCCTCCAGCCCACACAAGAAAGGAAGAAAAGGTGAACCTGGACTGCACAGAGAGTTAAAAAAAAAACAAAAAACAAAAAACAAAACAAAACCTCTCACAAAGCAGACCAGGGGCTGGAGAAATAGCTCAGCTGTTAACACCACTTGGCTGCTCTTCTAGAGGACCTGAGTTCAATTTCCAGCACCACATGATGATTTGCAGCTATCTGTAGCCCCAGTTCTGGGGATCCAATGGTCTGTTCTGGCTTGTCAGGCACTAGGCATGCCAATGGGACACAGACATACATGTAGGCAAAATATGCATACACATAAATTATTAACCTAAGGCAGAAGATGAGAGGAGGGGGCAGTGGGAGGAGAGAAAGGAGGGGGAACTGGGATTGAAATGTAAAGAGTAAATTAATAAACAAACAAACAAAAAAAAAAACCAGGACAGAGGCGATGTCTCAGTGAGTAAAGGCTCTGGCTGCCCAGGCCTGATGACCTGGATTCAGTCCTGGACTCCAAATATGTTCTTCTCTGATTTCTGCACATCCCTCTCCTCTATACACAGACACACCACACATACAACAATGAATAAGAAACTGCATATGAGGAAGAAGATAAAGGCATAATCCAGAACATTGATTGGACTCTTGTTGTATTGACCAGAATCCGATAAAGTGTTAGGTAACTTGATGTTACTTACTTACCCAGCTGATAATTAAACTGTCACAGAAGGAGACTACAATGGATTTATTATCCTAGCCAGAAAAGTCAGTTTTCATATAGGAGCCCTCAGAAAATTATCAGAAAAAATTCAGTTGAAATTAATGAAAAATCCCTTAAATATGACTTTTTATAATATTTTTTAAATGTCCCTATGTAATATTTTCTTTTTTTTTCCATTTTATCAACAGACAGTCCTGTGTGGTATGGGGGAGTTACATATTGAGATTATTCATGACCGAATCAAGAGGGAATATGGCCTAGAGACCTATTTAGGACCTCTGCAGGTGGCATACCGGGAAACCATCTTAAACTCAGTTCGTGCCACAGGTAAAACAATAAAACATTTTGGACATTCTGGGTTGTTGAGTGTTTAGTTGTATATATAGGGGTCACAGTTTCTAGTGTCTCCCACAGTTTTACTGTGTCAATTTAAAGAAAAAATTGTGATAAACACAGAAGGCCTAGAACTATTACCACCCACTCATCAGACAAATGTGTTTCCAATGGCTATGGGACAGGATAAGCCAGGGAAGTGGATGGCTTGTTCCCCTCTGTACTCACCACTGAAAAGAGTGTAAGAATTTGAAGGCAATGAATTATATTGATTTTATAAAATGAGTGAAAAACCAAACAAGCAAAAAACTGTTTACCTATATTCTGAGAAAGTTTTTTTAGGGGTGGGGGCATTAAATGTTGCTGAAAGAATATATGAAATTTAACAATTTGGAAATTGACAGAGGAACAAGTTTTACAGTTTTCATTAGCCACTTTTTATACTCTCTAGATATGTTATAATCCTAGTGTTACCTTCTTTTCCAGCTCTGGTCATTTATTCCATTTACTGTGGGTGTGGGTGTGCACATGCATGTGCGTGCGTGCGAGCGTGCGTGCGTGCGTGCGTGTGTGTGTGCCTGTGTGTGCCTGTGTGTGCCTGTGTGTGTGCGTAAGCTCTGGTCATTTATTCCATTTACTTTGTGTGCATGCGCGCCTGTGCATGTGCGTATGCATGGGTCAGGGTTTCTCTGTGTAACCACTCCAGCCAGGGTAGCCTGTTTCCCTTGGCTGTCTGTTCCTGGTATCTTTCTTTGGCTTCCTTCATTTCTTGACCAAAAGTAGAGCATTGTCTGCAGCCACCTCCTTATTTTCATGCATTTCAATGTGTTTGTTTTCAGACACCTTAGACAGGACTCTAGGAGACAAACGGCATTTCGTGAGGGCAGAACTGGAAGCCGGGCCAGTGGGAGCGTCATCTGGCATGGCCGTGGTTGAGTATGCTGACTGCGTCAGTGAAGACCTAGTGCAGGCCTCCCGCGAGGCCGTTGAGAGTGCAGTGCACAGTGCATGCCTCCAGGGTAAGGGGAGCAAATGAGAGCCGTCTCCCCGACTGCTTTCTTCTTCCTGTAGGTTGAGCCCGTTTCTTGTACAAACCAGCATATACTGTGCCTCAGCATTACACTACTAGATTCCTGGTTATTCCGTGCTGTACAGATGCTTCAGCTGTTCTCTCTGTAGTTCTGTGCACTTATATTATTCTGCTTTATTTTCCTCCTTACTCAGGACCTTTACTTGGATTCCCAGTTCAAGATGTGGCAGTAACGTTACACTCATTGACGATTCACCCTGGTACCTCCCCAACTATGCTTAACGCCTGTATCTCAAGATGTGTCCAGAAGGTATAGAGCAGTTCTCCTGCTTCTGATCTCGGGGGACACGGGGTGTCTATAGAGCAGTCCTCCTGCTTCTGATCTCGGGGAAAACGGGGTGTCTATAGAGCAGTCCTGCTTCTGATCTCGGGGGACACAGGGTGTCTATAGAGCAGTCCTCCTGCTTCTGATCTCGGGGGACACGGGGTGTCTATAGAGCAGTCCTCCTGCTTCTGATCTCGGGGAACATGGGGTGTCTATAGAGCAGTCCTCCTGCTTCTGATCTCGGGGAACACGGGGTGTCTATAGAGCAGTCCTCCTGCTTCTGATCTCGGGGAACACGGGGTGTCTATAGAGCAGTCCTCCTGCTTCTGATCTCGGGGGACATGGGGTGTCTATAGAGCAGTCCTCCTGCTTCTGATCTCGGGGAACGCGAGGCGTCTATAGAGCAGTCCTCCTGCTTCTGATCTCGGGGAACATGGGGTGTCTATAGAGCAGTCCTGCTTCTGATCTCGGGGAACACGGGGTGTCTATAGAGCAGTCCTCCTGCTTCTGATCTCGGGGGACACAGGGTGTCTATAGAGCAGTCCTCCTGCTTCTGATCTCGGGGAACACGGGGTGTCTATAGAGCAGTCCTCCTGCTTCTGATCTCGGGGGACATGGGGTGTCTATAGAGCAGTCCTCCTGCTTCTGATCTCGGGGAACACGGGGTGTCTGTAGAGCAGTCCTCCTGCTTCTGATCTCAGGGAACGCGAGGCGTCTATAGAGCAGTCCTCCTGCTTCTGATCTCGGGGAACATGGGGTGTCTATAGAGCAGTCCTGCTTCTGATCTCGGGGAACACGGGGTGTAGAGCAGTCCTCCTGCTGCTGCTGCTTTAAGAGAATGCACGAAGCGAGCAGCATAGATTCCACAGGCAGCTGTGCTGACAGAGCTTGACCTTCTGCCCTAGCTGCCATGGGGTGGTCAGGATGGCTCATTGGGTAAAAGACTTGCTGCCAAGCCTGATTCTTTTTTAATCCCCAGGGTCCATATGGTAGAAAGGAGACCTGACTCCTGAAAGTTGTCCTCTGGCTGCCACCTACATACTGTGGAGCTCATGAGTACATGCTACACACACAAATAAAATTTTAAACTGCTTCTTGCATGGAGAATCTTTGACCTTAAACCAAGTTTTCATTAGAAATATTTTAGAAGTTACTGGTTGCACAGACTGCTATTAAAACCTGCCTGGTTTTAGCAAAAGATGTATGTTTTCCCCTTTCCAAACACACAGCCATTAGCTGAAGGCATGGTGGGTTTAAATGGACAGATGTGGGGTTAGCTTGACACTGGGCTTTAACATAAACAACAATGAAAACCTAATATTAATTCCAATTTTTGAGTTTGTTCAAATTAGATTGCTTTCATATAAAAACCAGATCAGTCCCATTGAGAAACAGGTTTGGGCCAGGGTACCTTCCCTCTCAAAGTATCAAGATGTGGTCACCTAGGAGTGAGTGACATGGCTGTTTGCTTCTCACTTCAGTCACCCACCAGAGCTAGCAACTCCCATGCTTGTTTCCCAGTGTGGGAGCAGTAAAGTGAGGTCAGAGGGGAAACCTTCAACCCTATAAGGAGTGGGAACTTTGTTCTGGAAACAATGGAGGATAAAGTTTTTGAAGATTGAAGGATGGCCAGAGCACCGAAGTGACTGGAATGGGAAAGACAGTCTAGGACAGACTTTTAGAAAGCAGACTAGGTCTGAATCAGGGTACCAGCAACGGGCATGAGACAATGGTGTTTGATGAAGAAGGGGATCAGAGGAGTATATACAAGTGACTGAAAACCACTAATGCCATGTGTTGAAACTGGAGGACAAGAGTGGAGCCCTCAGAGTGGGCAGGGACGCCGTTGATTCTGAAGCTCTGCAGTTGGGTAATGTTGAGAAGACTGGAAAGGGCGGAGGACAGTTCTGGGAGCACTGCTCTTGAGTCGCAGAGGCCAGGCCCCTTTTACCTTTGCCATACAATTACCTTGAAAACATTTTCAGCTTCCTTTTGTGGCCTTTGAAGTCTAAGCTGTAAACTGTTATAGAGAAAGGGTTTGTTTATAAAGAACGTTGCTATTGTCTGGACTGTTTTGTTGTTGCCCTCTCCAGCCCGTGAGCACTAGGATGTATAATCAAGTATTAAAGCTCTAGGTTTCTTACAAAATGTTCTCTGTGGGGTGTTGAAGCCAGTGGGGTTACCAGAGCTGTAGGCTCAAGAATATAGGAAATCGTTCAGTTTTAATATAACTTCCTTTTACTAGAATAGAAATTTGTACAACTTATGAAATCCCTTCAGGCCCTGAAGAAAGCTGACAAGCAGCTCCTAGAGCCGCTGATGAGTCTTGAGGTTACAGTGACTGGAGACTACATCAGCCCCGTCCTGGCTGATTTGGCACAAAGAAGAGGAAACATTCAGGAAATTCAGACTCGCCAGGACAACAAAGTTGTTATAGGATTTGTTCCTTTAGCAGAGATGATGGTAAGTTCTTAGCATTTGAACTGTACATATTGTTTAATATAAAAGATCTAATCTCAGTAAAACTAGGTGGTCACTAACACCTGCAACTTTGGGGCTTGACTTTAGGGAATGTGTGCCAAGTTTCAACCACCAAGAATGATAGGACTGTGGCCTTCAGTGGTGGGTGAGAGCTAGGGAATATAGCACTTCAGACAGGTTATTTCCACCTTAGAATCACAAAGATTGTGGCATACTGTCCCAAATGTGGTCACTCTGAATGACCATTTTCCCCTTTCTACCTTTGTTTTGAAGCCAACGTCATTCTCTTCTCCAACCAGGCACTTCTGCTTCTGGGATAGGCACCAGGGACGGTAGAGGGATAGCACCAAATTCCTGGGCCTCTGGATGGATGGATGGATGGATGGATGGATGGATGGATGGATGGATGGATGGATAGATGGATGCATAGCTGACTTACCCAGTGCTAAATTTTCCTGTTTGTATGACTCTGCCTTACCAATACCTTCTCTGCTCTGGTGTACAGACAATCAGCAGGAAGAGAAGCTTAAGGCCTAATTAAATGCAGTAACAAACTGATATTCTTTTCATTAGGGATATTCAACTGTGCTTCGAACGCTGACATCAGGCTCGGCTACTTTTGCTTTAGAATTTTCTACTTATCAAGCCATGAGTCCTCAAGACCAAAGTAATCTGCTCAGCCAGAGAGGTGGTTTGATCCAAGTGCTTTAGGTCCTGGGAAACATGGGAAAATGCCTGGAAAAGAGTGGACCGCTTCATCCTCAGTAAGAGCACTGTTTTATTCATTGGCTGCTAATCACTGCTTCGGTAGATGGAAAGAACTTGATGTAGATAATGGCATTGGAGCTGCCATTCTCATTCTGTGTGGAATGTGCTGTGCTATAAATGCCCCTCAACTATGTGCCCTGTTGGATCCCTTACTTCTGTTTCTGTAATAAAGTAACCTGACCAAGGCAGCCTAAAAAGAGTTTGTTTTGGCTTAAGGTCCTGAGGAAGAGTACATAATCGCAGGGATAGTAAGGCACAACGAGGCTGAGAAAGCCCATCTTTAATCTCAAGCACAGAGCAGGTTGAGTGCAGACTAGACTGGAGCCAGGCAGTGAGCTCTCCAAGTCCCCCGGTGATGAGCTTCCTCAAGCAAGGCTGAACTTCCTAGACATCCCCAAATAGCACCACCCACTGGGAGCCATGCGCCCAAAGGCTCAGCCTGTGAGGAACATAATTGCTCATTTAAAATTTCCGTTTTACGTTTTTTTTTCCCATTGAGTGTTTAGCCTACATACATGTCTGTGTGCCTGGTACCTATGGAGGTCAGAAGTGGATTTTATATACCTTGGAACTGGAGTTATGGATAGTTATGAACCACCATGTAGATCCAGGAACTGAATCCGGCCTCTGTAAGAGTGGCAAGTGCTCGTAAATGCTGGCCTTCTAACTAGCTCAACATTTCTCAACATCACAACAATGAAGGCATTTGTGCAGCCCTTCCAAGTGTTTGAGTGGTACCACAAAGGTTTTCCTTTTATTTTTTTAAGCTGCTCACATAAAAGATGCCAGTATTCAGTGTGTGATACAGGTAGTAAATCAATAAAAAGATGGTTTATTTAAAAAGTAGCAAATATTAGTTTTACATGATTTCAAAATCAACATGATTATAGTTCAAACTGCTATAGACTTTTCTGTTCACTCTTCCATCTTATGCTCACGGTCACAATGTCCAGTAAAAAGAGGTTGTGCAGCTATTCCACGGCTGTTGACAGATAACAAAAAGATGCTTCAGATTGGTGGCACTCCCCTCTTATCACTTCAGCAACACCCCCACCCCATGACTCACTGATTCGGATTTAAGCTCCTAACCCCTTTAAGATGGCCATTATACTAAAACATTTCTTACAGGCGTTACTTTCTCCCCTGAAACAAGGAATGTCCAACTTCTACCAGGTAAGCCACTACTTCCTAGGTGACATTTTTATTTACTGCAGAGCAAAAAGCTGAAGACACTAGTTAGACTGAGTGCTGGACTGGAAGGGAGCACCTCTCACCTGACCATTCTGCAACGGTGTGTCACCAGTCTGCTGTAGGCATTGTCTAGGTCAGTGACAGTTGCAGGACTCCAAAGTCTCTCACCAACAGCACTTGCCCGAGGCCTGAAATTTAAAATATGTGTCTCCCAAGGCAATTTAAGCCATCTATTTAAGGAAATCCTTCAGAGCTTTCCTACTTACATGGAGAATAAGAGCCAAGGCATCTTTTAAGTCAGTTGGATCCCTTTAATTCCTTACCATAATCTTGGAATAAGGTTAGTTGCATCCACAAATTCTCCCCATAGGCAAGCTTCTCCACCAATGACAAGTTGTTGTTTCTTCTTCTCAGACCCTGCATTAGAATGGTTGAAGGGAAAGAAGTTAAGCTGCACAACACTGGCTTGCTTTCTCTCTGTAGTCATCCAATGCTACCTTTCCACACCCTACACCCTGTAGGCAACAGAATCTTTACTGCCTCCTGACTTGATGCTATTCAACAGACAGAGGCCTGTGCTGAGCCAGGAGGAGGTATTTTTCATACGGTCCTGCACAAACTCCTTTGGACACCTCCCCTCACTTCCTATTAATAGGAATATTAGGTGGAATATTAGCTTCATTTTAATAGACTATGTCCACTTATTTTTGGTTTATATTCCTTGGCATTTAATAACAAAACAAAAAAAAAAATAGGGAGTAAGAACTTTTTGTTTTGTTTTCTAGACATGGTTTCTCTGTAGCTTTGGAGCCTGTCTTGGAACTGGTTCAGTAGACCAGGCTGCCCCTGAACTCACTGAGATCTGCCTGCCTCTACCTCCCAAGTACTGGGATTAAAGGTGTACACCACCATTGCCCAGTGTCTAAGAACTATTTTTGATAATTATGTTTGATCCTCAAAATGCTTTGTAGAGAAAGTCATAATTTTCGGTGGATCAATATTTTTGATTTTTAAAATCCTAACATTTTCTAAGCTAAAGACTAACATACAAAAACTGTATAAATTAGAACTGCTACTATAAAGTGACTGAAGACCCAGGACTACAGAGCCTAAAATCCACAAAAGCAAATGGTAACCTTACTTAGATATCTTACAGTGTTAACACACTCAAACATCTCTCAGATACAGAAAACAACTCCATGAAAATGGAGGCAAATTTAAGTGGGGGTGGTCTACTTATGTATTCATTTTATTTAGACTAGCACATGGTTCCTTTCAGAAGTTAAAATGATACCAAAGCTTTATTTTTAATAAAATCAAATAAATCAAATAAAATCAAAGACCGGACATAAAAGGGATAATAGGCTTCCAGGTTAGATTTGGGAAAAGAGAATGCAAGTTATGGAAGAAACTAGCAGTAATGATGGTTGCTTTACTTACCTTGAAAATTAAGAGGATCTACTATGTAGTATTGTCTCCAGTCTTGGCCATAGCTAATGATGTCTAAGTACCAAGGAGCAGAAAGGATTGCCTTGTAGCCAGATGACGTGACTTCTCTTAGCTCCTCTAAGTAGTTTTCACCCTTCCACACTTCAACCACTGTGTCCGGCTGAAGCTACAGGTGTAGATTGCAACCACAGTATTAGGTCTAGCAAATACAAACTTTAAGGCCTCAGAATCAGGAGTAGTAAACATAACTTTCTAAGATCTTAGAAAAAAAAATCATACATCCTATTTTCCTTTTCCTAACAGTCAGTGCCATATGCTATTCACTCGCCATTTTCATTGCTATTCAATTTTTCATCAATCCTTAAAACTGGATATTTAAGTTTTGTCTAGAGCTAACACCTCAGAGATGTAAAGAACTCAGGGCAAGATGTGCACCTTGATCCTATTCCCACCACACTAATGTTCTATGTAACTTGGAACTGTGATATTATCACAGCACCCCCTTCCCCCGAGAGGTAACAGTGTTAGCTGGGCTTGTGAGATACACTACAAATAAATAGTAAGTAATTATGTCAGAAAAAAACTTTCTTCAAAGTGTATATTGATTTTACCTATTTTAAAACCACTTTAACCCTGTGTTTTGAAAAAGCTCATTTGTAGCCGGGCAGTGGTAGCACACGCCTTTAATCACAGCACTTGGGAGGCAGAGGCAGGCAGATCTCTGTGAGTTTGAGGCCAGCCTGGTCTACAGAGCAAGTTCCAGGACAGGCTCCAAAACAATACAGAGAAACCCTGTCTCAAAAAAAAGAAAAAAGAAAAAGCTCATTTGTTGTCTGCTTTGCTCCTAAAACCAAAAAGGAACTTCTCAAAATACTTCAACTCATGAGACAGCAGGAGTTGGGGGGAAGAAATGAGAAGGAAACAGTTTTCACAGTTCTTACCTCAACCTTGTCATCAAAAACCTCTTGCCAAACAATGGATCCTTTCTTCAAGGATTTAATAATATCCAAAATCCTAACATTGAAAAGATTGACAGTTATTTAGGATCACAAAGTTAACACTCTTAAACAGGCATGTTTGCAATGATGAGAAGTATTGTATCTCAGTATAACAGCTATACAGAACCAGCTAAAGTTGGGTAGGACACAAGGTAGAAAGATAGGACAAGGTTAAGGGGTGTGGGAAATGGAAAGAATCCTTTGGGCATAAGATAACCTGAGATATGTCTTGCTGACTAGAGTCTGCCTCCAAAGAACCTACAGAAAATATGCTCCCTTAAAATACCACAGGTAAGATTATTAAGATTAGTGCCATGCTCAGTATAAAAACATTCCTTAGCCTCTTATAGAAAACTTAATTTTTAAATATTGTTCCCTATTTTTGTCTTCCTCATATATAAACTTCCCCTTATATCTTATAGATCACCTCTTTAAACAACGTAATTCCAAAGTCCTCCAAACACTTGCATAGCCTTTACTGAACCACTTAGATACTGACCCCTGACCTAACTCTTCCTGGATGCATCTGCCCTTCCTTGTAATTGAACTCAAGTATTTCACTGTGACCCCCAGGGGACGCCTCAAGGCAGACGATTTCAACACTGAGCTTGGTTCCCTATGCTTTTGACACATCTTTATAGAACAGTCCTTCTCAACCTTCCTCCTGCCACTTTGGTACAGTTCCTCATGTTGTGGCCCCCAACCATAAAACTATTATTGTTGCTATTTCAGAACTGTAATATTGCTGCTGTTATAAATCATAATGCAAATATCTGATATTTCCAATGGTCTTAAATGGGTCATGATCCAAAGGTTGGAAGAAAGGAAACTAACACCTAGCCTGATATGTCGAGTCAGTAAACATTTAGCTATTAGCTGGCACAGATACCTAGTTAGGCAATAACAAACACTTGAAAGGGCAAGAAAGAGACTTCACACAAAAAGCTAAATAGGAACAGAGTGAACTCTGAGCCTCCCAAATAGAGCAGAGCAGAGCCTGGAAAGCCTGCAGCCTTCTTTTCTATGCTGACCTGCTGACCAGCTAGGAATGGTTTTGAATCTGCAAATATCTCTCTCTCTCTCTCTCTCTCTCTCTCTCTCTCTCTCTCTCAATAGTTATTGCAAAATGCTCCTCATTTTAAAGAAAACAGTGTATAGCACTTCTTTTAGTGGGGTTTCATGTCCCCACTTTTGTAAGGAGTGAAGAAAATGAAAAAGCAGAGAACTAAGTTATTTACAGCTTAAACTTTGTACAAAAGCATTGATAATTAGACTTTCCAGTGACTTACTTTTTAATATAAAAAGATTCCAGTTTTGTAAAGTCATTGCCAAACCCTTTTTTCTTCATGAAATTTTGGATTTTTGGATTTGATGACCTTAAATAAAACAGTGAATGAAATGTTACAGACATTGTGATGTGCCCACTTTATTATCTGACGCAGTGTATATCCAAAATGTCAGTTATAGAGGCTTTAACATATTAAAGAGACATATTATATTAAAGGGACCCAACTTCTTGGTTATGAGTTCCCTTAGTTTTCTAGTGCAAAGTATTTTCCCCCAAAAAATGCTTTTCCAAAAATGACTCACATTTTAAAAAAAAAGGGGGGGGGGTTTCCATACCTACCCTCCATCTCAGCCGCTTTACAAGCTAGGGACTCTGACTTGGACGTCCCTCCCTATCTAGTCTTTCCCCTTTTCACTAAAGCTCTCTTGTCCTTACAGTCTTAGGTTTTTTGACAGTCTCACTATAGTCAGGTTGACCTCCAACTCCCAATACTCCACATTCATTGTCCTGAGTATGGGAATTAGATATGTGCCACCAAAACTAGTTAGAGATTTTGTTACTCTTTTTTCTTGAATCACTCTATAGCCCAGACTTGTCCTTGACCTTAGTTATAGGCATAAGCGGTCATCCAGCTTCTGTGCCCTTGACTCTTCTTCCTAAGCCTTTACCTTGTTGCTCCTCTCAAATATACATTCTTCAATAACCATCTCAAGAATCGCTGAAACCCTTACAAGGAGAGATGTTACCTCCAATCTTTCCTTTCTCAGTGTGGATTCTGTATGTCTACACCTTAAGAACAAAAACCGAAAAAATAAAGAAAAGGTTCAGAGTTAGCATACCAACACTCAAAATCCACTTCATCTCCTCCCAAATGAATGTACTCATCTGGAAACACACTGCTGATTTCTTTGAAAAATGTTTTAAAGAATGTATAAGTTGTATTTAGAGTTGGATTTATAGGTCCAACCTTTTCTATTTGCTTTCTTTCACTGTAACATGGAGTTAGAAGGTTTTTCTGACCTAGAAGAAAATACAGAGATTTATTTTTATAAGCATATTAATCACAAAGACCTGAATTTGCAGTTATGCTATAGATGGTCCTCTTACAATGGTGTTGAATCCCAATAAACTCCATGACTGGGAAATACTCATTTGACACACTAACCCACCCAGGGTAGGTAGCTCAGCATACAACACACTGCAGCATCTGTATTTGTGTGTCTGCTGGGGCCTGGAGTCCTCAACCCTGTCTACTCAGTAATAGCCCGAGCCCGAGAAAAGACCAGGATTCAGAGCATGTTTCTATTGGGGATGAATTCCTCTGATACCATCATAGCAAACCACTATATACCTGACCATCTGGACTTCATGTTGTTGAAGTCATAGAAATTTTATATAGAAAAGCCAACCAGATTCACTTGGCAGTTTCGTCCCAGGAAGAGAGCTGCTTCCTCCATTCCCCGTTTCTGCTTTTACACAGCCTTTGAGGTCTTTTATCCACTTCAGTGACTCACACTTTTTCTTTGAGCTTCAATACATAGCTCAGATTCCCTGCTCAATACAATTAGAAACCCTAGCTGCCTTTCAATACAATCTAACAAAAAACCCAAATCTCCTTCTCTGGTTTCTGCCAGGTCTGCTTGTGGGCCTCCCCAAACACTGTGGCCCCTCTTTCTGGGTTGGGTTACTGAGTTCTGTGATGTGTTTCCAGAATGTTGTTGGTTCTGCTCATTACTTTTCAAGTCTGTGTTGACCCTTCCAGTGTGGAACCTCCAGGGCCTTTCTCTTTACAGTCTGTCCCTTTCACAAAGGGTTTCCCCGAAAGTGGCCCCAATCATGCTACTGCTCTACTCAGAAGTGTGCACTGGTTTCCAGGGTGTGCTGACAAAGTCTGCTACTGTCATCAAGAGCCTCGATGATGCCCTTCCCAGATTCAGTTCCCATTGCTTTCCATGTCTACCGTGATACTCCTGTGTATTAAACAATCGTAAATGCTGGGCCCCATGTTGTGGACCTTCTATTATTTATTTGGTGCTTAGAAATGTTAGCCCCATTTTACAGATGGGGAAACTTGCCCAAGGTTTACTGCAAATGACAAAAGCAGCGTGCGAAAGCAGACAGGCTGGCACCAGACCCCACATTCTTAGTCGCCACCTGTAGCATCTCCTAAAATTTTCCACTCTGTTCCCAATACATACTCTCTTTGAATGCCTTCCCGCATGCTACTCCCTCCGCCAGAAACATGAATATATCTTGTGTTCTCCCAAAAACATGCCTATCAATAAAATGGAACTAAGTTATCATGTTCTACCTATAGTCAAGTTTTTTACTTCCCCAACTTTGATACATGAGGTGGTACCTAGACAGTGACTTACAAGGAACACAAAATCTGTAGTATCTGTGCTACCATTGCATAAACCAATACTTAAGAGCAAAACTACCAAACTATTAAGAGGCAGAACATCTCAAGTGCCCCTTTTTCAACCTGTAAAACAAACTCCTTACCTTTTCCCCAAGACTGTGTATGTCCAGGGGTATCAAATTCTGGTATAACTCGAATTCCTCTCAACCGGGCATATTCAAGCACCATGTGGACATCGCTTGGTGTATAGACATGAGACAAAGAATAGCTCCCCTGTAATATTCAAGTTAAGATGTGCAAGATGGGTTTGGTCCTGGAAACCATAAACAACTCCGTTTGCACTTTGCTGGCCAGTTTTTCTATTATCCTAGGGTAATAAACGGTCCCGCCTAACACTGGATGATTCCCGGTTTCAGAGCAGGAATCTATAAATGGTGAATTTCTGCCCATTGAATTCAAGATTCACTGATGAGACCATCAGTGCCTTCTGCTTCAAGAATGTCCACAGACTTTGATGATTCCCCACAGGAGGCCTCACTCTCTCTGAGGAATGATGGATGGAAAGATGGTGGAAGGATTGGGAGGGAGAGGGAACTGGGATTGGAATGTAAAATAAGATTGTTTGGGGGGAAAAAAGAATGTCCTTAGTTACTTCAACTTTGTGGAAACAGCAAAAGAAGCAAAATGTTTGCCTCCAGAGTGAAACCTTGGAAGACACTGCTCTTCTCAAGTGTGGAATCCAGACTCACCCATTATTACAAAACAGATTTCTTGTCTTCCAATCTCTTTAGGTAATGTCACCTAAAAATTCACCCCCAGACAATAAGTAACTTAATTGTATTTAAATATTTACTCGGCCTCTTGGTGTCACTTAAGAATGAGCACTTGTTCGAATGGTGAAGATCCAATGGAAGATAAGGGTTGGCACCTGTCTCAAAATATAAGCTATACTATGCTCACATTGTAGCACCTTGACCTCTAAGCCCCATATTAAATAAAATATGGGGGACATGTCCATTGATACCGTGGAATGTAACTAGCAAAACCAAGATAGCAGAGAGAGAGAGACAGGACAGCAAATTCCATTGGTTCTTCAATAGTAATTTACAAGAAGAAAAGAATTAGCAGACCCATTAACATCCATAATGCATGGACAATAAGAGGAAAAACATATAGGCAAAAATGAGCATCGATGGCTGATTAGATAAAAACCAAGCTACTTCACAAGTGAGATAAGTCTGGAGTTTGATTTAAAATAGTGGGGGGTGGGGGAAGAGTCTACTAGTGACAGCAGAACTGGTTACAGATTGATGGGGAAGCTGGGGACTGAATGAACTGTTCTGTCCCTCTGTGCATTGGAAATGGCACATGAAAGTAAAGCAGAAGCAGCCACCACATACTTGAGCCCAGATACATAGCAGAGTTGGAACTGTGGCCAGAAGACAGGAGCCCTGACAAGGCACGCGGCTGGATGTCAGCTGGTATTCTCTAGTATAGGGACATTAAATGATGAGACCAACCGTGACCTCCCCAGATCCACTGTTCTCCAGAGTCCATTTGAACACTCACAACAGACACCACCCAAGTGGTGGTACGTGTCTGTGACCCTAGTACTTGGGAGGAAGCAGGGGTCCACTTTCAAGGCCATCCTCAGCTAGCCTGAGGTAGAAGAGACCCTGGCTTGTGTTTTGTTTGTTGAGTGGTCTCTGACTAGTCTTGGCTGTCCTGGAACTCACTGTAGACCAGACCTCCCTCTGGCTTACTGAGGCCCCCCTGTCCCGCCTCCCTAAAGGTATGCGCCACCATGGCAGCCCGAGACCCCCCTCTTACAACAAAACCAGCTCACCTCTAAAATACCTTACTGTCTTTGTCTCGGGGGCTGGGGAAGTAGGTCGTGTGCATGCTTCCAAACCCATGTAAAGTAAATGTACTGTTAGGCAAGTGAATATCTTAACCATTATTCATGAATTGCTCAGGTCTTCTACATTAATCTTTTAAAATATGTTTGCTGCTCCCAGAGATTGTGTTTAGAATAATGTTTATAGTAATAGTCTTACTGCTTAGTATTTGTAACAGTACAAAAAGATTTGTGGAGATAGAATGCTAAGCAGGAACCTAAAGAAGATTTTAAACCACAAATGTCTAACTTTTACACATCGGTTCCATTTCTAAGAAAACCACTGAAGCTACGATATTCTAATGAAGCTATGCCAAGGATTTTTGTACACAGAGACGTGAGTTACTCACTTTATTGCTTAGCTCAGGAAAAGCGGTGCTCTGATAGGGGAAAGACTGGTCATCCACTACGTGCCAGTGAAGGACATTGAACTTGTTAAAAGCCATGGCATCCTGAAAGCAAACATGGGGAGAATTATACACCATAGAGGAATACAGTCTGCATCGTATCTGTCCACATTAGGATTGCTTCCAATTAGTACTTCTCTTCATAGTTTCTTTGTAGTGAAGAAAGAATGACAAGAAAGTATAAACTTACCCTGTGTACTCAAACTGGCAGACCTTTATTGAAGCCCCACACAGAGTGAAGGGTCCAGAAATAGAAATATAGAAATGAAGGGTCCAGGAATATAGAAATATAAAATTGTAAGCCCAAACACATTTTGAAAAAGAATAACAAAAATAATAAAGCTGGCAGCCACTGTTAACCTTCAACAACCTCTTTCTGCCTTAAGAGCAGACATCCTGGCACCTACTGTGTACAGAGTGAAACTTTTAACAATTGTCTTCCGTCTCCCAGCTTCCCAGCCAGGCAGGAACAGCGGACAAAGGTTGGCTTTTCACTATTGCCTCTATGGGACCCTCTGTGTTGTATTCCCTTAATTTTTAACAGTCCTCCTACATGACTCTGTGCTCTACTTTGCAATCTTTCAGGGACAGCGGAAAAGCAGCTGGTCAGCCACAGGCTTTTGCAAACATCCTAAGTTAACATCCTAACATCCTATAACCAAAAGTTGTAAAACTTAAAATGTAATGTGACTATAAGCCTGACCTCTAGGTTGTAAAAGCGCTTTGATCCACACTGGGGCTTGGTTTTACTGTAAGAGGAGGCCCCAAACCAGTGAGGCCCCCATTGCCAGTGTCAGAAGCCCGACTCTGGCTGTGGTCTTAGCTATAGCTGATAAGCTTTGTTTTGTTTGTTTTTTTCCCCATGGTGATTTTTTTCCTTTCATTTTCTGGAATAAAGCTTGCTTCTGGTTTAATAGACTTTGGTGGTCTGTCTCCCATCATTGTGCGACCCCAGACCCAACAAGAGCATAAACATTGTATATAGGAAGCTGTGATATTGTTGTATAAGAGAGCAAGCTTATGGGTGTTATCATTACTTCAAGGTCTGCCAGGAATAGGGGATGAAGAGGCTAAGGCTGTATTAGGGAGCAGAGTACAGGAGAAAGAAAGCATTTATTTAAATACCAAAACTTACAATTCCTATATATGCAAAACCCTGGCATATATTAATATGTATAGGCATATATGGCCTAACATATATGAAACATGATAGCCCTAGCAAGTAAAATCCATTATAGACTCAGTATAATGCCAAGCAAATGCCTAGAGAATGCCTTGATATATTGAATGTAATATATGCAATGAAGGAATACAGTAGTTTAAGGAATAAAGCTAGTTTATTCCTTAAAATTAATTCTTATAAGGATAAGATAATATGGGGTAGATTTGTGCCACCAGATAATACAAATGTATAGCTTCTCTTCTCTGTATCGGGACTAAAGGGTATTGTCTGATGCATCTGGGAGACATTTGGGATGACAGGGTTTTTATTGTCAGAGAAAAGGGTTACAAATTAGTAGTAATATAAACTCATTCATTTTTAATACAGACCAAGGGTTTATAAGCTTTACATAAGGGGTCAGATAATAAATATTTCAACTTGCAGGCCAGATTTCTGTTGCAACCACTCCAGCCAGATTTCTGTTGCAACCACTTCAGCTGATAGCTATAAAGCAGATTGCAACAATGCATGTGCATATTCCAGTGAAACTTACTGCAAAGATAGATGGCTGTGATGTTGAGATAAATATTTCCAGGTATTTTTTGTTGCTGTTATTTGTTTGTTTGCTTTTTGAGACAAGGTTTCTCTGTGTAGCACTAGATGTCCTGGAACTAGCTTTGTAAACCAGGCTGGCCTCGAGCTCACAGAGATCCACCTTCCTCTGCCTCCCAAGTGCTGGGATTAAAGGCGTGCACACTGATGCCGGCTGTTTTGTTTTGGTTTTGGTTTTTGCATGGCTCCTGGTTCCTAACTACCTCCCAATGCAGTTTGTAGAAATTAGGGCTTCTCTTCCCCCTGGCTGGTCATAGAAAGTGGCTTCATGAAATTCTATGACCTATCTGGTCTCACAATAGGTCCCAAGACCCTCCTTCTTCCGGAGGGCCTGCCATGTGGCCTGCAGGGAAGGATTCTGCTCAGAAGAGAAAGGAAGGCCTGCTGAAGCTGCAAGCCTTCTGCGCTTCGCTTAGACCCTTTCTGTCTAAGCACATTCCAGGTGGCACTTGTGTTTTAGCCTTGCCTGTGCAATGAAGACCCCATATAACCCAAAGGACAGATTTCAGGGGCTTCTACATTTCTGGACCAAAGAGTTCCTGAGAGATGGCATGCCCAGAGACGGTGTGGGAGCCCCACTTCCAAACCCCAACCCTATGCATTTCTTCACCTGCAGCCCTTGCAATGTCCTTTATAATAAAGTGCCAGGCGTGTTTAAGTTCTGACAGCCATTCAAGGAAAGTATTTGAACTTGACGGAGGAATTATGGGAACCCTGATTTGTAGTGGTATATCATAAGCATAATTAAAACCCTTGGGGCTTGGGTCTGGCATCTAAAGTCAGAAGGCTGACAGGAAGCCTTGGGGACTTCAGCTTCTGGGATATGACACTATCTCCAGGTAGACAGCATTAGAACTGAACTTGATTTGAGGACACCCTGCTTATGTCCTGCTGAAGAGCTGCTGGCTTGCTGGTGAGAGGAAAAAACAAAAACTTTACATCTTTTCAAATCACAGAAGTCTTCCAGATTAACCGTGGAGTGAGAACGAAGGATCAACACGGTCTCCTGAGCCACACAGCACTGGATTTGACTCTTGGGTTGTACTTAACTAACTACTGATATAGATGCAGAAACACAGCTTCCCAGCTGTCTGTAGAATCGGGAGATATGCCTACCTCTGCCCAAATCTGGGTTTTGAAATACTGAGTACTGAACAAAAGGCCTGAATCTAGACTGAGACTAGGCTGCATAAGCCTGGGCTATCACGCTGCCAAAAGTATGGAGAGATCGAGGGAGACATCTTACAAGAATAAACAAATCATTTTGGAAGGGCATCTAATGGCCAGTGTAGGCTTATATAGGGGTGTTAACAGATTACAATCTATAACCCAGACTGACAAAATAATGAGTGCTCAAATGAAAAAGGAATTCTCTGCCTTACTGTGGAATGTAGAAGGTCATTTACTACTAGTAAATGTAGAGATGATGGAACTAGGGAAATCGCCACTCAGTGATTGGTCAAAGCAATAACCTCCTGACTTAGGTGAGGACCAGCTGTGGGCGAGCACAGAGGAGTCCCCCAATTTCTTCCATAGGGTACTTAATAAGCACAAAATAGCCTAAAGTTAATTTTACATCGGAGAGGCATGGCAGATGCCACCTCAGTCAACTTGAGTGACATCACCCGTAGTGAGACGGAGTGCCACCTGACACTGTCTGGGGACACAGCCCTGCTTCTGCTTGATTTTTGCTCCAGGAACTGAATCTCCTGTGAGAAACAGATGACCTAAGCTGTGTTCTAAAAGTAATTTTCTAAAATACCACACTCTTCCAAAACGAGGAAAGATAACAGCTCCAGGCTGAAGGTCACTGAGGAGACGGAACAGGGAAATACAACACAGATCCTGCTGCTGGGTACTGTACTACCAGCCACGGAATCTGCATTGCGGGTACACTGGAGGGCACATGCTCACAGCTTCCTGCCCCTGACTCTTGCACTAAAGCTATTTTGAGATGTGTTCGTTCTTTTAATAGGAGATGCAAACTAATATTAAGGTGTTTTGAGTCTCCCATAGCATGGACCCATCAGGCATTATTAATTGGGACAATCAAGCAAATATGAGTTTTAAGTATGTTTAACAAATATTTAAAATTTTTAAATCATAAACTTTAAAGTCATATAATCTTGATGAAAGAATATAGGGAAGTTCTTTGTAGTCTTCTAAAAAAGTTTAAGCGGCTTAGAGAGGCAACTGGCAGATGGTAGTGGGGACAAAGCAATGAAAAGCCCCCAGGAGGCCTGGAGAGATGGCTCAGAGGTTAAGAGCACTGACTGCTCTTCCAGAGGTCCTGAGTTCAATTCCCAGCCACTCCATGGTAGGTTACCAACTGTCTATAATGAGATCTGATGCCCTCTTCTGATGTGCAGATAGAACACAGTATACATAATCAACCAACCAATCAATCAATCAATAAAAAGAAAAGCCCCCAGGAAGAGAGTTATAATCAACTCTTTCCTACCCGATACCCCAAGGTTCCATATTCTTCCGGAACATTTCCAAAGGGAAAAAGCCACTCCCTGACCCTTTTCTATGTCGCTTTAAAAGACAATAGCTAGAGTAATCTGGCCATGTTTCCAGGTTATGTCTAGACCCCTGATTGACAAATGGGAGCATGTATTTGGGCCAATGGCAGTATTAACATTGTCTTTCTCATTTATTGCTGGTTATGGTGGCATACATTTCTAATCCCAACACTTGAGAGGCAGCGGATCTCTATGAGTTTGAGACAGGCTTGGTCTAAAAATGAGTTCCAGGATAGCCAGGACTACACAGAGAAACCCTGTCTTGAAAAACCACCAAAAACAAACCAAACAAACAAAGCCAAACTGCCTTTCTCACTAAACATAGTCATACATACTGATAATCCCATGGCTGAGGCAGGAGGATTGGGAGCGTGAGGGCAGCCAGGCTTAAAATAAAACAAAAAGTTCTATAAGTCTTGGCCAAATTCACATTGTCTGTGAAAACACAAGGGAGATCCACCCAGGGATGCTGCCATTCCACATGGGGAAACATTCTTCCCCAGGGAGAAATCTGGAAGCCCGGTGCTTAGTCTTAGGACAAGAAAACCAAGTCCTCTCATTCCAGCCTACTTGACAGAACAAGAAACCTGAAGAAGGAACCCGAGGGGCAGATCCTCAGGATCAGCAAGGGATGTGATAAAGAAATCACCTACCAGAGTTTTAAAAATTGTCTTCATGGGCAGGTAGTGTCTAGATGTATCAATTAAAATTCCTCTGTGAGCAAACCTTGGTAAGTCAGTAATACTGGATTCGTTGATAGTGAACTAGGAGAAGAAATAAATTTTGATGAGTTTTAGAATGTTTTTCTCAAGTTCAACAAAGACTACAACTATATACAAGTACTGGATAAAATTTTAGGACCAGGGACTAGAAAGAAGGCTCAGAAATTAAGGGCACTGGTTGCTCTTCCAGAGGTCCTGAGTTCAATTCCCAGCACCCACAAGGTGGCTCCCAACCATCTGTATTAAGATCTGGCACCCTCTTCTGGCCTGCAGGGATACATGTAGGCAGAACACTAAATATATATATATATATAAATAAAAGTTAGGACCAAAAAATGCATGAAATTTGTAAGCTAAATATATTGAGAAAAGAAAGCTTCAGCAGGACAGCTGGGGAGGCTACATCCAAACAGCAATGTCTGTCCAGGTTCAGTAAGACAACAGGAATACTTACGGCTCCATACGAGTCTTGGTAAACTAACTGGCTAAATGTCTCTAAGCCTGGGGGAAGCAAAAGATATTGTGTTATTTATAAGATTAAAAGAAAAAAATGAATTCAAAGTAATACCCGAACAGGCTCATGACCGCAGGGTGAATGGTTGGAGCAGTACCGCATCCACTCTCCTCCCACCGCCCTACAGCATCCTTTCACGTGCTCCTATAAACCTGCTGATGCTTCAAAAGCCATAGGCATGGAAACTGGGGGAGACAGATACTTGTTCCTGAAGGTGGCAAGAAGGAATTGCTGGGCCCAGACCAAAGCTGGGCCACTGGCAGCCATGGAATGTTACAGCCCAGTGTTGGAGCTTGGCCCATGAATGGAATAATGTGAGATTTCTGAGTGCTTCTAAGAAAACAAGAGTCTTGAGGCCTCCGTTTCTTCAAAAACACAGAACTGATCTTGGATTATGCCTTTGTGCAGTGATAGGAATGTGTTTACTTCAGATTTTTCATTATGACTGACTAGTGTTATTTGTTTGCCTGCCTCTATGGAAAAACACGTTTCTGCTATTGGCGGCTTACCTGCCACATGAGCCAGGGCTGCCCGCCTCTTTTACACTCTGATGGTTGTCATATGAGTGAAATGTCTGATGCTCTGAATTAAACACACACCCTTGACTGAAAAGGTTAAATATGATTGAAAGGTTAAATGACGAAGTAGGAACACTGAGTACTGAAGACGGTTTGCATTTCTGAGCTGGCAGTTCAGACCTGAGAAGATGAGGCATGCTGGACGGATGGACGCCCAAGGGCCTGGCTTCAACACCTCAGCTGCCTGGCCTGTGGCACTGGGAATCTCTGAAGTGAGACACAAGGTCTCTGAGGTTCAGGGTTGAAGGCATCTAAGTGCTTGGCTAGTTTCTCATGGCAAATGAAGACAGACCCAGGGTTGGGGCATCATTTTGCTGTGCTTGATTTTACATATGATAACATCCCTCTACTAGAGACAATGCACTTGTGCAGAACTTACCTCGTAATGCTCCCCAGACTCTGTTGGCCTTGAGGAAAGCCACCGGTTCTTGCACAAGTAGAGAATCTATAGGGTAGGATTGGTGAACTTTGGTTAATCCTTGGTATTTTCCCACCTTCTTTCCTCTTCCCTCCAGTATGCCTCAACTTAGATTCCTTCGACTCAAGATGTCCCAGCCTGCCCGGCCCAGAGACCTTGTGTCTCACTTCAGTGAATCCCAATGCCATAGGCCAGGCAGCTGAGCTGTTCAGGCCAGGCCCTTGGGCATCTGTCCCTCGGCACGCCTCATCTTCTAACGTCTGAACTGCCAGGTCAGAAATACAAACCACCTTCAGTACTCACGGTCTTTATTCATGCTTCCTGTTTCCCCCAAGGTGAGTTCACTCCACTTTTCTTATTTTCGTTCGTCCTACCTCCCTTCCTCTGGATGTCATCTGAAATTGGCTTAAGACTTGCTTTCTAGCTCCCTTCACCTTAGTCCAGTTTCATCTCAATAAATAAGTCTGCATTCTCCAGGCTTACAGGGAGGGAAGGAACAGGCCTGAAATTCCACCACTCAGGATTGAGGCATGAGGATCATAGGTTCAAAGCCATCCTGGGCTAAATAGGAACCCTGTCTCAACACAAAAGCACCCACGAGTATAGAGTTCCAGTTGGCTGGGCTGGACCAAGGGGGCCTTATCCTTCAACCATTGGAATCATACTCTGCCTAATGACCAGCAGTGATTTTAGTATCAGTGGGGCCTGGGGCAAGTTGGGCACAGGGGGTACAGACCCTGAAAGCTAAAGGTATGTCAGGGACAGACAGAGAAGGGGCACTGGCAATTGGAGCATGATGATTTAGCATCATATCACCTAGACTGGGTCAGCACCTTCTACCTCCTGACTGTCAGGAGGCAGGTCCTGGCAGGCAAGGAAAAGATGTGTGTCAGTCATGTGACAGGTTCAGCTGACAGTCTTCTACCAGAATAGCTTTCCTAGGCAAAAGACCACAGTGCTGAGTAAATGAAACGCCAGACTCAGAACTGTTTTGCTACTTTGAGTGCAACTAAAACAGGCCCCCTTTTCCCTACAATAGCTGAGGTCTGGCTTATATTTAAAAGGACCCTGACTCAACTCATCGAATCATATATAGCAATTAGAAGAATTGCCTGCTAAGTATGCAGATACATAACTATAGAATTTTAATTTCAAAACCAAATTATTAAGTCAGATAGTGACTCCCCTTTGTATTTGTTGGGAGGTGGGTAAAAGGTGATATCTTGACTTTTTAACTATCCCCTTCTGAACTGTGAACACCTTTGTTTTAGAGGGTATCTATACAGACATCAATAATTAAAATATTACTCAAACACTACTTGAGGTGCCCACCCAGTTCTCTGTACCTCCCCCAAATGACATATCTACAGGTCTTTTCCTGGGCAATTGTGTAATGAAAAAAATATAATATTCTTTATCTGCAAATCCCTGTGTATTGCTGTATTAATAGTATACTCCTCTCTATCCTGCACAACTTCCTTTGTCCAACTCAGCAGTTTGTTTTGTCTCTCTGTCTGTCATGTGAATTAACGTTTATCTGTCAGTCAGCCCTCTACCAGCTGACAGCAAGTTCGTTTTGTTTACAACTCTCCATTACAGGTAAGTGTCTTTGGTGTATGTGGCTCCCTCTCTAAAGGAGGAACTGTTTCATGTCTAGTGCTCAGGGTATGCCTGTCTTTATTTTTAATATAGGGGGTTGGGAGTCTGTACTTGCAGTGCTGGCAAATTTCCTAAACACCAACCGCAGGAAGCTTCCTTTTGAGAGGAGCTGACTTAAATAAAAGCTTGGACCCTCCAATCTTGGTGCATCCTATTTCTAGAATCTATGATAGGTTGTATTGCTGATGGTAATGAGCAGCAAAGTTCCCTTGGCAACACGGTGGCCATTTCTAGCTCAATTCAGATTGCAAAACCTACTTCTTATAGCATCTGCATGCCCATTATCCGCTGAAATCATGTGGCTAGCACTGGTAAATTACCTATTCCTCTCCCAAGGACAGCTACAGAACTGAAAAGAAATGAAACTATTTTTCTAAAGGGTGCAATAAGAAAGCTCATCTGGGAGTTGGAGAGGTGGCTCAGTGGTTAGGAGCACTGGCTGCTCTTCCAGAGGACCTGGGTTCAATTCTCAGTACCCACACCTGTCTGTAACTCCAGTTCCAGGGGACCTGATGCCCTCACACAGACACACATGCAGGCAAAACACCAACGATCACACAATAAAAATAAAAAAGACTGGCTCAAAAACAAAGGTAAATAAATAAGTGGAATGCTAATAATAAACATGTTTTGTTTTTAAAGTTCATCTGTTAGAGGTACGGGTGTTTATCCACGTGTAGAGGAACAGTCTAAGGACAAAGGGGCCACTCTTTCCTCTTACTATGTGACGTGTTGTTCTTCCTGTTTCTACACCCAATTCCCTCTTCCTGGCACTTGTCTTACAGTACATGTGTCTCTGAGTCCTTGGCCCACTCCACACATTGCCAGGCAACACAACCTACAGAGAAAGTATGCCCAGGCTGGGGATACAGTCCTGTGGGTTAGCTGGACTAGTATGCCTTCAAAGACCGATGTTGGAGGCGGGAGAGATGGCTCAGCAGTTAAAGTGCTCGGTGCTCTTCCAGAGCACTGCAGTTCAGTCCCTAACACTCAAGGCTGGGGGCTCACAACCACCTGTCTCCAAGTCATGGGATCCTATGCCCTCTGTGGGTGCCTACGGGCATGTATGTGCATGTGTACACACACACACACACACACACACACACACACACACACACACAATCTTTTAAACAGACAAAAGAAATTCCATTGCCTCAAAAATTAAGATTAGTTTAATTCTACCATACAGTGGTAGAATACCGAGGCATCAGAAATTATACCATAAAAGAATAGTTAATGAAGTTCATACTTATGTAAAAATAAGTCAAAATCCACATATACAAAAACTTCCATTTTCTGTCCTTTTTTTCCTTTGAGATGAGGTCTGACTCTAGCCCTGGCTAGCCTCAATTCATTACAATCCTCCTGCCTCAGCCTCCCCAGTGCCATACTCAGCTTATTCCCATTTTCATATTAATGTTTGCATCCATGCAAAACATTTGCTGCAAACAACATACATGCTGGACGCCTGAAATGGCCATGATGGACAGGTGCGATCTCCTTCCTTCTGTGCCTCCTCCCGAACTTCCAAACATTCTACAAAGGCTACATTTTATGATAGGTACTTACAAGACTCATCTGAAGACAGAGTAGGGAAGAAGTCACATTGTGACTGCAGGGTAATTGAGACCTGAAGTTGATCTAACTGAGCTCCGTCTTGAAAATTAGCAGGGCCATGAAGCCTCTTGTGGAAACCAAAAATATAGTTGTAATATCTGTGGAAGAAATTCATTTCAATAATGAAACCAAATCATATGTATGTGCTAGGGGACACAGAGGTCAGCTCTCGAGTCTCTTGTGCCAGCTCATGTCTACCCAAAGACTTCCTTGGGGTGTTTTAAGGACTGTTAGGACAGGGGTTCTTAAGCTGTGGGATGGAACCATTGGAAAACACACATTTCCGATGGTCTTGGGAACTGAAACACTGCTCAGTAGCAAAATCAACAAAAATAAACTTACGGTTGGGGGTTCCTAAGACCATTGGAAATAATTTGTTTTCTGATAGTCTTTTTATAGCCAAGTTGAGACCATCTTTTTTTAAAGTTATATTAAAAGGAGCTAGGGTATAGCTCAAGTGGTACAGCTTTGCCTAGTGGGTACAAGGCCCTCCCAGTATGGGGTGCGGTGGGGTGGGGGAGAGGGAGGGAGGGACCACTAACCAGCTTTAAGATCTGAAGTCTGAGTTAGGGGCTAGTTAGCCTTCCAGTTAACTGAAGGATTGAAGCTATTCTTTAAAACGGGTGTTCTGGGTCAGGTGTGGTGGTCCGTACATTTAATCTCCACCATGAGGGAGACAGAAGCTGTTGTGAGCTTGAAGCCAGCCAGGGCTGCATAGTGAGACCCTCTTTCAGACAAAAACAAAACTAAAAATGGTGCCTACTACTTAGTAGGTTTTCTGAGCTGAAGAAGCAGCCACAGTGAGCAGCCAAACTATCCCTACAAGAGAGCGTTGTTTGTGATGGGGCTTGGGCTCTTCATGACAGAAGCCACTTGCTGTGGAATAATCCTTCTGCACACTGTAAATGTGTCTCTATGATTGGTTCAATAAACAAACTGACTGGCCAATACCTGGACAGGATCAGGTTAGGCGGAAAGCCAATCTGAGAATGATGGGGTGAGGAAGGGTGGAGTCAGAGCAGACAACAGCCAAGGAAGTAGGATGTGTAGAAAATGAGGTAACAAGCCATGAGCCACGTGGCAAAGCATAGATAAGAAATATGGGTTAAAAGGTTAGCTAGTAATAAGCCTGAGCTATTAGCCAAGCATTTATATTAGGTCTCTGAGTCAGTTCTTTAGGAAGCTGCTGCCAGCTATTTGAGAGCAGGCGATCTAGCCTGGAAAAGCTCTAACTACAGCCACAGAATTCTGAACAGCTTGTATGAATGTTCACTATGCAGAGTTCCCTGAATACCCCTGCATATCCAGAGACTTCCAACCCTTTCTACCTACCATCATGCTTGCTGAAGTTACTGGGCCACAGCTGCACGATCCCAAGGTTTAGTCATGTTTCATAAGCAGCTTCCAAACAATGTCAGGTGCAATTACCAGCCGCTTCTCATACAGGGCACAAATTAGTTGGGCAAACCCTTCAGGGAATAATTGCCAGCACTTGTTTTGGATGCCAAGCCTGTTTTCAAACCACCTCACAGCTTGTTCAAGTCCTTGTAATGTTGTATCCATTATTTAGTAAGTAATGCCTGCTCAAGCTTTTATCAGGGCAGAAGTGGGAAAAAAAAAAAAAAAAAAAAAAAAAAAAAAAAAAAAAAAAACTCCAGCTCTACAGTAAGCCCTAAAGCAAGCAAGCACGTTTTAAAAAGCTATCCAGTCCGGCAACTTACAATCCCAGACATCTCAATACTACCAGCCAGCCCCTTTGGGATATCCCGGAACTAGCCCTATAGACCAGGCTAGCTTCCAACTCAGAGATCCGCCTGCCTCTGCCTCCCAAGTGCTGGAATTAGAGGCCTATGCCACCACATCTCAATACTACCAGCCAGCCCCTTTGGGATATCCCGGAACTAGCCCTATAGACCAGGCTAGCCTCCAACTCAGAGATCCGCCTGCCTCTGCCTCCCAAGTGCTGGAATTAGAGGCCTATGCCACCACAGCCCGGCTTGTGTTACATTTCCATGCCACCTGGACCACAAGCATTCCAACCTGTTAGCAATTCAACTCCTAAAAAGCTTATTAGAGCAGGTTTCCAAAATAGGATGATAGTATCCCCTAAGTTACACAAATGATAAGGAAAAACACTAGCCTCAGTGCCTCTTCAGCAGAAGCCTAGATACCACAGCTTAAAGACCCACCCTTGACTTTGTCTTGCAGCTGTTTGGTGTCCTACAGGCAAAAGTGGGTTCTGGTTGAACTCACCAGTCACACACAAGATCTGGCAGGGAAAGCAAGCTGCGCACAGGTGGCACCAAATTACAGTTCCCTGGGGGGCAGTCCCACCCACAGAGGTCTGGCTGGCATCGAGGGGACAGAAGGTGGCACATTCAACCATCACTGCAAATGCAACCTAGCCTGTACTTGATACAGTTGGCAACACATGAGCAGAGCCCCTGCCTGGGGGCGCAGCGCACTCCAGAGAGCGGCTCAGCTCCGAAGGGCTGTAAAAGATGAAGAGCTAAATAAGGCAAAGGGTTTTAGGGAAGGGGGGGTTGGGAGCGTGGGGGTGGGAGCCAAGTGTTGAGGAACAAGAAGAAAAGCAGATATTTATCTAAGAGCCCTTTAAAAGGCCATTTGAATGCCTAACATTAGGGACGGATGTGTTTGGAAGGATGAGATTTCCCACAACGCTCCAACTTAAGGTCTTTCTTCAGACTTGGTTAAATAGCTCAGAAGTTGAGAGCCCTAACTGCTCTCACAAAGGACCTGGGGTTGGTTCCAGTACACGCACTGGAGGCTCACACCAAGATTCCATGTCCTCCGCATCTACGGCTACCTCCAGGCTCAAGGTACACATAAATTCGTGAAGGCTCAGATACACTTGGAAGAAAAAAAAAATTGAAGAGATAAAAGATATCTGAATTGTTGCCACATATGGGGAGAAGGGAACAGAAAGCGACAGTCAACACTGGGGAATACCTTAGGCCCTCAAAGGGTCCTTAGGCCAGATGCTCTCTCTCATTGGCGGCTCACTTTTGAAGGTTGAGCCACCTTCCCCTCCTGGTCTCTGAAGCCATCTCAACCGACCTTCTGAGGCTAACAAACTGGCTCAAGCATCCTGCACCCAGACCAGGGACCCTGAGCACCCAGGGTGCGCAGGAAGCATCAAGGACAGGTCAAGCATTGGGCTTCGGTCTGCATAGTTTAGACCTGCCATGCCATCCTCCAGACATGTGAGACCAGGTTGCCTGGTGGTCCGACTCTCTGGCCCAGGTCCCCTCCGCGCCGGGTGGGGCTGTTTACCTCCGAAACGCTTCCTGCAGCAGCGGGCAGGAGGGGCCCGCCGTGGAATTGGGGCCGTGGACGATGAGGAAGTTTTCCGCTGCGATGTTCAGCAGCTTCGGGGACACCTTCACGGAGCTCGGCCAGGGCCACAGCGCTGGTGTCTTCTCGGCCGGGGCCTGAGCCGCCAGCGCCAGCAGCACCAGCAGCAGCCCGGGAGCGCGGTGCGGGGACGGCCGCATGACTGCTCGGCGGTGTGTCCGAGCAGTCCTCGGACCTGCCTCCTTACCGGGGCTACAGGGAAAGAAGCGTCCGTGCCCCGGTCACCAGTCAGATGACCAAGATCCCGCCCTGCCGGGGCTCCGCCTCTGAGCCCGGAGCAGCCCGGAAATTGGTCTGGGCGGGTACCAGGCAGCTGCGCACCCAGCCGGGACATCCCGCTGGTGCCTGTCATGCCCCGGGACCTCTCTGCACTAGACCTCAAAACAGGCACTCGGGCATCACCTGTTTCTTCCTCTACTCTCCCAACCCCGGCGGTGTTTTTGCCACAAAGTCTAGATGGTTTGTGGGCTCTGATTGATAAAAAAACAAAAACAAACAAACAAAAAAAACCCAAAAAACCCGGGTCAGAATTCTTTGGAACTGATGGTAGGTTACAATTTATGCATGGAAAAAAAAAAAAAAAAAACAAAAAAAAAAACAAAACAAAACAAAAACAAAAACAAAAAACAAAAACCGGACAGGGAGAGAGCATTGAAAACTTCAGAAGGACATGATGGGCCACGCTTATATTAAAGGAATACAAGGAGAATATTTCTGTAGTGGAGATTAATGTCAACGTATCATTTTCCCAAGACATTTAAAACGATTAGATAGAACGAAAATGCACCAGAGATTACAATAAGTCTAATCACAGTACGACTGATGGGAAGATAACTTAATAAACAGATGTTAGACGATGGCACAGAATTAAGAGCTCTCGGTGCTCTTCCAGAGAATCAATTTTCAGTACTCACAACTGCCAGGAACTCCAGTCCCAGGGACTCAACATCCCTCTTCTGGGCCCAGCGGGCGCCAGGCATACATGTTGTACATCGATTACATACAGACAAAACACGTGTAAACACAGGATAAACTAGAAAAAAATTTAAAAGGAAGATGGTTAAGTAGTTCAGAATTGTGTTGTGTCCCACAACAGCACTATTAAACCTGAGTTCTCAATACCCTCATCCCTAAAAAAAAAAACAAGAGGGAATAATCCACTTATAATAAATTCCTCAGAGTAACTTACACATTAATTTGTGACAGGCCTCTATGTAATATTTGGAAAAAAACACATCTACATACAAACAAGGTTACAAGACCCTGTGTCTCCTCCCCCATCTTCTTATTACTTCTTACCCTCTCTTTCTCCAGTTATGTTGTCCTGGCAGCTACAGGGATCAGGGCCAACTCCTCACAAGAAAACACATGTTCAACTCAAAGACATAAAATCAGGGTCCCAGTGAAGAGGCGTGATTCCACAACCTGTCTAGGAGAGAGCTAGTGATGTTCCCCATTAGCAGCATGGATGGAGAGGTGAGCAGGGTTTTGTTAACTCAAGGAGAATGAGATGCCAGGCAAACCCCAGCCACACGTATCCACAGCAAGAAGTCTGAAAAGAGTTGTGAGAAAAGACTTCCAAAAGCTGTCATGGTATATGCTGGAAGAGGAGTTCTTCCATGAAAGCAAACCTCAGAGTCACATTACTCTCTCCTTTTCTTGTAAGGAACAGATATTAAATTTGCAATGTCTATTTGTGTTGTTGAAATCCCCATATGCACAATGACATCACATTATATGGTAGTTATCTATTGCGCTGTCACTCTAAAACAAGGTCATAAAGAGGTGACACATACCTATCACACAGTCTTTGTTAGTCAGGAACTCAAAAAATGCAGTTTAGTGACTCTGGCTTCTAACCTATCACGACTGAGCTCACAGTCACCTGATGCTGTGTCCTCCTTCCCAAAACCATATGCATACAAAACTGAGTGTGCTTGATACATGCCTTTAGTCCTAGACTTGGGAGGCAGAGGTAGGGAGATCTCTCACTTTGAAGCCAGGCTGCTCTACATATGGAGGTCTAGACCAGCTAGTGAGACCCATCTCAAAAAAAAAAAAAAAAGTTAGCAAATACACAAGTGTGTGTATGTGTGTATAAGTAAATACAAAGCCAATTTCTTCCTCAACTAAAGGTCTATGATCTATAGACAAGTTATTTGGCCCATTCCCACAATGGAGGAATGGGCACAGACTAACCAGTAGAATGTTCATTCTACTACAAGAAGGAAACAGGAAGCACCAAGTTGTCTGTAGCAATTCCCAAGCCAAGCCAGGCAAAAGTTGGAGGATCCTTGGTTAGGATTCAAATTCTGGGCAAACTTTCCTGTAACTCTCACCTCTGGGCAGTTCTGCCTATCGACTGTTCCGTTTTAAAGACAGACATGCCTGTATCAGCCTGTGTTTCCCGTCTTCTTTCTACTAGCTGAACTTTGAGGCATCCGAGGACCCATTAGATTATTAGATTGTGTGTCTGTACCTTTCCACCAATGCTGATAGTCTTCACACTGATACAGCACCTTTAAAAACTTTATGAAGGAATAGAGCTGGGTTTGACCCACAAGCCTCCTCCCAGGGGACTAGCTCTCATAGTACTGGAAGTACAACAGCTGTCTAATTAGACTTAAGGCCACAACTTTCTTGTCCATGGCTGTGATGATACTGACAGCAGCCTTGTGTCTCAAATCACAAACAGCAAAACAATCCAGAACAGTATAGTCAGAGATGCTCTCAGCCTGTGTGGGGGTAGCTTGGCACCATGCTGAGGATGGCAGTGTCTTCAGATTCCCATAATTTAGGGCCACCTTCCAGCATCTTACCAGAGTGGCCATTAATCCTTTCTTTCCGTTCACTGAACTTGCTGTGAGCCAAGTGACAACCCAGTGCAGAAGTGGAGTGAGCACTAATTTGGCCTGGATGGTTTGGGGTTGATCACCTGAGTAGTGTACTTCCATTCAGGGATTACTTTCACCATCACCAGCAATGCTGCCAAGATAAACATCTTTGACAAACATATTCTTGCCATTGAAGCCCACTTTGTCCCCAGGAGGTACTTCACTCAGAGCCTCATGGGGCATTTTAACACACTTGATTGTGACATGGACTGCAGCAAAAGTGATGAACATGATGTGTTTGAGAAAAACGTCAGCCCACAGGGACATTTCCAATACCAGGAATTTACAGACACCCAATATATAGACAATACATACACACACACACATCTACATATAAATGCTTATGTCAGTTGGACAAGTAGATGGCAGGGATGTAGCTCCTTTGGCATCTTCACAGATGACTTCTGTTCCCTTGACCCAAGGTATATTAGCACATCGGTTCTAACATATTGTCACCATTCCCAACAGAAATTGGCACAAATACTATTACATCAGAGTTGTGACCAGTTTTTGTTTGGTTGTTTGTTTGAAATGTAAATGCTTATTTACATCTCTTTCTGGCTGTAAGGTAGTTGTTAATGTCAACATTTAACCATTTCATACCCTGCATGTCCCCAGGTCTGCCATTGTTGGAGGTACCAGGTTCAGGACAGCATGGTGAGCCCTAGATGTGCCTGTGCTTGTGATTTTAGTAAAGTCTCTATTTCCTGGGGCATCAGTGATAATCACGCAGTATTAGTGACTCTCAAGTTTCTCGGGGAGATGCCACCAGTGACACCACGCTTACAGCAAAGACCCAGCCATACTTGAGGGAACCTTCCCCAACTCAGCCTCCTCAAAATTCTCAGTGGTCCTTTTGTGGTTTCTACCATATTTCCAGATCAGATGGCCAGTTGCAGTGACTTGCCTGAATCCTTATATCAGTGATAATGATGTTGAGCTGTATCTTTTCCTTCTCCATTTTGGCTTTGAGTTAGCGATAGTATTCTGATGATAAGCCTGTTGCAAAACCCTGACACCTAAGCCTTCCAGTCTATTTCACATGAGTCTTTCTCATGGTCACTAAACATCAGTAAGACTGGCGTTGCTTTTCTAGCTGCTGTTACTAAGTGGTGTTCTTTCATTCCCCAGTGTGCTGGTTACTTTCTGTTGCTGTGATATATTGTTGTATGATGTTTTTGTTCCTTTGGGCATTTTGGGGGCGGGCACCACACACTACCCAAATAAATTACACATGGAGGTTTTTTCTTAGTTATGAGTGCTCTGCCTTAGCTTGTTGCTAGCCAGCTTTTCTTCACTTAAAATTAACCCATCTACCTTTTCCCTCTGGGCTTTTCCTGTTCTCTTCTGTAAATCTTATTCCTTGGCTTGCTGTGTAGCTGGATGGCTGGGTGACTGGTCCCTCATGTCCTCCTCTTCCTTTTTGTTTGTTTGTTTGTTTGTTTGTTTTTCTCCTTCTATTTATTCTCTCTGCCTGCCAGCTCTGCCTATCCTTGCTTCTGCCCCTCGATATTGGCCATTCAGCATTAACTAGGACCATCAGGTGTTTTGGACAGGCAAACGATTCACAGCTTCACAGAGTTAAGCAAATGCAGCATAAGCAAAAGTCACATGCCTTAAAATAATATTCTACAACAACGATACAATACCATGACCAGGGAAACTTACAGAAGAATTTCTTTTGGCTTACAGTTCAGAGGAAGAGTCTATAGGGACAAGGAAGACAGGAAGCTGAAAGGTCACATGCCCAGTGACAAACAAAGCAGAAAACAGAGAGCGTGAATGGAAGTAGGACGGGACTATGAAGCCTTGAAGCACACCTCCGGTGACACACTTTCTCCAGCAAGGCTGCAGCACCTAAATCTCCTCAGTATACCACCAACTTGGGACCAAGTGTTCAAATACATACACTTACAGGGGATGTTGCTCATTCAAGCCACCATCCCTAGAGTTCCTGCCTAGAAACACAGATGAATGCAGTGAGGCTTTGGGTATTCACCAGGCAAGATTGTTGCGGCTTCCCCGACGTTGCTAAGGTTGCTAAGCCTCCTTGTCCGCCAGAGTTACAGCGCTCAGCCAGTCTGTGTAAAAGACAAACAAGGCCCTCTTTCAGCCCCACATTTAGCATACTTCAGTGATGTTACCGCTGTTCACAGACTCCTTAACCCTCTCCACAGTGGTGGAACTTGCTGTCTGCCGGTGTCTCTACCACATCCCTTCTCCCCTTCTCTAGTGCTCGGCCCTTGGTGTCCTAGCTTGTTATCTGCAGCTGCAGGGCTTTTTTCCTCCCTCACAGC